CAAGACGGGACGGTCGTGGCAGAGAGGTCAGACCAAGCATGATCCCTGGGGAAGGCAACGGCAAACCACCCCAGTATCCTTGCCAAGAAAACTAAATGGACCAGTACAACAAGAGATATGTCGGTATGCCATTGGAAGATGGGACTCCCAGGTCGGAAGATGGCCAAAATGCTACTGGGGAGGAGCAGAGGATAAGTTCAACTAGCCCCAGATGTGATGACGCAGCTAGCTCAAAGCAGAAAGGAAGGCTAGCGGCCGACGGTACTGGAGGTGAACGACGAATCCGATGCTCTAAAGATCAACACACCATAGGAACCTGGAATGTAAGATCTATGAGCCAGGGCAAATTGGATGTTGTTATTGGTGAGATGTCAAGACTAATGATAGACATTCTGGGGGTCAGCGAACTGAAATGGACTGGAATGGGCCACTTCACATCAGATGACCACCAGATCTACTACTGCGGACAAGAGGAACATCGAAGAAATGGAGTAGCCTTCATAATTAATAAGAAATTCGCTAAAGCAGTGCTTGGATACAACCCAAAAAATGACAGAATGATCTCAATTCGAGTGCAAGGAAAGCCTTTCAACATTACAGTGATCCAAATATATGCCCCAACCACAGCTGCTGAAGAAGCAGAAGTAGATCAGTTCTATGAGGATCTGCAGGACCTACTGGATAATACACCCAAAAAGAGACATTATTTTCATTACAGGAGACTGGAATGCCAAGGTGGGAAGTCAAATGACAACTGGGATCACAGGCAAGCATGGTCTGGGAGAACAAAATGAAGCGGGACGCAGGCTGATAGAATTTTGCCAGGAAAACTCGCTGTGTATAACAAACACTCTCTTCCAACAACCTAAAAGACGGCTTTATACATGGACTTCACCAGATGGTCAGCACCAAAATCAGATTGACTACATCCTTTGCAGCCAAAGGTGGCGGACATCCATCCAGTCGGTGAAAACAAGACCTGGGGCTGACTGTAGCTCAGATCACGAACTTCTTATTGCTCAATTAAAATAAAACTAAAGAGATCAGGGAAAATACACAGACCAGTTAGATATGATCTCACTAACATTCCTAGCGAATATACAGTGGAAGTGAAGAACAGATTTGAAGGACTAGATTTAGTAAACAGAGTCCCAGAAGAACTATGGACAGAAGTCCGCGACATTGTTCAGGAGGCGGCAACAAAGTACGTCCCAAAGAAAAAGAAAATGAAGAAGGCAAAATGGTTGTCTGCTGAGACACTGGAAGTAGCCCAAGAAAGGAGGAAAGCAAAAGGAAACAGTGATAAGGGGAGATATGCCCAGTTAAATGCGCAATTCCAGAGGTTAGCCAGAAGAGATAAGGAACTATTTTTAAATAAGCAATGCATGGAAGTGGAAGAAGACAACAGAATAGGAAGGACAAGAGACCTCTTTCAGAAAATTAGAAACATTGGAGGTAAATTTCAGGCAAAAATTGGTATGATAAGAAACAAAGATGGCAGGGACCTAACAGAAGCTGAAGAGATCAAGAGAAGGTGGCTAGACTATACAGAAGATCTGTATAGGAAGGATAATAATATCGAGGATAGTTTTGACGGTGTGGTGAATGAATTAGAACCAGACATCCTGAGGAGTGAGGTTGAATGGGCCTTAAGAAGCATTGCTAACAACAAGGCAGCAGGAGACGACGGGATCACAGCTGAACTGTTTAAAATCTTAAAAGATGATGCTGTCAAGGTGATGCATGCCATATGCCAGCAAATATGGAAAACACAAGAATGGCCATCAGACTGGAAAAAATCAACTTATATCCCCATACCAAAAGGGAAATGCGAAAGACTGCTCAAACTTCCGTACAGTGGCCCTTATTTCTCATGCCAGTAAGGTAATGCTCAAGATCCTGCAAGGAAGACTCCAGCAATACATGGAGCGAGAGTTGCCAGATGTTCAAGCTGGGTTTAGAAAAGGCAGAGGAACGAGAGACCAGATTGCAATATCCGCTGGATAATGGAGAAAGGCAGGGAGTTTCAGAAAAACATCTACTTCTGCTTCATTGACTATTCTAAAGCCTTTGACTGTGTGGATCATAATAAATTGTGGCAAGTTCTTGGTGGGATGGGCATACCAAGCCACCTTGTCTCTCTCCTGAGGAATCTGTACAAGGACCAAGTAGCAACAGTAAGAACTGACCACGGAACAACAGACTGATTCAAGATTGGGAAAGGCGTACGGCAAGGCTGCATACTCTCACCCAACCTTTTTAACGTGTATGCAGAACACATCATGCGATGTGCGGGGCTTGATGAATGCAAAGCTGGGGTGAAAATTGCTGGAAGAAACATTAACAACCTCAGATATGCAGATGACACAACTCTGATGGCCGAAAGCGAGGAGGAGCTGAGGAGCCTTCTAATCAAGGTGAAAGAAGAAAGCGCAAAAGCTGGGTTGCAGCTAAACATCAAAAAAACCAAGATTATGGCAACAAGAATGATTGACAACTGGAAAATAGAGGGAGAAAACGTGGAGGCCGTGACAGACTTTGTATTTCTAGGTGCAAAGATTACTGCAGATGCAGACTGTAGCCAGGAAATCAGAAGACGCTTACTTCTTGGGAGGAGAGCAATGTCCAGTCTCGATAAAATAGTAAAGAGTAGAGACATCAGACTGACAACAAAGATCCGCCTAGTCAAAGCCATGGTATTCCCTGTAGTAACCTACGGATGTGAGAGCTGGACCTTAGGGAAGGCTGAGCGAAGGAAGATCGATGCTTTTGAACTGTGGTGTTGGAGGAAAGTTCTGAGAGTGCCTTGGACTGCGAGAAGATCCAACCAGTCCATCCTCCAGGAAGTTGGGCTTTACTTCCTGCTCATTGGAGGGAAGGATACTAGAGACAAAGTTGAAGTACTTTGGCCACATCATGAGGAGACAGGAAAGCCTAGAAAAGACAATTATGCTGGGGAAAGTGGAAGGCAAAAGGAAGAGGGGCCGACCAAGGGCAAGATGGATGGATGGCATCCTTGAAGTGACTGGACTGACCTTGAAGGAGCTGGGGGTGGTGACGGCCGACAGGGAGCTCTGGCGTGGGCTGGTCCATGAGGTCACGAAGAGTCGGAGACGACTGAACGAATGAACAACAGGAGAGTGAGAGCTGTAGTCAAGAAAGGGTCTTCTCCAAGCTCTGCTGAACATAGGGTTTAGGCTGCCAAGTCAGTCTGCTTATTATTTAGGTACTTATGCGACTGCCATTTGAAAATGGACTACATGATTGAGTCTTCTTGTGATATCAGACAGATTCCAGTCAGTACTTTTGTATTTGCTGCTGGATCCAGAATCAAGGTATAATGTAGAACAACAGGAGACAGAAGTGATAAAATATGGAGTGAAGTGGTGAAGGAGGAGAGGTCATCAAAATCTATTTGGCACTCCATAGTGATTTGAGTGTTGGACTATAATCCTGGCATCTAGGGTTGAAATCTCTGCTCAGCTATGCAAATCCACTGAGTGATCTTGGGCAAGCCATATTCTCTAAGCTTCAGAGGAAGATGCTGTCAAATCCTTTAGAAGATGTTTTGCCAAGAAAACCCATGATAGGTTTGGGTCACCATAAGTCCTAAGTGAAATGAAGGCATCAGATGCCATCTAATCATAGTATCTAAGCAGGGGCAGCTAGTACTTGGATGGAAATATGCCAATGAATGCCAGGTGCAGTAGGCTATATTTTAGGAGAAGGAACTGGTTGTCCTGACACAACAAACATACAAACAAACAAACAAACAAACAAACAGGAGAAGGAACTTCTGAGAATTCTTTGTCCAAGAAAATCTTATAAAATTCATTGGGTTGCCATAGGCTTGAAGGCACACATACAGGAGAAGTAGTCCTAGGACTTCATCACATTAAGAAATACTTAATTTTTGATACAGTTTAAGAAGGTTTTCAAATGGGTCCCATCACATGGCCCATTCCATCAGTAATTTGTCTGCAAAATGCTGCAAAAATTGATTATTTGCACACAGGATTATAATAGTTGCATCTGAAATACTACAGGGTTTACAGTCACTGAAGTGCTGTTTTTGTGTGTGATTGGGAAATGAGTATGCATCCCACCAGCAACTTGAAATTCGAGGGCATGTTTTGGGGGCGGAGTCTTGTGACTGTTCATGACAGAAGTGGCTGCCATTTCTGTTTATGACATTGAAGGAGAAAGAGCCATGTGTAATGATTCAATAATCTACTGCTTTGAAATCCAATAAAATGATTGCTACCAAAAGGTAGCAATCAAGCAAATGCATTTACTGTGCAGACACTAGAAGTAGTTTGAGACTTTGAGGCTATGTCACTGAGCAGTTTTAGATTTTTTTTAAAAGGGAGTCTTTTGAACAGATTGGGGAGAATCAGTTTTCCATGGTGTGGTGAGACAAGTGGAATATTTTCTGAAGACAAAGATTTAGTACAGTAGAGTCTTGCTTATCCAACATAAACAGGCCAGCAGAAAGTTGGTTAAGCGAAAATGTTGGATAATAAGGAGGGATTATGGAGCCTATTAAACATATAAATTTGACATGATTTTACAAATTAAGCACCAAAACATCATGCTTTACAACAAATCGACAGAAAAAGCAGTTCAATACACGGTTACGTTATGTAGCAATTACTGTATTTACGAATTTAGCAACAAAACAGCACAATTTATTGAAACAGCTGTGGATCCAGGCGGGAGGCAGACTGCATTGGATAATACAGAATGTTGGATGAGTGAAGGTTGGATAAGCGAGACTCTATTGTATTTGGGTGTGATGGTGTCAGTATGCACCCAATCTAAAAACAGTATGCAATCAGTCAGAAAAAAAAAAACAATGGGATGCATACTGATATAATCAGATTATATCCCAATAAGATAAGGTTCCTGTTGCAATGAACAAAGAAGAAAAAGGGGAAAAAGGAGTGTGTGTATGTGTGGGGGAAGTTTGATGTGCTGGGTCTCTGCCAAAAAAAAATTAGCTCAGTGTAAACACTTGAAGGCATCTTTAGAATGTCCTTATCTGCGAGAGCACTGAAGCTTTTGTATTCTGGAAGTTTTCAAACCAGCAGCTGTCTAGGAGCCAGGATGGCAGGGACTTTTTAATGTGGGTGTTTAGTACAAAGAAAAATACAAGCCAGCTGACCAGAAAGACTGGAATTTCAGCTCCCCACAGCCCACCTCCTTGGATTTCTTCCACTCCTGCTCTCCCTCCTTCTCCTCTCATTTTGCAAGTCCTTCAAACCAGAGATTATTGGGTCAGCAACTTTCATTATCCTTCCCAAGCTCCAGTCTTCATTTGTCAGAGCTACCGAAGGAATGCCAGGACTAGTAAGTACTCTTCTTTCTTCATCCTTTTTCCTGCTGCATATATGGAGGGAATGGTACAATAATGTCATGACATGGGATGTGAATATTGTAAGTTTTCCCAATCCCAGACTTTCCTTAGAAATAGAGGATTTCCTAAACCATGAGTCTGAGAACAAATTTAGGAAGAGAATTCTAAGATGAAACACTAAGATCTGGCAGTGTGATGAACAGTGAAATGTCTTACATATTTACTCACAGGTAAGCCACATTGAGTTCAATCAGCATAGAAATGCAACCTTTAAAATCCAGTCAATTTTATTATTCTTTTGCATCAATTCCTTGTTTGTCCAGGAAGCAAAATCTTATTCATAGCAGTTTGCCTGGAACAACCCACACAGAACTTATGTCTCTAGCATTCACTTTGGTCCACTGTAGAAGTCCCAGAAGAAATAACACATGGAATTGTTCCAGCCATACTAAATACATGGACGAGATAAAGAAAAGTATTTTGGCATAACTATTGTAACACTGAGCAGCATTGTTTGCGATAGTTTATGTTGAATGGAATTTTAAAGAGAGCCATAAATTGGACAGTAATTTTTTGTTTCTGTTTACTAGCAACATGTGTCAGTGAGTATGCCCCAAGGAAGTGGGGGAGAAAAGCTAAGACCTGCTTTTAAAAACACTTTGTAAGGAGATTTTATATAATTCAAGAATAGCTTTCCCTTCTTTTAACATTCATGATTTCTCTTGGAAGCAATGGATAAAACTAACAGAAGGTGAATATGTTAGTGAAATGTGTATAAGACAACATGTATTATGTTTCAGATGCTAAATTCTCAAGAGTTTAATAATTTATCCCGCATTAATAAAAGAATGGCCTCCAGTCCAGCATTTATAAAATGCTTAGGATCTCACAGGTTTTTTAAAAGTAAGATTTAGGCTCAAACATAATATAAGTAATATTGAGCTCAATAGGTGGGTAAAAGTAAAGGTTTTCCCTTGACATTAAATCCAGTCGTGTCTGACTCTGGGAGTTGGTGCTCATCTCCATTTCTAAGCTGAAGAGCCAGCGTTGTCTGTAGACACCTCCAAGGTCATGTGGCCAGCATGACTGCATGGAGCACTGTTGCCTTCCCGCCGGAATGGTACCTATTGATCTACTCACATTTGCATGTTTTTCAACTGCTAGGTAGGCAGAAGGTGGGGCTATCAGCAGGAGCTCACGCTTCTCCTTAGATTCAAACTGCGACCTTTCGGTCAGCAAGTTCAGCAGCTCAGTGCTTTAACCCACTGCGCCACTGGAGGCTCCAAGCTTAATAGGACTTCTTGTTATTGTTGTTGTGTGCTTCCAAGCAATCCCAAGGTCGTCATAAATTTTTCTTGGCATGTTTGCTTTGCCTTCCTCTGAGGCAGAGAGAGCTTGTCAACGTCCTTCTTGAATTACGGTATCCAGAAATGGACACAGTGCTATTACAGGCGAGCTGTGACCAACATAGAATAGAGTGGGACTAGGGACTACTATCACATGGATGAAGTCCAGCATAGTGATTTGCCAGCCTCTGTCATGAATCTGGGTGGCAGCAAGGTAGTCCTGCCACCATCATGCTGCTGCCCAAGTTTATCCACAGAGCCCCACCGGAAGTCACCCTACATCATCTCATGGGCAGCATGGGGCTCCATGGGTGAACTGGGATGCATTTTTTGTTCCATGTGATAAGGCTGTCTGTTTTCCCTCAATCAATCCATTATATTATTATTAATGCATCATAAAATTGCATTGGCTTTTTTACCTGCCACATTACACTGCTTTTTTCATGTTAGGAGCAACTTGGGAAACTACAAGTTGCTTCTGGTGTGAGAGAATAGGCCATCTGCAAGGATGTTGCCCAGGGGATGCCCATATGTTTGATGTTTTTACCATCCTTGTGGGAGGCTTCTCTCATGTCCCCACATGAGAAGCTGGAGCTGACAGTGGGAGCTCAATCCAGTCTCCTTGGATTAAAACCTCTGACCTATTGGTCAGCAGTCCTGCCGGCAGAAGGGTTGAACCCACTGTTCCACCAGGAGCTCACATTCAGCTTGTGGTCTACTAGGACTCCTAGATCCCTTCCATATAGACTGTTTTCAAAACAGGGTCTGGTGCCTTTTAGAATCAAAGAGCCATTCAGTAGATCTTACCTCTGAGCAAGCCAGGTAAAAATGATAGTTCATTTGTTCCATGCTCATCAAAGGATTGCTATGCCATAGTTTTATGCCATATGCTTTGCCCATTTGGAGAGACAGTTTGTTCCTGTCAAACCACTTACTATTTTTTTTTAAATATCATGGTCTTGGGGGGAAATCTAAAATATTTCCTTACTTAGGAAAAGGGAGGAACTCACAAAAATAAAACATTTTCTTGATGTACTTTACTGAGCAACAAAGTCTGAAATTTTAGCATCTTAAGATCTATCATTTTTCATTTATCTGGGGGTGATAAGCATAAACTTCTGCTTAATGCATTATTTCTCTGTAACATATTAACCAGCTCTGAGATAACTCGTTCTCATTCAACTTCTCCAGCATTTACAAAGAACAAACATTTTAAACAGCTTGTGAGGCAAAACTGGTTTTTCTTTTGTATATTTGTGGGCGTGACAATGGCTGTAATCCAGCATCCCCTCAGGGCAGCATGAATATTCACCCACAGAGATATGCTACATCTGCACTGCACAATCCTTCTTCAGAAGAGCAACTCCGTGCAACACATGTCAATGCTGGTGCCATCATGCAATGCACAACATGAAGAAACTGCAATGTGAGGAGTGTAAGCCTAATGTATAACCCCAATGTGCAACCCCAATGCAAGCGTGTTATGTTATTTGTATCCCTGCTTTTGGCACTGCCAGCAAAATATTGCTTATTTTTGCATGCATATGTCATGAACAGGATGCCAGCCATAACAGAACTAAAATTCTGGTTATTTTCAAATTTCTAAAGGTATCTTGCCCTTTTCATAAATAACAAAAGGAATTACAAGGAACATGGCTTATCACTTTCTCCTGAATTGGTTTCCAGCTATACAGTAAGCCTATCATACTCATCGGGGTTTGGTTGCAGGACCCACCATAAACACTAAAATCTGTAGATGGTCAAGTCCCATTACACATACAATGGCATAGTATAAAGATGCCCCCTTTTAAAAATAGCAAAATCAAGGTTTGCATTTTGTTATTTTGTGGTGGGCTACTTTTAAGTCATGGATACAGAGGCTATGCATAGGAAGAACCGATTGTATTGTATTAGCACCATCACTGTAGATTCACTTGGTTTCCCAATAAAGCAGTGGTTCTCAACCTTCTTAATGCCATGACCCCTTACTACAGTTCCTCATGTTGTGGTGACCCCCAACCATAACATTATTATTGTTGCTACTTCATAACTGCAACTTTGCTACTGTTATGATGTAAATATCTGATATGCAGGATCTATTTTCATTCACTGTACCAAATTTGACACAAATGCCCGAGACACCCAAATTTGAATACTAGTGGGGTTGGGTAGGGTTGATTTTGTAATTTAGGCGTTGTAGTTGCTGGGATTTATAGTTCACCTATAATCAAAGAGCATTCTGAACTCCACTAACAATGGAATTGGACCAAACTTGGCACACAGAACTCCCATGACAACAGAAAATACTGGAAGGCTTTGTGAGCATTGACCTTACCTACATCCAGAGAGCACTGTGGCCTCAAACAATGATGGATCTGGACCAAACTTGGCATGAATACTCAGTATGCCCAATGTGAACACTGATGGAGTTTGGAGAAAACAGACCTTGACATTTGGGAGTTGTAGTTGCTGGGATTTGTAGTTCACCTACAATCAAAGAGCATTCTGAACCCTAAGGCAGGGTGGTCCATGCCTTAGTCACCTCCAGATTGGACTACTGCAATTCACTCTACATGGGGCTGCCCTTGAAAACGGCCCGGAAATTCCAATTGGTACAATGGGTGGCGGCCAGGTTACTAACTGGTGCTCCTTACAGGGAGCGATCAACCCTCCTGTTTAAGGAGCTCCACTGACTGCTGTTCATTTTCCGGTCCCAATTCAAGGTGCAGGTTCTTACCTACAAAGCCCTGAACGGTTTGGGACCCACCTACCTGCGTGACCGCATCTCTGTATACGAACCCACACGATCTCTTCAATCATCTGGAGAGGTCCTGCTCACACTCCCGCCTCTTTCGCAGGCGTGATTGGTGGGGACGAGGGAGAGGGCCTTCTCGGTGGTGGCCCCACGACTCTGGAACTCACTTCCCAGAGATATCAGATATGCCCCAACTCTGGCAGTCTTTAAGAGGAGCTTGAAAACGTGGTTGTTGCAGTGTGCCTTCCCAGAATAAGGAAAACTTCCAGCATTATGTCCTCAAATGCACTTTACTACTGCCTTAGGATTGACTGCATTCCCTCATTCTCTCTAAAAATCCTATCCCAATTATATCCTACCTGGTTCACATCAGCACTATTTTTTTAATGTTAATCTATCACATTTGGCCCGGCCTTTGGTTTTAAATGTTTATATGTTGCTGTTGATTGCTTTTGTCTATTTTGTTCATGTGATTATGATTTATATTGCATTGTTTTGTTTATTGATGTTTTATTTTATTGATGTTCTGTTTATTGATGTATTGCGGGCTTGGCCTCATGTAAGCCGCACCGAGTCCCTTGGGAAGATGGTAGCGGGGTACAAATAAAGTATTATTATTATTATTATTATTATTAGCCCCACCAACGATAGAATTGGGCTAAACTTCCCACACAGAAACCCCATCATCAACAGAAAATACTGTGTTTTCTGGTGGTCTTTAGCGATGCTTCTGACACCTCCTCACAATATAATAATAATAATAATAATAATAATAATAATAATAATACTTTATTTATACCCCGCTACCATCTCCCCAAGGGACTCACAACCCCCCCCCCCCAGGAGTCCTGACCTCCAGGTTGAGAACCACTTCAATAAAGCATAATACAGATGAAACATGAATGCAAAGATACATTATTAAATAACATTCAGAGCCACAAGTGCTGTTGGGTTGCAATTCTCATTATCCCCAGTCCGCATGGCAGATAATCAAAAGTAATGGGAGTTGTCATTCAGTATCACCTGAGGACACAAATTGGGTAAAAATTAAAGAGCACTGACCACTATGTTAAACAAATTATATATAGCTCTCTGTGTCTATGGATTCTCTGCTCATGGATTCAGTGGTCCTTTGAACCATAAGGCTGATGTGACCCTTGGTGAAAATGAGTTTGACACCTCTGCTCTATGGCATACGTGGAAAGGCACTGGGAGCAGTGGTGCAGTGATACATCCCCAAAATCATGACCCCAAGGGGAGAAAAACAGAAGCATTTGTGTCAACCCACTTCAACAAACCAACAAGTTCAGCACCAAGACATTCCAGAAACTTTATCTTATAAGTGTGGTCACTCACATCTCACAACAATTAATTGTTACAATGCACTGATATTAAGTTCAGAGGATAAAGGATGCAGCAAATGATGCCATTTCCCCTATTTATCAAAAAGTCCTGGAGCTTCAGCCCTTTTAACCCTGGCTCAACTACAGCACTGACTGAGAGCTATGTTTAGAACACCAATAGGCACAATCCATTGTGGTTAATAGAACAGGTCAAAACAGTAATTTCCTCGAGTGGTTTACAAATGGCACGCTCACAATAAAGGCACAAACTAAATAATACTACATTTTGGAGGCTCGAGGACCACAGCTGCCTTACATAAACCATATGATACATAAAGCAGTATGATCCTCTTGCCCAAGGATTAAGTGTTCACGGTTTCAGCCAGGAAGTGTTTGTGGGCCTCTCAAGGTTCTCCAGTACTATTCTATGGTATGCTTCTGGGCCAAGTATACTCAAAATTACTCAAAATATAGGATTCACTTGAAAAACTGCAAGTCACTTCTGGGGTGAGAGAATTGGCCGTCTGCAAGGACGTTGCCCAGGGGATGCCCAGATGTTTTTGATGTTTTACCATCCTTGTGGGAGGCTTCTCTCATGTCCCCGCATGAGGAGCTGGAGCTGATAGAGGGAGTTTATCTGCGCTCTCCCCAGATTCGAACCTGCAACCAGTCGGTCTTCAGTCCTGCCAGCGCAAGGGTTTAACCCACTGCGCCACCAGGAGCTCCCAGTAATTAAGTTAAGCTTCTCTGAGCAGGAATTGATAGCAGACATGCCTTCTCAAACTGCAACATGAACAAAGGATCTGCATAGTGTCCTATTGTTTAACAAAGTGAAATCCCTGAATAGGCAACATTCAAGAGGGTTTTTAAAACCACTTCCTAAGGAAACCTCTTAGTCTAGGCTGCAATTGCTGTTGCAAAAATGCCTCTGGCAACCTTTGAAAGCTGGCTGTGAAGATAAACTGTGCATGTGTTTCCTCTGATATTTAGATAAACCTTAATTGCCTGAGTACATGAAGTTGACACAGGTAAGATAAGGGGATCAGTGCTCTTTCACAAAAGTCACATGTGAAAAAAACCAAACACAGGTTGACCTGTAAATATGTAGATTGTATAAATAATCATTGTTTCAAAAACCCAACATTTACCATTTTTCAGAAGTTAACTAAATTCTTTACCCTCTCCTTACTTAAAAAGAAAACTGAACGCAGAAGTAGGAGGGACCATTGTGCCTTCCTTTCCTGTCATTTAAGGAGGCCAAACTACCTTTATAATTATATTGAAAAGTTGTCCCTTGTTAAGGTACAGTAATTGTTGTTATGTGCCTTCTGGGGCTGAGAGTGTGCATTAATTGTTTATAAAAGGAATTCATTACTTTATTTGGATTTAGCTATTACCAGGCCATGAGAACCAGTGTGGTATAGTGGATTGAGGATTGAACTATAACTCTAGAGACCTGGACTCAAATCCCTGCTCAGCCATGGAAAAACGTTCTCAGCCTCAGGGCACTTCCAGACAGCACCAAAATACGGATTTTAAAATTGTGGCAAAAACTCCTGAGACCTGTTAGCAGGTCCACACACAGACCTGTCAGTCCTGGGAAATGCTCCCCCATCAGCCTCACATCTTTCATTGAGGCAAATTAAGACCTCTTCCACACAGCTAAATACAATCCCACATTTTCTGCTTTGAACTGAAATATATGGCAGTGTGGACTCAGATAACCCAGTTTCAATCAGATATTGTGGGATTTTCTGCCTTGGTAATCTGGGTTATAGGCTGTGTAGAAGGGCCCTAAGATAGAAGGCAGATGGGGAACATCCTGCTGAAGTTTTTTTAAAAAATCTCCATAATGCACTGGATTTCATGTGCTCATATGCCAATATCTTAATGTACACACAAGCAGATTTCTTATCTCTCTCTTCACCAAATTGTTAATTCAAGCTCTGTTCAATATGAAAAAGATCAAAAGAAAGGAATGAATGCTTGCAGAGAGTTCTAATTGTTTTTCAATTCTGCTTCCTTTTACTCACCTGTGTTTCCGTGGCTCCATTTTTTTTAAAGCATGCACGTGCACTGGAGCAGTCCACACAGGGGGAAGGGAAGGAAAACACATGTTTTGCTATACAGTCATGTGAAGGTGCATATTTTTGGGATGGAATCTGGTTCTAAGGGCACTTTTTAAACACATGCTTTTTAGTTGTTAACCCGATTCCACCCACACTTTGTTGAAACGTATGATAGCCACCCCATCTTTTATCCCAGTTACTTCTGGGGTTTTATCTATGTGTAGAAAGACCCTCAGAAGAAGGCAAAGGCAAACCTCCTCTGAATAAATCTTACCAAGAAGCCCCTGTGATAACATTCCCATAGGATCACCAAGAAACAAGATTGCTCCAGTTTCAATATGACTACCTTTCAAATATTCAAACTTGATTGTCATGTCTCCCTCTTAATCTCACCTCTCAGAATTACATCTTTTACCCCAGACAGTTGATCTGGTCCTAAGAATAGCATGTGTTTTGGCATGTTTACCTGACACTATCATTGTGAAGGTCTTTTGATTCTGATACTGCCTTTCTGCTGCTGTAGAGCAATTGATTCAAATACCTTTTTTGCTATCTATTCAGTAGAGTTTGGGAGTTGCCTTTCTGGACTACTGTCCTCAGAATTAACTACTTGTCCAAAATCTGTTTCGGTGTAGGAAAGCTGAGCTGTAAATAGAAAATACATGAAGCCCTTGTGGTTTCTGTCAACAGTCTTTGTAGGCTGGACCAATTTATTGATCAGAGTGAAATGATCTTCCAAAGGTAGCAAAATCTGGAGCCTCTGTAAATGACACTAATTATTTTTTTTTACTATAAATGATTATATTTTGCTGTTGGTCAGTATCCCATTTTATTTTGATTTTCTCCTAATAAAAACATACCTTTCTGTAACATGCCAATGAAACCCTTAGCAGTTTGCATAAGGCCCTAGACCACACAGTCCCCCTCATGCCTGTCTAATCTGATTCATAGCACCAGAGTGTTGGAAGAGACTTCATGGGCCATCCAGCCCAACCCCCTGCCAAGAAGCAGGACAATCGTGTTTAAATCAACCCCAATAGATGGACATCCAGCCTCTGTTTAAAAGCCTCCATAGCAGGAGCCTCCTCCACAATCCGGGGCAGAGAGTTCCACTATTGAACGGCTCTCACAGTCAGGAAGTTCTTCCTCATGTTCAGGTGGAATCTCCTTTCCTGTAATCTGAAGCCATTGCTCCGTGTCCTAGTCTCCAGCACAGCAGAAAACAAGCTTGCCCCCTCCTCCCTGTGACTTCCCCTCACATATTTATACATGGCTATTATGTCTCCTCTCAGTCTTCTCTTCTGCAGGCTAAACATGCCCAGCTCTTTAGGCCATTCCTCATAGGGATTGTTCTCCAGACCCTTGATCATTTTAGTCACCCTCCTCTGGACACATTCCAGCTTGTCCATATCTCTCTTCAATTGTGGTGCCTAGAATTGGACACAGTATTCCAGCTTCCTTTTGAGCCAAAAAGCCCCCTGTGAGTCAAAACTCCTCCTAATAAGATTAACTGAAAAAACAGATTTTTTAAAATAAAAAAACACACCAATAGTAATAATTATAATTAAATTGGAACTTTAGAACACAGTTGAGTTAAAAACAATTAAAACCATACGTACAGCCAGTCAACTGCCAAAATGCAAACTACATTAAATAGAAGAAAATAAACACATTTGCTAAATGATGGCAGAACTATAGAGGAAATCTTTGAAAGTGAGTTGCATAGCCTGGGAGGAGTCCCTTGCTAGCTTAGCTAATTTGCTCTCTGCAATAAATTACAGTTTTGGGACTGGTTCTCTTGTGAAACCTTTTAAATGCAATTTCCCATTCTTCCTGCTCTGCCTCTTTTCCCTGCCTTCTCAGTTTTTAGGAAAACTAGGAGAGATGGTTCTGAATGCTGGACCTGATCTTAAGCTGAGGTCTCCTTATCCACTTTTTATTTCCAGGACATATACTTAATTAAACACACAGGATACCATTGCATGATGCCCTTGAATGGATGGTAAAGCTTCCCTTGAAAGAACGAAGAAGCCACCTCTTTTCCAGAGAGGTTTTCTCCTCTAAGATGACAAAGAACAGCTGGCTCCTTTTGCTCTTTGCACTTCATTTGAGAAGCATCTGCTCCTCTTTCGTCAGTGTCAACCGTGGGATGAAAGTGATGAAAGGTCAGTCTGTTTTCCTGTCGCAAGAGGACCTGCAGTTTTCCATCCCCAAAGAGAAGGATGCCTGCAAAGTAGAAGTCGTGATGAATGAGCCAATCACGCAACGAGTTGGGAAGCTGACGCCACAGGTAGGTGGAGCTAGATTTTCACCTCATGGCCAAAAGTCTCGCAAAATATTGGTTTGAGAAGGAATGTATCTGCTGCTTAAAAAGATGCTGCGTGAGTTCTCAAGTACAGATTGAGGATCCCTTATCTGGAATGCCAAAATATTCCAAAGTTGTCCACATGTGGGGCTGAAATAGTGACATCTTTGCTTTCTGATGGTTCGAAGCACACAAATGTTGTTTCATGCACAAAATTGTTAAAAATATTGTGTACAATTATCTTCAGGCTATGTATATAAGGTGGGTATGAAAGACAAATGGATTTCAAGTTTAGACTTGGGTTCCATCACCAAGATACCATGTTATGTATGTAGATTAAAATACAGATGTTATTAAAAAACACGGTCTCAAGCATTTTGAATAAGAGATGCTCAATGTATATAGTATTTGTTTCCATTGGTGTGAATTCAGTTGTTGGTGCCAACTAGAGTAGGACCACTCCAGATTTTTTTGTGTCAGGAAAAACAGCAAGTTGTTTCTGGTGTGAGAAAATTGGCCGTCTGCAAGGACATTGCCCAGGGGATGTTTGAATTTGAACCTTCAACTGGTTGGTCTTCAGTCCTGCCGACACAAGGGTTTAACCCATTGTACCACCTGTCAGAGTAGCATTAGTAGCCCGCAAAATGTCTCAGCCCTTTTTATTCTCAGTGTGATAAAAACTCAAAACATACATGAGTCTGTTGCTTTAAGTAGAAACAAAAATATAGTTCTATTCACTGTGGATCAAAAACATAAAGCAAAACAGAAGAATTTTTTTCACCAATATACAACAAACAATATCTCCGGTGAGTCTTCTTCTTTACATATAGCAAAATAATATAGTCTCTCTACTTAGTTATCAGTAGAATGTCCTTATCTTGCCAAAAACAAGCAGTTTCTTTGGCACTCCAAACTGCTTCAGTCTTCAGCTTCAGGGCACTGCGTAACAGTGCAAAAGCCAAAGGTTTTTTCAGCTCAAAATGAGCCATCAAGCTAAGCCAAAATGTAAAGCTCAAAGTTTGAAAACTTAGTGCCTTGTTATATGCAGTAACAGATAACACACCCAATTAACTTGTGGCAGCTGTAACTGAAAAGGTTCAGATCCTCCCTGTTACTTAGAAAAAGCCTGCTGTAAACCCCTAGTAGCAACACCATCGGGGGCTCCTAGATTACAAGTGAGCCAGTGGGGCTACTGTGTTTGGGACGAAGAGTAGAATTTAGGCCAAGGAAGAGAATCATTCCCTACTCCAGATGTTCTTCAACTACAGAACTAGCATTCCTCATTTAAGATGGCTAACTTTGTTGCAACTTGCAGCTCTACAACATCTGAAATGGTGTCAAACTTGTTGATTAAAATTGGATATTGGTCTGGGGAATATATCCACCTAAATGGCAGGGGGGTGGACTGGATGGGCCATGTGGTTCTCTTCCAACTCCATGATTCTACGATACACACACTGAAAACAGAGTGGACTTCTATTAGATCCCCCCCCCCCCCCCGCTTCTGCTAAATGAAAGGGAATTCTGCCTTCCAATACTTCTTTTAATCATTGGGAGATTTGTTCTGTTTGGATTGTTAAGAACTTCTTGTTTGTATACATTGAAGATAGCCAGTGTCTGCAGGGCAAAGTATAACATTGCGGAAGCCTCTACTGTACGTAAGAGTTCCTTTTAATTACTGTCCATGTGATTATGGAGCGGCTAAAGTAGAAATGTATAGCAGACCATGTAATCTGTTCAATTCCAAGGAAAAAAAAACAACAAATGATAAATGTACAAAATGTTTTTCCCCTTTTGTTCTGCCATGTTGCAATAGGCGTATCACCTTCTGTCTTCCTGTTAGTCTGGTCAGCCTCCCATCTGGGTTGACTTGTGGAAGACCATTAAGAGGAAGCTGTGCTTGATTGAAGTGGTTAGTTACATCAAAAAGCAGGCTTTTCCAGAATGATGTGGTTGTTTTGTTATTGCTCCAAGAAGCCACTTATCATTTTATTTTCCTTCTCCAATCTGGTAGAGAGCATGATATGTCTGTTCTGCTCAACATTTCCTTGCCTCACTTCACCACCACCTGTAGAACATGGGGTGCAAAGCCCACAATGTCTATTTTTCTGTCTTGAAACTAGCCATCCCCTGCCACGTGTTGCTGTGGCCCAGTCTGGTAATCTAGAAAATAAAGTAATTAGAAAGTGTTGGTTTCTAATATATGTAATTTCTTTATGCTCGTGGGTAAACAGTATTTCTTGCTGTTTCTTTGTCAGTGTTGATGTGGAGATTGTCTGGTTTGCCAACTGGAACATGCAACATATAATTGTCCTTCTTTAGGGACAAATCTACGATACTATATCTGTCATATATAGACAAATGGAATGGAATGGATATATGGACTCTGATATATGGACTCTGACATGAGATTGTTTTATGATTTTAGTAGGTATTGATGTTTTAATTTAATTGTTGAATTGTTATATTTTGTATTGCTTGTTGTGTGATTTGGGCATCTAATTGTGCCTTGCCTGTAAGCCGCCCTGAGTCCCCCCCGGGGTGAGAAGGGCGGGGTATAAGTAAATGAAATAAATAAATAAATAAATAATAAATATACATATATGTGTATGTGTGTGAATCATATATAGCTATCTATATCTATGGCTGGATGGCTCTTTGTCAGAAGGGCTTTGATTATGTTTTCTTGCTTTGATGAATGGAGTTGGACTGGATTGCCTTAATGCACCATTTCTCAACCTGGGGGTCGGGACCCCTGGGGGGTTGCAAGGAGGTGTTAGAAGGGTCGCCAAAGGCCATCAGAAAACACAGTATTTTCCATTGGTCGTGGGGGTTCTGTGTGGGATCTTTGGCCCAATTCTATCGTTGGTGGGGTTCTGAATGCTCTTTGACTATAGGTGAATTATAAATACCAGTAACAACAACTCCCAAATATCAAGGTCTATTTCCCCCAAACTCCATCTGTGTTCATATTTGGGCATTTGGAGCATTTGTGCCAAATTTGGTCTAGATCCTTCATTGTTTGAGTTCACAGTGCTTTCTTGATGTAGGTGAACCACAACTCCAAAACTCAAGGTCAATGCCCACCAAACCCTTCTAGTGTTCTCTGTTGGTCATGAGAGTCCTGTGTGCCAAGTTTGGTTCAGTTCCATCATTGGTGGAGTTCAGAATGCTCTTTGATTGCAGATTAACTATAAATCCCAGCAACTACAACCCCAAATGAAAAAATCAGTTTTTGAGTGATGGTCACTCCTTGACTTAGTAGGTGTCTTGTGGCCAAATTTGGTGGCAATTAGTCCAGCGGTTTTTGAGTTATGATGTCACTCAAATTGAACAGAGTATTTATATATAGATAGATAGCTACGAGGAGGGAAGTATTTTCCCAGTGAGGTAGATATATTTTCTGGACTTCATAAAAATGTTCAAATCACATGTTAACAGGCCCCATATGGAGGGATTCAGAATGGCTTATGCATTGTAGCTGTTGCATGCAAAAAGTGGTTCCATGTGTATCTGTTTGTATGTGTACATATATGCAAATAGCATACCAAATTTTGGATTCAAAAAAGTCACCCACTTTTCCTAATTGGAAACTGTGCTTGTTTGTTTCACTTATTTATAGGCAGCCTTTAAAAATACCAAACTGGCATCTAAACAAGAAAAGGCTTGATTTTGCTTGATTCTCAGTCAGATTAGCAGCAAAGTATATCATAGCCCGAAGGGCAGGGATACAATCAGTCATAATAAGACTTCCTAAAGACTTTATAGGAAGGTTTTGAAAGGCTTTCCAAAAAGAAGAAGAGAGGGGAATTGCTGGTTGCTTCTCAGAGGCAGATTTCACAGTTGCAGCGCTGCTTGCCTTCTGATGGGAGTGAGCTGCATGTGATTCCAGGTTGAATTTGAAGCATCCGTATAAAATGAAATGAAGCATAATTTTTAATTATTTTTCAGAAAGCATCCATCAGGGAAATTTGGTAAATAGATTGATTATTTTTGGCATTATTTTTGTTTTTATAAATTTTACAAGGAACGTATGAACGATGGAGCGCAAGGTTTCAGTCTCTAATCTAAAAGTCCCCGGTCATGCAATGAGTTAAACCCTTTTGATGGCAAGACTGCTGACCAAAAGGTCAGCAGTTCAAATCCAAAGAGCAGGGTGAGCTCCCATCTGTCAGCTCCAGCTTCTTATGTAGGGACATGAGAGAAACCTCCCACAGGATGGTAACACATCTGGGTGTCCCCTGGGCTGCGTCCTTGCAGACAGCCAATTCTCTCACACCAGAAGCAACTCGTAGTTTCTCAAGTCACTCCAGACACTAAAAAAAGTCTGATTATATGCCAATATGAACTCAGATAATCCAGTTCAAGAGAACTGTGCGAGAGAAGCCTCCTACAAGGATGGTAAAACATCAAAACATTCAGGCATCCTCTGGGCAACGTCCTTGCAGATGGCCAATTCTCTCACATCAGAAGCATCTTGCAGTCACTCCTGATATGAAAAAAATATTGAATTCAAAGATGTTAATCTGCATCCTGAAACTGAATTATATGGCAATATAGATCCAACATGAGTAGCCTTCCCTCATCAGACTCCTCCAGATGTGTGACCTACAACCCCATTGCCTTAGGAAGAGGTTGATGGAACTTGTAGTACACATCCGGAAGTGCCAGGTTGAGAAAAGCTGAAATAGAGCAGTCCTTAGACTCGAGTAAAGGTAATTAGAACCTGCTCTTGTTTAAACTAGAAGTTGTTCTTTTAACCAGGAAAAGCTGCATTATTCAAGAGCTGTTCTTATGATCTCGTTTGCTGTCATTAAAGTGAGTAATGTACTAGGAATGTGTGACAATTTAATTACAAATTGTAATTGAAAAGTAGTTGAAGTGGAAATAAAAGCAAGTCCCGGCATTAATTAGGAAAAGATTTAGCTCTCTTTTGTTGTACTTGTTAAATTTATGGACAATTATGGGTGGCTGTTCATATGAAAGGAAAACATATTAGGAGGCATAAAACAGATGTTTCTTTTTAACAGAGCAGATTGTGTCTACTTTATAATCGCTGCCTGTCTATGGCAAGAGTCCTGTGCAGGAAAAAGCTTTCATTATTTATCTTCCTCATTATCAATTAACAGAAGGAACTAATGATGTCTTATGGAGAAAAAACATTTTATGAACAATCTTACCATTGTTCTCTGATGAATCACTTAGGTGGTACCAAGGTATACATAGCTTCTTGCATTATAAGTCTTACAGCCAAAATGGGTTTGGAGCCCATTGTTTAAATTGCCTCTGAGCCTCTGTTGTGCCATTCCTGTGAGCATCTGAAGTCATAGGGGCTTCCGATAGATTCATTTTAAATCACCCCTTAAAACATTGACGAAAAGTAACATCTGTTTTCTTTCAAATTTCCTCTTGCATGACCAACAGTTCTACATGAGGCAAAATGACTGTGGCATTAGCATCATTTATACCTCTAGGTCAGGGAGGCATAAATGTGCTTCTTATTTTCATTTTTGGTGGGTGGGGAGCATGTTGTTCATGCACAACAGAGTGTTCCTACCATTATACTGGGAAATTCTGTCTCCTTTGGATAAATGGGATCAAAAAGCGAGTTATATATCTTTTTACATTTTTGCCATCCATGATGAGTAGATGTGTGTTGTAGATCAGCCAGAGGTTGATGGTTTAACTGATGATTTAGAGAGGATTGTGGCTTTCCTGTGACACAAAGTGATGGGGGCTCAAGTCTGGGAAATTCAGGACTGGGAAATGATGTTTCTCACAGTGAGAAAACTGTCTTGGAAAGTGCAGGGCCTCAAGGCCAGTCTGAGTCATAAGTAGCAACAGCAGATAAAAAATTGAGCGAAGAGCTGAGTGATAAGGACGGTTCCCAGAAGAAACCATCTGTAGCTACGGAGATTAACAAAAGTCTTTGTTTACAAATCAGAGCCAAAAATATATTACACTGGTCTGAGAGATTATGTGGGAAAGTGAGGAGAAAATTCATGGGAGACGTAATGCTTTCAAAGGTGTCTATTAAACAACAAGTTGTTTATCTTAAAAGCAGTACAGGCAACGCTGCATTGAAGTGAGAAGCTAAGCCTGTGTTCTCTTGTTCTTGGTTCAAGTCAAGCCTTGGTTTTAGATTTTAATCCTAGAAGTTTTCTAAGTTCCTGTTCATGTACTCCTGTACAAGTTTTACTATTTAGACCTTTTTGCTTGTGCTGTACCTGTGATTTCTGGCTGTTCCTGGACCTTGTCACCTCTGGAACTTTATGAGACATTTGAATTATTGTTAGGTTATCACCTGTTGTGAAACCTTTTTGGATTACATATCTTCCTTTCTTATTCCTGCTTTTTTATATGCCTTCTATGTCTTTTACAATAAACTATTTGCTTATATTTCTGGACTCTTGTGTGGTGTGGTGATCATAGGTGTTTCCATGCCTGGAGTGCAACTGTATATGTGGGTGTATCAGTATTTTGGCACAAACATGTCATGAGTCAGCTTTGAATGTAGATCATACAGTGAAATACAAGTGTTTGTAAATTATTTGCACTTCCAAGAAATTGAAGAAAAAATTCTTATAACCCAGGATATGAAATGTCCTTTAGAACAGATGTTTTAGCAAGAAAATCAGTTGTAGTATTTGGTCGGATAGTATATATGTATAGAACGTATACAGTGATACCTTGAGTTAAGAGGTTAATTGTTTTTGTGACCAAGCTCTTCACTCTTATCTTAAAGCATTTTCTCATTGAAATGCAATTAATCCATTCTGCCCCCGAAACACCCCCTTTTTTGTAATGCGTTTTTAAATAAGAAAATGTATTTTCTAAATAACAAATAATGTATAAATGCACATTCACATAGAACAATAAAAAGAAAGATCAAGTTTAAAATGTTAGAAGCACGAAGTTGTAGCAAGGAAGCACTTTGTTCAAGATGTGATTTTAAACATTTTCAAATAATCTGATTAAAAGGTATTAATTCCTCTCTGTCACAGTGATAATTATCTGGATATATGTCTACACTGTATATTTTAGCCATATAGTTCTTTTCCATAAATTGTTTGTTTTTCAAGACAAGTAAAATGAATGGAGAATGCAATCTTTCCAACACACTGTCATCCTTTTAAACAAAATTTATCTTTTACAGGTATTTGACTGCCATTTTCTCCCCAATGAAGTCAAGTACACTCACAATGGATGTCCAATTCTTGATGAAGACTTAGTCTTGCTAAGGTTATACAGGTAAGCAACACCTGTGGCGGTTATTAATCAAGGAGCAAGCCTATTTTCACAATTCATTAATATTTCCCACTTTATCAGGGCCAGCCTGAGCTTAATGTAAGAGTGAAGCAGTCTTCTAAGACATCAGATGCTGAGAGATGTTGGAGGAGGGAGCAGATCAAGATGTTGCCCCTTCCACAGTGTTGAAGAAATATTTACCTATCAATCAATTTGGTTTAGGAACATAAATGGTGAGGGAAGCACCTTTGTGTTTGCTTCAAGAAACAGAATGTCTTTAGCTAGCTTATATATATTTATATATAATGTATATGTGACAAGACTTAAAATCTTTAGTTATTGTATATATTCATGTTAAATTCTAATTAAAAAATCAACCTAAAATCATAAGTTGACTTATCCACAGGTCAATGTAAGTACTGCACCTTAACTCTTTTTTTTTTTTAAAGGAGTAATCTCCTCTCTGAATAGACTGGCAAAAGTAGAGTTTACTATGCCCCAGGGTCTTTCCACACTGCCCTTTATCCCAGGATCTGATCCCAGATTATCTGCTTTAAACTGGAATATATGAGTCTGCACTGCCAGATAACCTGGGATAAACAGATAAACCTGGGATCAGATCCTGGGGTAAAGAGCAGTGTGGAAGGGCTCCCAGGGGAACTTAAATGAAGCACTGACTTTCTTTGCTTTCTCTGGTACAACCCTCCTTCAATTGCTTTTGAATACATGGGTTGCAATAAGTGGTAGCCAGGAATAGTTGCCCCTTGAGTTTAATTTTATTTATCATATCAGGAGCGAACCAAGGGTACAGTTGTAGTCCCTTGATTTGTTACTGGTGTTTCACCCGCTCTGTGGCATGACTCTCATTGTATCTATGGATCATATCAAAACCCATTGTTTTGGCCCCAAAAATTGCTCTCTACTAATCCATTGGGGTGATGTACATATAGTATTATTGCACTTTTCTAAATTTTTCTGTTCCATATGATGGTTTGTAACACATTAAAAGCTTTGTTAAATTATAATTTGTGGTTATCTATGAGACCTAAAATGATGTGTGGATTATACTGTAAAGTATCCTAGAGGTCTTAAAAATATCTTCATTAGTCATACACCATAGAGAAATAGAATATGAAGACCATATCTGATGCATATCTTAGCAAAACACTTTTGGATTTCAGTATGTGCAGAGGTGTGTCTTATCTGCTTCCTGAAATACTATTTATTTTTTCTGTATGTCCCATCCTTTGCAGATTTACTGAAACTGAAACATACACAGAAATATTTACGCTTCATGTAAAGTTGCTTGAGCCAGATTGTAATATTATCAAGATGAGCTCTATTGCTCTGGAGGTTCCTGAGTTTCATGGCCTGTCTAATGTAATTAACAAGAATGTGATTACCCTGGATTATAACAAGAATATGAACTTGGAGTGTACTATAAGCCTGAACTCTGTAGAAACCTTCTTACCATCCAGTGGTCAGCTTGTGATTGGAGAAGCCAAGGAAGAAGAACCTCGTGGAGATCACCCTCAGAGTTTTTCTCCCACAACTGGTAGGTCACTCTTCATTTTTAGATCTATTAAAGCATACCTGCCAACTGCACCAGTTTGCATAGAGGGTCCCAATTCTTTTCTCCCTTCACAACATTTTCAGCTGCTTTCAAAATATCCCAGTTTTTCATTCCTCCAATTTCCCCCTCCTAAGCTTACTTCAGTTCCTGCAAACAGAGGGTGGTTCTTCACGGGAACGCATATTTCAGACTATTAGACCTCAGGGTAGGTGAAAAATACCTAACTAGATGCTATATTTCAGGCCTGAAGACGATTCAAAACATTAAGGTGAGCTGCCAGGATTTTCTCCTGATGGGACTTAGATATCAGCATTTGGATCCTCCCTCACCCAACATTGATTACATTCCTATCAGACTGGATCTAACTGATCGCAGAAGCAAGACTCTGTACAAGGTAAACAAGGTCTTACATTGTCTGCTGTGTGCCCTTGAGTTGCCCTTCAGTTGTTTCCAACTTACAGCAACCCCTGGAAGATTTGATTTGCTCATGGTCAACCAATGAAATTCCATGGCTGAGCAGGAGCCTCTAGAGCCATGCCCCAATGATCAAATCACTGCACCACACTGGCTTCCATTCTTATATCTATAAGTACAAATAGTATCTGGATTACTTTGTCTTCTAGAATAGGATGACAGCCATCATACAGCATGAACCCAATAGATACCCATGCCCAAGTACACCACTAAATATACCCTCACCAAAACAGATCCCAACTGAACACCAACAAATACCAGATGCTGTAGGTTGTATTTCAAAAGAAGTAACTGGCAGAATACACCTCTGAGTATTTGAAAATAATGGGGTTGCTGTAACTCAACAGGCAACTTGAGTGTGTCAGGTTGATCTAATACCTTTTTCAAACATTTTCCTAAAAAATTCAGGCAGATGATGGCATTATCCAAGGTCATCCATGGAGGGAAATGTTATATCAAACAGCCCTATTTATTATTTATTTATTTATTTATTTATTATTTATTACTGCGCTTGTATACCGCCGTTTCTCAGCCTAAATTGGCGACTCAACGCGGTTTACAACACTACAACAATCAACAATATTCAATTTAAAAAGCATAAAAAACACATACACAGTACACAGTATTGGGCCACCAATAACAATCCAATGCATCTCTTAGCTAAAATCGCAATCCAATTTCGTCGTCTGTGATTACCAGTCCTTTGATCATCAAATTCATTGCACCGGATTAACCGAATGCTTGTTTGAACATCCATGTCTTCAATCTTATGAATCTGATCAGTGCATAGCTTTATCATTTGCTAATTTCTTGCTTCTTTCTTATTCTACAGTCTGAGCATGTTTGGATTCCTGTTCAGATCAGAGGAGCAATTTCTAACCAGGCCCCACAAGCAGCTTTCATGGCTATGTTCATTCTGGAAGCAGACCAGTTTATTTTGAGTCCATTGTCAACAGTGATACTGGATGCTGAAGATGGTGAAACACCCAAATCTCTTCTTGTGTTTAACATTACCAAGCCACCTGAAGAAGGCTACATCACTCACCTACAAGATCACACAAAGCCTGTCTCGTCCTTCACATGGAATAGTCTCAATGATATGCTTATAGCATATCAGCCGCCAAACAGGAGCCATTCCGAGAGGAGAAATTATGAGGTAACTGATATTGGACTGGTGTCCCAATCTTTTGCATCTGACTATTTTACAAGGCCTGTGTAAACATCGTATATGATATGAAAGGGAATGGTTTAGAAAACAGAATTAGAGGCATAAGTTAAGGTACAGTACTTATGTTGACCAATGCATTAGTCAACCCAAGTTTTGGGGAAAATACCCACTAAAATTTCTAGACTAATACGCAACTTCTGAATTATATGATTTTAATGTTTTATATTAATATGTTCTTAATTCCATGTTTAAATGTCTAGATGTTGTTGTTTCTCTATTTAAAATGGTTTAATTTAATTTATAGTTATATGTTACAGTTGCTTTTATACTAGGTTTCTTTATATGTTGTAAGGCATTGAATTTTGGCTGTGAATTTGTTGGAAACCGCTTTGAGTTCCCCTTGGGGAGAAAAGTAGTATATAAATGAAGTAAATAAATAAATACAACTGTTTTTTCTTCCTGGTTTGAAATTTTTGCACATTTTTCTGATTATTCATATTTTATTGATCGTTTAGTGAAAATTTAATGTATATACAACAAATGTTTGGAAACAAACACCTATATTTCACTGAATCTAAGGCACCTTCGAAGCAAACCTGGTTTTTGAGGTTTCAATTTTAAGGGAAAAACAAAAAAAGAATATGTTTTTAGATTTTTTTGCTGCATGCACCATATGTTGTTTTTGTTTTAATGCAGTTTTTTTAAGTGTGAAGAAAGCCACAAGCCGTCTTATCTATATGATTCTGTTTTTCTTAACTCTATGGGCCCAGCCTGGCAGAGTCATTGGAGTCATTGGAGCTCTCCCTCTTTTTTTTTTTTAAAAAGAAATCCCAAAACTTGCTGAATCTAAGATACCATCAAATCTAAGGTGTAGCCACTTAAACTTGAAAAAGTGCACCTTAAATTCGATGAAATACGGTACATTTCTTACATATAATATTGTTATGCAAACACTAAACTGTTGTGCAAATCTATTTTCTCTACACAATTTTGCATGAGGAATTGCACAGAGGAATTGTTTGTAAAGTCTCAAAATGTGAAAAAATTGTAGCAGTTGATTTGTGGTGTCAGGGTATTCTTTCTCATCAAAATGAGAAAAAAATCATAAATGCTGTTTGTACCCTCTCTCAGGGGTAGTAAAGGCCTTGGTCTGACTGTCACAGTCAAAATAAGATTTAACTGTCAGTCCAGCTTTACTTTGGTAAGTGGAAAGTGTGGGAATATGTGCATGCCATTTACTTCTTTTCCCCAGATATCTTGGCCTTCTTATTTGTGTTGCCTTGTGACAATTTAGGGACTTCTGTGTTCTTTGACACAGTAATGTTAAGTCATTAAATCAGGAGAAAATCAGACAGGCTTTTGCTTATATGTGCATGGGAACCAGTACTGTATTTGAAGGGGAGGAGGGGAAAAGGTTAGCTTAATTGGATCAATAAACGGATTAAAGCTTGCTGAGCCACTAAAATTATTTCCCATATGAAATTATTTTTTCTTAAAAACAATTTCCTTTCTTTACTATAGATTTGCATCACAATATTTTAAAAATAAATATTGTTATCTTCATTTAAAAAGTAGCACTCCTGCTCTGAATGCTTTTTATTCAAAACCTTCCTATCAGGGTTTTTAGATAATCTGCAGTGATGATACTTGGAAAGTGTCACATTGGTGGGTTGTTAATGAGGATATAGTAGTGTTACTCTTTTTAGTGTAGTAAGTAAATCCCCCAAACTGTAGGAATAACATAGTGCTAGTTTCAAAGGACCTCTTCACACTATTTATTTTCAATGGTAGTGACGGGCTTTTAGCATCCTTGCCATGGAGCCTAATGGCTCCCATCACACCCTGGAGAAGTACTTCCAGGGTGGCTTTGTGGCAAAACTGCTAAAAACCTGTCACTGCTGCTGAAAAATAGCTGGTGGCAAAAGATAGGAGGCATCCTGTCTTTCCATAGCAATCAACAGATCAAGCTAGCTCCCTGATGCTTCCCCCTGTGTAAGGAGTTAGGAGGGAAGCTGGGATGGTGCCGGGTGTGGGGCAACATGCGATTTCTGGCAGCGCATGTGCCGAGGTCCAAAATGTTGTTTTGGTTGGGCATTTTCCTACTTTCAGGTTAAATTTTGTACTAACCAAAATATAATTTATATTATTATTATTATTTGTATTTATATCCCGCGTTTTCTCTCTCAAGAGAGACTCAAAGCAGCTAACACTAAAAATCATACAGGGAGACCCTGCTCTTGGTGCCACTGCCATCACAGTCGCGGTTGGTGGGGATGAGAAACAGGGCCTTTTCCGTGGTGGCCCTTTGGCTGTGTAACTCCCTTCCTAATGAAGTTAGATCTGCCCCCTCCCTTCTGACCTTCTGGAAGAAACTTAAATCCTGGTTATGGGATCAAGCGTTCACAGTGTTCACAGAATAGTTTGTTTTACTGGGGGAAGACAAGATTTTATTGGACCATACTTGGACTGATTTGGACGATGATTTTAATCTGGTGATTTTAATCTGGCGAAATGGTTCTAATGGATATTTTAATGTAGCCAGAAAAACCTACAACATCCCAGTGATTCCAGCCATGAAAGCCTTTGACAATACAGTTATCAAGTTACTTAATGTTTACCTTTGAACACTATTCCACTAATTGCTCTGGATGGAGAGACCTTGTCGTAAAGCAAAGTAACATAGTGGTGGAGATCAGCCTGCCATTCTGTAGATGTGGTGATTGAGTCCTGCTGGGTCTGTTTTATTTTACTTTTTTTGGTCATATGGAAATAGTAACCATTGTTTGGGTGAATGAGACAGACGAGTACATAAATAAACAAATAAAGAGAGGAATTTAATTTTGTAACTAAAATAATGATTAAACCAAGAAACAAAGTATATCCAGCGAGGCTCAATCTACTAATTTACAAAATAACAGGCAGACACTCAGAAAGGTCTAATAATTTCTTATAGAGAACACATCCTCAAATGCGGAGCAAAATTTGTGAATTATAAAAAGTGCACTTTTTGCCACTGCAGCTTTCATTTGCTAGCAAATACTTTTTTGAGTTTCCAAGTTTTGAAAATTGAGGTGCACATTAGATTCAATGGCACATTAGATTCATGTAAATACAGGCATAATTGAGATGAGTGCTTCCAAGGTCTTTACTAGGCAAGTTGGTGGCAGTCCATGATGGGCCTCCTCATCTCTTTATAGTAGTGTATGTGTGTGTGTGAGAGAGGAAGTAATTAGATTTGGGACTAGAGCACTACAAGACATTTAAACATTGTGCTTCAATGCATTTTTCTCAATGAAAACCCACCTTGAAGAGTACATTTTCATTATGAGAATAATTATACATGGTATGCCATAGTGAGAACTATTGCTATTGAAAGATGGATTAACTGGTGCTGGTCAAATATAGAATTGATAGAAAATGGGGTTCTTTGAATTCAAATGACATACAAAAGCATGAACAGGTAATTTTGGTTATATAGCATTACAGGTGGTGGTGGTGGTTGTTGTTGTTGTGTGCTTTTATGTTATTCCAATCTATTACAGGGTTTTCATGGTCAAGTGGGGAATTAAGCCTTGGTCTCCGGAATTGTATTCCAGTGCTTAAATCGCTACCCCAACTTGCCCCATTATCTCAAAATAGGAATATTGTGGGAAAATCTGGCTGCTTTTATTTCCTGCTTGTCTTCATTTCCAAAACTTAATATGAACACTGGCTTATGTTCTCATTTGTACAAGTTTGAGAAGTAGCAAACAAGCAGTGATTTTGCCTTATGCATTTATTTCAGCTGCAAAAATTCCATGGAAATATAACTAATGCTCCCTCTTGTGGAAAGTGAAATGAACAACTCACACATGTAACTTCATATGTAAATTGGAACAGGGACGTTTTTAAGTGTAACTTCCAGCCAAATACATATATTTATTTATTTTTATTTATTTAATGCATTTGTTGACCGCCGTTCTCAGCCCCTTCGGGCGACTCACGGCGGTGTACAACATATAAAAACAGTTTACAAAAAACCCTCATACAACACAGTATACACGTAACATTAATCTAAATTACACTAAACTAATCCGCACCGTCACCACATAGGGATCTACCAGTCTCATAATCCGTATTTCGTTCCGATTGTCATTGTCATTGTCAGTTAGTCTGGGACTAGTTAAATGCCTTCTCGAAGAGCCAGGTCTTTAGGCTCTTACGGAAAGCCATGAGAGAGGGCGCCTGTCTGATGTCAGCAGGGAGGGCGTTCCACAGCCGGGGGGCCACCACTGAGAAGGCCCTCTCTCTCGTCCCCGCCAGACGCGCCTGCGAGGCAGGCGGAATCGAGAGAAGGGCCTCCCCAGACGATCTCAAGGTCCTCGTGGGCTCATAGGCCAAGATGCGGTCCGAGAGGTATTTTGGGCCGGAACCGTTTAGGGTTTGGAAATCAGATGGATGGGTTAACACCTCTGTGGTGTTTGATTTGCTGTCTGAGCCCTCTGAGAAGTTTATTTTGAAAAAATTGGCTTGTTGTGGAAACAAGGATTGGTGAGAAAGCTTTAATTGAGACACCTTTCCCCCATGATTACTCTTTCAGGAGTGATTTCCCTTCGGAGGAGTAGGTGTCTCTTACTTCCAGTTGTTTCACCCCTGTTCTTAACTCTGAGTCATTTGTAGGTCAGGTGTTGTAACTCGGGGACAGCCTTTATATTCAAACTGAACTTCTGAATGGTTTTTCTTGTAAGCCATCATCTTAATATTTTGAAATGTTCTAATATGTTCTGCTGTTCTATGTTACACATAGCCATTGATTCAGATCCATCTTGCTAGGCATTAAAAAAGTTTTACAAACATTCATGAATAACATGCTATAATGCCTATTTATTGTTTTCTTTCTAATTGTTATGTTTTCAAAGGGTTTCGATGTACATTGTAAATGTTGGCAAGAGGGCAACTTTTGCTCTGTTTCCTTTAGTAGTGTTAGGCCAATTTCAGGTCATGAGAAAGTGGGGGTGGGATAGAAAGAGGCAGAGGACAACAACAACAACGTCTTCTATTCAAAACAACTATCTATTGCTTTTAGGATCTGAGGAAACATGTGACCCAAAAAGGACTTGCTGGGGAATATGAACAAGAGGGTAGTATTGGACATGAAATGCTAAACCGGCCTTTGGTTTAAACTATATCTTCTTATGTTTTGTATGTAATATTTAGTTAATGGTATGTCTCTTTTTTGTATAACAGGTAGAATTTCAAGTTCATGATTTGTACTTTGAGAAGAGTTCACCAATCACTCTCCATATATCTGTCAGAACATCAGAAACAAATGCTCCTCGAGTTTCATGGAATACAGGTGACAACTTTTTCACATTGGGCACCTTTAAATAAAGTTTATTATTAAAGATTATTTTTAAAGTAGAGCTGCAGAGGTTATGTGCTATAAAGCAGATGGCTCTAGAGTTTTTCCTTTAATCTTTCTTATCTTTGGAGCAAATTGGTCAGATCATCAACTGCATTATGAATGATAACGTAAGGTAACAGTGAAATACAGCCACAAGCAAATAAATGCTCCAGAATGACTGTGATTTGCAGTTTACATATCTGAGTTTGTATGTATACCTGAGTGATGTATTTGTTGGCATTTGTTCCACCTTAAAACGAATGTGAACATCTCCCGAGGTTTACATGTGTTTCAACAGCTGTGAAGCAAAATGATGCATGTGTGTACTCTTATTGTTAATGCATAGTGCATGTGCTTTCCTCTTGGATATGAATATCCATGAATACAAAGTATAAATGTTTCTTAGGGCTTCATCTCTGTATAATCTGCTATAGAATAGTGGCATCAAGGCTTGCAAAGTTGGAGAGCCCACATTCTTTGGCCTTCTTCCATCAATCTATGGATCCTTTTTCTTCATTTAGCTGGAGAGAACCTGTTTTTACCCAGAATCTTCTTATTTTCCCTTTATAGGTCTTGACCTCTTGGAAGGACAATCACGCCCTATAACATGGGAGCAGTTTCAGATTGTAGACAACGATGATATTAGTGGTGTTCGCTTAGTTATTGTTGATGGTTTGCAACATGGACAGCTCACTGTAAGAGGTATTCTATTCTATCTGATGTTTGTTCAAAGATGGTACTATTTATTCCTTCACTGTAACTGAACTACATGGGCTGCTTGATCATTATTGTTGAACCCAATCTACACTGCCTTGTAATCCATTTTTTTGAATCCAAATTATTTGGTTTGTACTGGATTATATGGCAATGTAGACCCATATAGGCTGGATTAACATTGTCATCTAATTCAGTTTCTGAATCCAGATCATCTCCTTTGAACTGTGTCTACACTGCCATATAATCCAGTTCAAAGAAGATAATCTGGATTCAGAAACTGGATTATATGGCAGTGTAGATGTGGCCGCAGTCCAATTCAAAGCAGATAATCTGGATTCAGAGACTGGATTATAGATCTAGCCTCGGAGGCCATAAACATCCCTGCTCAGTATTAAAGGCAGAGAGGTGATGCCATTCAGAATCAGAGCACACAGAGTATATCCTAAAAATGTATTTCTTTTCATGAGTTCTGTACAGTAATCCCAGGTCTTACCAATTTAACCATTACAGTTCCCGATCTTTACTCTTGCTCTCTTTATAGTATTGGTTCAGTTTCTCAAAGGCACATTCCTGTTGTGAATTACTGTTTTTATATCATCTGACAGGAGAAAAGGGATTCCTGTTCACAGTCGCAGACCTTAAGGCTGGCGTTGTCCATTACCATCATGATGACAGTGATTCCACAAAGGACTATATTGTCTTCAGGATCTTTGATAACCGCCACAGTAGCCGCCACAGGTTTCCTATCAACATCCTGCCTAAAGATGACAGTCCTCCATTCCTGATTAATAATGTTGAGATAGAGGTTCATGAAGGACAAATCATTCTGATCCAAGGCTCAATGCTCCAAGCCTCTGACATGGACTCTAGTGATGACTACATACTCTTTAATGTCACCAAGTTGCCACTGGCAGGAGAAATCATGAAGAAACCAGGACCAGATCTAATTGGTAAGTTATTAAAGGGGCAAAGTGCCCCAGGGTGGTGGTGGTGGTAATATGGTTAAATGCCTGAAGAATAACTCAGTTCTTTGAACTTATTTTCAAGGCCAGCATTACCACTTATCCTTGAGTGTTCTCAGGTTTCGCCCCCTTTTCCTTCAACTCTAGTGATGCTGTTCACACTTTATTGACATTGACGTTACCTCATTCTTCTTTTGTGTCTTAGGCTCCATCCATACTGCCATATAATACAGGTTGAACTGAATTATATAGTCAGCATACATTTGTATGATGCAGATTGAACAGTATTAAACTGGATTATATGAGTCTATATTGCCATATAGTCCAGTTTGATCTGCATTATAATGGCAGTGTAGATAAGGCCTGAGGCAATGGATTGTGGTTTGCAGCTTTTGTTATCAAATATACAAACAGAAGTCTGTGGACTGAAATGGACTTACTAGCATTTCAGACCACATCAAGGCTATACAAGTTGGGCACCTTTTTCTGGCATTCCAAAGTCCGAAATACTTCGCAATCATCCACGTGGGAGGCTGAGACAGTGACTTTTTGCTTTCTTGTGATTCAGCCTACACAAACTTTGCTTTGTTAAAATACTGTGCACATGATTATGTTCAGAAATTATGTATAAGCTCTATATGAAATATAAACAAATTTTGTGTTTAGATACAGGTCCCATCACCAAGGTATGTACATGTATGTGCATACAAATATTGCAAAATCAGAAAGAATCCCTCTAGTCCCAAGTGTTTTGGGAAAGGGATATTCAGCCTGTACCAGTGATTAAGTCCTAATAATCTCAAATCTGGGTTGTTGTAGGTTTTTTTGGGCTGTATGGCCATGTTCTAGAAGCATTCTCTCCTGTCGTTTCGCCAGTATCTATATGGCAGGCATCCTCAGAGGTTGTGAGGTCTGTTGGAAACTAGGAAAATGGGGTTTATATATCTGTGGAAAGTCCAGGGTAGGAAAAAGAACTCTTGTCTGTTGAAGGTAGGTATGAATGTTTCAACTGGCCACCTTGATTAGCATTTGATGGCTTGACAGTTTTTAGGTGTGGCTTGTTACTGTCTGGGGGAATCCTTTGCTGAGAAGTGATTAGCTGTCCCTGATTGTTTCTTGTCAGTAGTTCCTCTGTGCTTGAATTTTGTTCTTTATTTACTGTTATAATGTTAGAGTTTTTTAAAATACTGGTAGCCAGATTTTGTTCATTTTCATGGTTTCTTCCTTTCTGCTGAAATTACCCACATGCTTGTGGATTTCAATGGCTTCTCTATGTAGCCTGACATGGTGGATGTTAGAGTGGTCCAGCATTTCTGTGATCTCAAATAATATGTTGTGTCCAGGTTGGTTCATCAGGTGCTCTCCTATGGCTGACTTTTCTGATTGAAGTAGTCTGCAGTGCCTTTCATGTTCCATGATTTGTTTTTGGGCCATGTTGCGTTTGGTGGTCCCTATGTGGACTTGTCCACAGCTGCATGGAATACGGTAGACTCTTGCAGAGGTGAGAGGATCCCTCTTGTCATTTGCTGAACGTATCATTTGTTGGATTTTCTTCGTGGGTCTGTAGATAGTTTGTATGTTGTGTTTCCTCATCAGCTTCCTTATGAGGTCAGTGGTTCCCTTGATGCATGGCAAGAACAGTTTTCCTCTGGGTGGAACCCTCGTGGCTTGTTCTTAGCCTTGCAGCTCTTCTGATGTTTGTGTTATGAAGTATCCATTGGCCTGTAAATCTCAAATCTAATAATAACCTCTTATGTGTGGGGTTTCTTGATACGAATTTTGAACTGCATGGATTCCTGACTTGGATCCTAAACTCCTTTTGTGAAGTGAAGCCCAGGTGTATTTATACCTTATCATATTTTATTCTCAAATCATACTTAGGATGAAGATATAATTGTTGTCCATAATTGTAACTGAGTTGAAAACTAATCAATTTCTGTCAGGTTATCCAGTCACTAAATTCCTTCAGAAAGATCTATTTAATGGAATAATTTACTACCATCACTTGGGAAGAGAAATATTTGAAGATTCAATTGAGATGGTTCTTTGTGACAGTCATGAGCCTCCCAATCTTTCCGAAACTCAGGTATGTTGATTGTGCACTCTATTTTTCACTATAACCAAAGGCCTGATCCTTAATTCGTTTACTTGGAAAGTACTTCTGAACTTTCTGGATTGTTCTCATAATATGTGTGGATTTCTTACATCTAACAATCAAGTAGGAATAATACATGGATATATAATATGGATGATTAAACTTACAAAGTTTAAAGGTTCTAGATAAAAACTGTGAATTTTGTGGCCCTCTAATATTTTATTGTGCTGCATTCCACAATGATCCCTTACCACTGGCTATGCTAGATCTAATGACATTTGTAGCACTTGGAGGCTGATGATGTGAATTAAACTAATAACCTTATTTCACTCATTCTAGTATGTTTTGAAATTGAATGTTTGCTGTTTATATGTTGTGCTCCACCCGGAGTCCCCTTCGGGGCGAGAAGGGCGGAATATAAATGCTTTTAATAAATAATAATAATAAGAAATGTGAGGAGAGCTCAATATAGGAAAACGGGTCGGTTATCCTTTATCCAGAATGCTTGGGACCATAAGTGTCCCATATTTCAGAACCCCCCCCCCCCCCGATTTTGGAATATTTGAATATACTAAGGTTGAATGAAAAGTAATGCATCCACCTTTGTTACTTGGGTTTGGATTGGAATATTTTAATTAAATGCAGAAATAATCCTTAGAATGTGCTCTTTAACTACCACATAATCACCAGACGATTGAATACATTTCTGCCAATGATGAACAAGTTTTCTGAAGCTGTCACGGAAGAAGTTGACACTCTGTTTCTGCAAACCATCATGCACAGATTTTTTGATAGCCAAGCAAAGCAATAATGTGACCCACACATTCTTGTGAAATGCCGATTATGCTTGAAATTTCTCTCTGAGTGATACGGCGATTGTCCTGAATCAATCTGTCAACCTTTTGCTTGTGAAACTCGGTGATTGCTGTCACAGGACATCCAACTCTTTTGTTTGTCACGCAAGTCAGATGTTTGCACCTCAACATCTTTAAACTTACTCGCCCAATGATGCACAGTACTCATATCAACACAATCACCATAAACAGCTTGCATTCTCTGATGAATCTCCTTTGTGGTGACACCTTCTGCAGTCAAGAATTCAATGACTGCACATTGCTTAAGTCACATTGACCGACCGTCTGCTCAGGGTTCCATACTTCACACTTTAACAACACAAGCATTCAATGCTAAGGCTTCCCGCCAAAATGGAACTGTAGAGGAGAGTCTACTAAACAAGCCAGTACCTGCCGCATACCAGTACTGCCATCTGTTGAGGAGTTATGAAAGTGGAGGTATTACTTTTCATTCAACCCTTGTACACAATGAGATAGCTTGGGGACAGGACCTAAGTCTAAACATGAAATTCATTGATGTTCTATATATACTTCAGGGTGCTTCCAGACAGCACCAAATCATATTCTTTTTTCCCTTTTTCTAACCAAAGTAGAATTAATCATGGGCACTTCTGTGGTATTTGGTCACCTGCTCTTTTAACTGGCTTCTTCCAGTGAATGCCAAAAGGTTGTTTGCTGACAGAGAGAATATGAAGGCTTGTCAGAAATGTTAACTTCAGTATTAATCTGCAATATGTTGCAATGTACTATTCTTCACTATATATATTTTTGCCCTCAAAACCTTTCACTAGGTAGTAAGAGTGCACATAATTCCTGTGGATGATCAGCTTCCCAAAGAAACTCCAGGTGTAAACCGTCATCTAACTGTCAAAGAGACAGAGATTGCCTATCTGACAAAGAAACAGCTCAGTTTTATAGACACAGAAGCACAGGATAGAGAGCTCATCTATACTGTCACTTCTCCTCCATTCTTCTCTTCTTTGCATCAGTAAGTTGGGTATACTCTTCATAAGAAAAGGGTGTGTTTTCAGCATGCATTGGGTGGCAGAGCTTTGTACTGACCATTAGGCCTGTCGCTGGGGATTAGGATTTGTATTTGATTCTCTTGGATTGTGATGTTTTTAGAAAACTCGTCTAGTAGAAGTCTGTTTTCTTGTTTTTGTTGCCCACATGTTGAGCATTTTTGCAGTGGAGGAACTGCTTCTGGCCAGCAAAATGGTGGAGGATCTTTTTGACTTGTGGAACTCGATTGACTCTTATCCAGATGATCTAGTTGTCCACATGTCAAAAGCACTGGTTCTTCTGGTTCCAGATTGACAGCATCATGTGGACTGCTTTATTAGACTTGCTTAGACATAGGGTTAATGATGATAGTGGTATGGAAGTTAATTCTGGAATGCAAACTTGATACTATTTTTGTGTGTAGCTACACAGATGCTGGGAAATTGTTTATGGTGGACAGCATTCCCAAACTGATCAAGGATCCTGCTACTCCCTCATTGAGATCGTTTACTCAGGTTTGTTATCAAGTGTAACCAAAAAAGTGTAAAGCTTACCTGGAAGCAAAGTAACCTAGCAATTTTATTTCAACATCAGCTTTTGTGAATGTTGATCCACTTCTTCAAATGCCTCCTTTCAAATGTCCAGTATTAAATCCAAGCTAAGTTAAGATAGTTGTAGAATGGGAACAAAATAATGTAGTCTTAAGTTTCTGTCACACTCCCTCCCCCATCCACATTTGTGTTTTTATACTGTGATAAATCTAACATGGCTGTATCTTTGAAAGCTCCAAGAATATAGAACGGGAAAGATTTGGGAAACTGTCTTTTTCAAAAACGAGTATATATTAGTTAATACAGTTGCTTGGTCTGCAGTGTACATGTGGCATAATTGTCTTGATCGAGTCCTATCTTAAGTTAAATATGTGCATTTTTTGTATAGGCGGTCCCCAAGTTACAAACACAATAGGTTCTGTAGGTTTGTTCTTAAGATGAATTTGTATGTAAGTTGCACATATTTAAGTGCAACTCCAGCCATCCACACACACACACACACACACACACACACACACACATATCTGGATGATTTTGATAGCATAGGGAAGAGTTAAGACCCCTGTGATGTTTGTTTTGCTGCCTGTGCCCCTATTCAGAAGATTTAACCCCTCTTTCTGTCCCACTGATAATAATTTTCAAAAAAACTAGGCTTGTTGTGGAAACAAGGATTAGTGAGAAAGCTTTTTGAGGAGTTAATTTTTTTCCCCGAGGGGTAGTTTCTCTCACTTCCTGTTGTCTCACTCCCTTTCTTAAATATGAGTTCCAATCCAATAAGCCTTAACTATGAGCTGTTTGTAAGTTGGATGTTTGTAACTTGGGGACTGCCTGTATATTTATAAGTTGTTTATACGATCATCACTGCTGCCATTCTGGATTATTCCAATTTTTTGGCCATAAAACAAGGCTCCTCCCTACTTCTTTAGGTAAATTCTAATCGTATTCTGAAATTACGCAGCTATCTGCCAGAAAGTCTTGAGGGTGTTTCACATGTATTGCCAGAGGCATATGAAGGTTGAAATAGAATTCCAAATCCACACTTCCGCACGATCCACTCTCAGGTTAAAATCTGGCTTCCCATAGATTCAGAATCATTATAAAATCATGTAATGTATATTTAGATATCACAATGATAAAAGCTGGATCTACGCATCCATATTCCGAATCCAGATTATCTGTTTTAAACTGGATTATTTGAGTCTATACTGCCATATAGTGCAGTTCAAAGCAGATAATCTGAGATCAGATACTGGATTGTATTTCAGTGCAGAAGGGGCCTCTGTTCCCCAGAGAAACTAAGACTGGGTAATGTATTGACATTTGGTCATATCCCAGTATTAAATATAACGGGGGCATTATTGTATTTGCTCCATGTGTGAAAATGTATTTATTTATTTATTTGCTGCATTTATATACTGCTTTTCACAAACGCAAAGTGGTTTCCAAGATAATAGTGGCAAAATTCAATGCGTACACTCTTGTGAAAACCAAAACATAATTTCTAGACAATAACATATACTATAAATTAAGAACCTTAACCATATTACACATATCAGCATAAAACAACACATACATTAAAATTGCATCATTAAAACACATCAATTAAAACAGTTATTTAAAATCACACAATCTGGGAGTATAAAAATTCAGTTGTTCTGCCTTTGCAAATATAAACTATGAAAAATATGGGCATGGATCAGAGCATTGTTTAGTTAAAGTAGGAGTGACAACTCTGATGCTACGTCAACCAGGGTTTTATCATTTTACCTTGTCCATTTGGCCTGCCCATTGTGTTTGATTTTATATATGTCAATCTCCCTTGTTTATTTTATTTTGCTGCTTTATGTATTTTATGTATTTTATTCTGATGAAATTTTGTATTTTATTTTGCTGTATTGTATCTTTGGGCTTGGCCTCACGTTAGCCGCCCCGAGTCCCCTTCGGGGAGATTGTGGCAGGGTACAAATAAAAATTATGATTATTGTTATTATTGTTGTTGTTGTTGTTATTATTATTATTATTTATTACTGAAGCATAATGTTAGCCAGCAAAGCAAATGGCAAGAGATGCTGAGTGTTGGAATCCCAACATTATTTGGAAGGCTTCAGCTGCTCATTTTGAGGGTCAGCTTATCTGATTTGTTCTTAAAATAAGGACATTGAAGGCACAAATGTAAAACTAGATGAAATATTGTACAATAATACAGTATTTGGATTTGCTGGAGAGTAGTTGGGAATGCATGCCTTACAGTTTGTTTGTTTGTTTACTTGCTCTGTGCCTATAGCATGCCATAAACCACATGAAAGTGGCATACATGCCACCGTTGCAAGATATTGGTCCTGAGCCTCAGTACATCCAGTTCAGATTCTCAGTCAGCAACCAGCATGGAGGAACTTTGCATGGCATCTGTTTTAACATTACCATTCTTCCTGTGGACAACCAGGCTCCAGAGGTATGATTATAATACTAATAGGAATGGGAGGAAACAAAGGGTGAATGCTTGGACTTACATGAGTGAAAAATTTATTTATATCAAGATTTTAAGAATTTTATATTTTAGTGTTAACTCATCCGAGAACAGAGTTGCCAGAATGAAAACTAGAGATGGTTCCTGTTTGTTTAATGGTTATGTAGATATTTCAGCAGCTGTTACTTGTTACTTAAAGTCCCCTCTTCTACACAACCGTCAAAGATATAGGAGACACCTTTCCAGTGTTCAAAATGGCAACCCTAGGCCACCTTCTGACCAGTTTTGTCTTTTGCTGTGGTCTCTAGAAAGTTCAGAAAATTTAGTTTACTTATTGCAAGACTTACCTGTTGTGATTGTTTCATTTCACACCCACATAGTGTTAGCTTTAAATAAAGAGTTTGTTGAAGCATGTTGAACTGCGCTCTCTCTTTTTTACGGTGCAGGAACCTATTCTTTTTGTGTTATTTTCTGTGAAAGAAGCAACACTAAGGAACAAAGCTACTTCATTTATTGAAGTCCACTTGTATTCGTTCTTTAAAAATCCTTTGATTACTTTGATCTCTTTTTCTTTTCACTTAACAACAGTGAAGACTTTTCTTCAACCTGTACAAAACACTTTGTTTTGCAGCTTTTGTGATTTGCTCAGTTGTCTGTGAAATTGTGTTGTACTTTGTGAAATTGGCAGAGACTGGAAAAGTAATTTTTCAAAACTTTTGTAAAGAATTATTCTAGCAAAAAAAAAAAAACCCAACAAGTTCTTACAGGATGCTGCAATTGGTCTCACTTTATTTTTGCTCAGGTTTTTACGAGCAACTTGAAGGTACAAGAAGGAGGGCTGGCCAGTATTACAGAGAAGAACGTTTTGATTTCAGATGTGGACACAAAGCTGGAAAACATTCGTGTCCAACTCCTAAGGCCACCTTCCCACGGAAGTGTTGAATTGGGAGGAATTCCCATAGATGAAGGAGACCAACTGACTTGTGATGACTTACACAAGTCCAAAGTCAGGTTAGAGGAGATTGTAGTGTTTCTGTAGATTCTGGATGCTTCCAGGTGGAGACCTAGTGCCTACAATGACAAGGTCCTGCATAGCTTTTCCACTTCTCTGGCTGGATCAACGCTACCATATAAAATCCAGATTAAATTCTTTGAACAGGATTATATGGCAGTGTAGACATTTTACTTTCCATAAAAAAGTAAAAACCTGGTTTTGTGGCCAAGCATTTGGAGAACTTGAGAAATAGAAAGATATGGAATTGATGTGCATTGATTAACTGGGACGGCCAGGCTATGTTTAAGGATAACGTGATTAACTACAAATGTATTGTTTTATATGTTTTTAACTGTTTTAATGTATTTTATAACTCTATTTATATATTTGTAATTGTACATATCCTATGGCTTTGTATGGTTGCCTACTTGTAAGCCGCCATGAGTCCCCTCTGGGGTAGAGAAAGGCGGGGCAAAAATGCCATAAATAAACAAACAAATAAAGAAAGTCCAGTTCAGATCAGGTAATGTAGATTATCTGATTTGATAATCTGGATTATATGACAGTGTACTCGTTGTTTGAGTAAGATTGTCCTCCAAGTTCAGTGTCCTGGCGGTGGGTCCATAGGTGACCGTGGAGCCTTATTCTTGAGCTATAAATGGTATGAAAGCCCTAATTAAACCTTGTGTAGAAATTGGTCAACATCATGCAAAAATTTCGTATAAATTCAGCATTTTCTTCCCAAAGGTATCACCACAAAGGGTCAGAGGTTCCTCAGGATCATATCCTCCTTGCTGCTACAGATGGTGTCAATTCCTTTGAGTTCATCCTATACATTAAGGTTGGTGCACAACTCATCAGAAAATTAAACCTTTCAGAGGACTATGTGATCTTTTCAAAAATTGTTGGACTGAATAAGCGCTCCTATTTCACTTTGGGGATTTATGTGACAATAATGGTTAGGCAACAAATTTGGCAGGTACTACTTAGTATACATCTGCACCAGTTCCAGCTTATTCCCTATTGTCAGGAGCAGATCCAATAAGGATTTAATGATGAGCATGCAGTAAAAAGCATTTCCAGTTATACACGTTTCATACCTCAGGCAACAAAAGCCACAGTAAAAGATCAAAACCTATGCTGTATTTTTGTATATATTCATTCTCAGACCTCATCCTTCAAAAACAAAACTTACTTTCTGAAAACTCAGATTCTTGAAAATTTAATTAGATACATGATTTGTAAAACTTAACAGATATTCATATTTTTTAGGGATGCTTGCACATGATTGATTTCTAGAGCCTTTCTGGAATATTCTAGAAGTGGCAATCCATCTTTTAAGAGGGTTCAGTCCCCTACTGCATGGGACAATAATTTGTTTGTTTATTATTTTTGGCATTCCTTTGTAGTCCTAGAGTAGCCCCAGGCCCAGTTCAGTTTCCCATTTCTGGTCCATACAGTTTATATTTTCTTCATCTCCTTTTCCTCCCCTTTGATCAATTTATAATTTTCTTACATTTCTAACTGTTGGCACTGAAAGTTGACGCACAGATTTTAAATGAAACCAAACCTACTTCAAGGTTCTCTTTGTCTAAATTATTCATCACATTGACATGACATCTAAACAAGATGTGTACATGAAAATGGTCTTAACATGATTCTCCTGTATCCTCTCTTATAGGTGATTCCTGTAAATGATGAGCCTCCAGTCATGCACACTGGCCTCATTCCCATCATGCAGTGTCCAGAGGGTCAGGCAGTGCCCATTACTTCAGAGCACCTTTATGCTACGGATGCAGACAGTGAGGACATGCAGCTGACATTCACTCTTGCTCGACATCCTAAATATGGGGTTGTGAAGAACAATGGAGTTGTGGTTGATGGTTTCTCCCAAGCAGCTATTGTTTCTGGAACAGTAGCATATGAACATACGAGTAAGTGAGAGCCATGCTTACGTAGAGCAAGTCTTAACTACTAATCTGATAGTAGGACATTATAACTCCTTATGATCACATCAAACACTAGAATAGTGCTAGTTTGCCTCAATCTACCGGTAAGGCGACACTTTTGTCCTTATGTTTCCCTGCCGAGAACGGCTAGTGCAGTGTTTCTCAATCTTCCTCATGCTGTGACCCCTTAATACAGTTCCTCATGTTATGGTGACCGCAACCATAAAATTATTTTCATTGTTACTTCATAACTGTAATTTTGCTACTGTTATGAATCTTAATTTAAATATCGAATATGCAGGATGTAGTTTCATTCACTGGACCAAATTTGGCACAAATACCCAATATGCCTACATCTGAATACTGGTAGGATTGTGGGGAGGAATGACGTTGTCATTTGGGAGTTGTAGTTGCTGGAATTTATCATTAACCTACAATCAAAGAGCATTCTGAACTTCACCAATGATGGAATTGAACCAAACTTGGCACACAGAACTCTGACCAGGAGAAAATACTGGACAGTTTTGATGGGCATTGACCTCGAGTTTTGGAGTTGTAGTTGACCTACATCTAGAGAGCACTGTGGATTCAAACAATGATGGATCTAGACCAAACTGAGCACAAATGCTCAATACGCCCAAATGTGAACACTGGTGAAGTTTGGGGAAAATAGACCTTGACATTTGGGAGTTGTAATTGCTGGGATTTATAGTTCATTCTGAACTCCACCAATGATAAAATTGGGCCAAACTTCCCACACAACCCCCATGACCAACAGAAAATACTGTGTTTGCTGATGGTCTTTGGTGACCCCTCTGACACCACCTCGACACCCACCCCCCCCGGGGTCCTGACCCTCAGGTTGAGAAATGCTGGTATAGACTTTTTGATATTCTTGCAATTAATTCCTGTAAAGATGAACACATCATAGTTGAGAAATTTGAGTGGTTTCTCTTGAACATCTTGATTTTTTTCATGATCTCTGCATCTACTGCTGAAAATATGGCGCATCTCTACATTGTTTATAAAATGTTTCTTGTAGAACTTTTACATCTTGTGTTGCAAACATTTCATGCTTTATCTGTAGTTCCTTTTTCCAGGTGGAGAGATTGGTTTGGAGCCATTATTTGATATCCTTACCTTTGTTGTCTCGGATAATGAAATGGACCCAGATGTAAATGCCTGTTGTTATGACGGATCTCCCCTTTCTACTGAATCTCTTCATAAATCTTTTCCGGTGTATGATATCAATATTACAGTATTTCCAGTGGACAACCAACCTCCATCTATAATTACTGGTAAAAAAAAAGATCTTTATTTTGATATACGTTTGGTTGGCATGTTGTAAATATGGACTGGGTGAATTCATGCTAAGATCAACTCATGGCAAAGTGGCAGTGTATTATTTTTGCACATATTCAGTTCAAAGTCTAATCCATTTTTACCTTACAATGGCAAAGTTTGCAAATCAGAGGGAGTAGTGGTACAATACATAGGATTTGAGCTGCAAGTCAAGGATCTTTATAATCTTCAAGAGATCTCCCATTTCACACCCATGGTCTTCTAATGTGACATGAGCCAAGATTTGTCAGACTCAGAGAAACAAATTAAGGCAAGGTATGGATGTGTTAGTTGTTTATTTGTTCAGTCACTTCCAACTCTTTGTGACCTCACGGACCAACCTACACCAGAGCTCCCTGTCAGCTGTGGCCACCCCTAGCTCCTTCAGTCAAGCCAGTTACTTTATAGAATCATAGAATCATAGAGTTGGAAGAGACCTTGTGGGCCATCCAGTCCCAACCCCCTGCCAAGAAGCAGGAAAATCGCTTTCAAAGCAACTCAAAAGATGCCCATCCGGCCTATGTTTAAAAACCTCCAAAGAAGGACCCTCCATCACACTCCGGGGCAGAGAGTTCCACTGCTGAACAGCTCTAACAGTCAGAAAGTTCTTCCTAATGTTCAGATGGAATCTCCTTTCTTGTAGTTTGAAGCCATTGTTCTACATCCTAGTCTCCAGGGCAGCAGAAAACAAGCTTGCTCCCTCCTCCCTATGACTTCTTCTCTCTTCGTGGGGTCCCACAGGGTTCATTCTGTCCCCCATGCTGTTTAATATCTACATGAAGCTGCTGGGGGAGATCATCCAGTTCGGGGTGAGATGTTATCTGTACGCAGATGATGTCCAAAACTGTCACTTCTCCACCTGTCACCAAGGAGGCTGTCCAGGTCCTTGAACCGGTGCCTGGCCGCTGTAACGGTCTGGATGAGGGCGAACAAATTGAAATTGAATCCAGACAAGACAGAGGTACTCCTGGTCAGTCGCAAGGCCGAACAGGGTATAGGGTTACAGCCTGTGCTGGATGGGGTCGCACTCCCCTTGAAGGCACAGGTTCGCAGCTTGGGTGTGATCCTGGATTCATCGTTGAGCCTGGAGCCCCAGGTCTCGGCGGTGACCAGGGGAGCATTTGCACAGCTTAGGCTCGTGCGCCAGCTGCGCCCGTACCTTGGGAAGTCTGACTTGGCCACGGTAGTCCACGCTCTGGTTACATCCCGCTTAGACTACTGCAATGCTCTCTACGTGGGGTTGCCCTTGAAGACGGCCCGGAAGCTTCAACTGGTCCAGCATGCGGCAGCCATGTTACTAACAGGAGCGGGACGCAGGGAGCATACAACGCCCTTGTTGTACCAGCTCCACTGGCTGCCGATTTGCTACCGGGCTCAATTCAAGGTGCTGGCATTGGCCTATAAAGCCTTAAACGGTTCCGGCCCAAGATACCTATCCGACCGCATCTCGGCCTATGAGCCCACCAGGACTTTGAGATCTTCCGGGGAGGCTCGGTGGTGGCTCCTCGGCTGTGGAACACCCTTCCCATGGATATCAGACTGGCTCCTTCCCTGGTGATATTCCGCAGGAAACTAAAGACTTGGCTGTTCGAGAAGGCGTTCGAACAAGAAGTGCAATAATTGGTAATGACGACAGGAATGGAACAACGGAAAATGATATTGGATTGTGGTTTAACGATGAGACGACGCGAATGACTTTTTGTATTTTTGTATTATTGATATTGATATTGTTGATGTTGTTGATGATGATGTTTTTTGATATTGCTAGTTTGATTTTAGATTGTGTCTTGTAATTTGCACCCTATACTCTCTATGTTGTACACCGCTGTGAGTTGCTCCTGGGCTGAGAACAGCGATATATAAGCACAGTAAATAAATAAATAAATAAATAAATAATTCAGGTTTTGGCTAGTTTCCTAATCTTGCCCATGGTTGGCCCCTTTTACTTTTTCCATCAATTTTTCCCAGCATCATTGTATTCTCCAAGCTTTACTGTCTTCTCATGATGTGGCCAAAGTACTTCATCTTTGCCTCTAATATCCTTCCCTCCAGTGAGCAATCAGGCTTTATTTCCTGGAGTATGGATTGGTGTGATGTGTAGTAAATAGAGTTAAATCAATGTTCTATAGGAAAGAGTGAAAGTATGAAATGTTGTCATTGAGTGGTGATTAGCCTAACTCAGTGGTTCATGGTCTCACCGTTACTACACCGTTGCAACAAGAGCAACTGGTCTTGTAAAACCCTCTTAATAAGCCAAGGCTTATTAAATATGGTTTTCTGTGGGCGAGCAGATGGTGACTACTGGATGGCATGTGTTCTGTATCAGAAACTAGAGCTGATGTGGTTTATCCAATGCAATTTTCTGAATCAGCACCACAAATAACCCAATCAAATCTAAAGTTGACCAAAAACTGATTTGTAACCCTTTTAGTACTAATGTTGGAGAGTGGTCCCTGGTCAAAAAAAAAAAAAAAAAAGGTTGGGAACCACTGGCCTAACATTTAAAGGGATTTAAAAAGGGCAAAATGGATACCAGTTAGAAGCAGAAAGTGTAAGAGCTTACGTTGAAGTCCTGGCACTAGATAATCTTGACAGTTTTCTTGAAATGTAGTTCCTTTCATGCAGACTTAACTTGAAAAAATTGAAATTTGGATAATACTTGGATTCCCAAGGATGAAAACTTTCAGAACCTAGACTTATTGAGACCTTGCAGGAATCTTCAATCAACCACTACCTTTGATTTTGCTAGGCTCTATGTCCTTTCCTTTGTACAGTCACAATAAAAACGTTTTCAAAACTATAGCCAATTGGCATTATACATACTAAAACTGTTTCATCAGATCATATGGATGCTCACCATTTTGAATGTGTGACTTCGTGATTTGCTGTCTGTCACCCAAGCAATGTTGTGGAAATGATGTAATTTCCCAGCAGGGAAATTAAGAACCGAAGCATGAAGAATGGTCCATTATAAGCCATTCATAACCGCTCTCAGACAATTAATGCTGTGACAAACAGAAGTAACAATCGATCTTGAGCAGCACATAAACCATCCTTAATGGCTTATCAGCAAAATTGTTTTGTAAGTGCTCCACCCAGCCACACTTTTTTGCTTCTCCTCACTTGGTGAGAAACCAGAGTCATTGATATGGAGAAAAATTATTGAACAGTGGTGTTCCCCACCAGTTATTATAATGTTTCATTGGTCTGAAATATCCATGAACCAGCCCGAGCCCTTCAATCTTCCGGGGAAGTCCTCCTTTCGCCCCTATCAGTCTCACAGGCTCGTCTTGTGGGTACAAAGGAGAGAGCCTTCTCCTCTGTGGCCCCCTGACTCTGGAACTCATTACACAGAGAGATTAGGAAAGCCCCCACCTTAGAAACCTTTAAAAAGAACCTTAAAACTTGGCTTTTCTGCTGTGCCTTTGGTGAGTAGGCACACAACCTCACATTCTTGCTCCCCTCAATGTTTTCTGTCATTGGAGTACACGTCCCCCCCCCTCCTCCTTGGGAAAGTTTGGCTCTACAACTCCGTTCTATGAGCTCTCCTTAGCAAATAACCTACTCCTCTTTTATCTCACCCTGAGTTTTTAACCTTTTATCCTGCACATGCGGCCCGCCCATTGTCATTGTGATTGTATGTGTGTGTGTGTGTGTGTGTGTGTATATATTGTTTCTTTAGATTGTTCACTGTATTATATTTTTTAATGTAATTATTATGCTGTTGTTTTGTTTTTGTTTATTTCGTTGTAATTTGTTGTTTGGACTTGGCCTCATGTAAGCCACCCCGAGTCCCCATTGGGGGAGATAGTGGCGGGGTATAAATAAAGATGATGATGATGATGATGATGATGATGATTATTATTAAATCCCAAGCACCTTAAATAACACTCCTGATTTGTTTGCTTGCAGGCACCATGTTTGTTGTGGATGAGGGCTCTACAGCTGCCATTACAACTAGCCACTTGTGGGGCACTGATCCTGATACCGAAGTAGACGACTTGCAGTTTGTTTTAGCATCTCCTCCTCAGTTTGGATATATTGAAAACATACTGCCTTCCCCTGGCTTTGAGAAAAGCAATATGGGAATAAGTATAAGTACGCATGCATGTATTAGAATGAAGCATGGGTTGTCTTTATATCAGCCAATACTCACAATTGCTCTTTTCTTATTTGCATGAATATAAATAAGTATGAGTTGTCTAAATTTTTACATGTGCTGTTTTCCAGCTGATTATGCATATAAGTTCTATTTTATGGCAGCTGGGGAAGCATAACATATCTTTTCTAATTGTTCACTTTCCCCCCAAATTTCTAGCCTCATTCCAGTTGAAAAATCTGAAGGCCAAGCATATCAACTATGTTCAGAGCAGGCACAGGAGGGTCGAACCAACTACAGACCAGTTCATGCTTTATGTCACTGATGGGAAACATCGTTCAATGACAACACCATTTTATGTCTTAATCAACCCAACCAATGATGAAGCCCCAGAATTCATGGCAAGGAATATCACAGTAAGGAAGGACACACTGTGTCCATGTCTTGTTTATCCCAAAGTAGTATTGCTGGTCCCTGCTTTTTCTTCCCTTCAAATTACTTCCAATATGTTTCCCCTTCTATGCTTGTGTATTTAGCTGTGTATTAGAAAACTTGTGCATTATGCAGGTCTTATTTAAGTTACTGGTCTTTTTTTATCCTCATTTAGCCACTGGCTCCTTTTTGGTCCAGGGACAAAAATAATAACTTGCCCCTTCTTGGAAACCATAAGGAGTAGTAATTCAGTTTGCACAAATCTCCTGCATTGTTTGTCTATAAAACTCCAAACATTTTTTTTTCAGTTTTGCTTTGCTTTGCTTTTTGACATTTTAGGCAATCTGGGCACTCCCAGATGTCCCAAGAGCAGTAAACTGATTGACATTGATTGCCTGTCTCTCCTTCAGAAGGAGGGGAAATGATATAGTTTGTAGTTTCCTGTGCTGTTCTTTATTTACTGGAAACAATCAGGACCAGGTAGTGACCTACCAACAAAGGAGTCTCCCAAGCAGGAAGCAGCCAAGCTTTGAAGCTGCAAGACTATTCAGTGCTAATCAAGGTGATCAATTGCAACATTCAGACTTGCCTCAAACAGATAAGAGTTCTTTCTCCCACCCTGGACATTCCACAGGTATATAAACCCCTCTTGCCTCATTTCCAACAGACCTCACAACATCTGAGGATGCCTCCTATAGATGTGAGTGAAATGTCAGGAGAGAATGCTTCTGGTACATGGCTATACAGCCCAAAAAACTCACAGCAACACAGTGATTCTGGCCATGAAAGCCTTTGACAACACAATATATTGCTTCACAGTAAATTCAAATTTTATTAAAACAGATTAGATTGATTTCATTAAACATGGAAATCCAATTTATTATAACTCAGTACAGCTGAAGAATTGACATTTATTTTCTTTTGGCAATTCAGGTGAAGGAAGGTCAAATGAAAGAGCTGGACCCATCAGTAATCAATGCTGTTGATCTGGATGTTCCTCAAGATACCCTGATGTTTACTGTCCTTCAACCACCGCAACATGGCCTCCTCATCAACGGGATGTACGGCAACAATATTGTACATTACAGACAGGCAATTCATAGCCACCAGCATCATGAACTTCCCATGCAGGGATTTTCTATGGAGCTTTTAAAAAATGGTACATGTTCTGTTTAGTGCCCTCTTTGTTCTTGAAAACAATGATTTGCAGATGGGGTTTTCATGTTTCTGCACCTTGTTCAAATCCTGTCCTATCATTCTATTTATAGTTATAAAATGACAATTAAAGTCTGTTAGTATTAATAGTCCCAACTAGAGCAGACCCATTGAATGAATTGTTGAGTGGCAAAACAACACTACTATAAATTGCATTGATTTGATTCATCTGTTTTAATGGAACTAACAGTAAAATTTAGATCTAAAATTGTTAACACTTTGTATGTTCTTCTGGAAGTAGGTCTCATTCTTCCATAAAATATTGTGAGGGACACTATTTTAGATAGTTTAAATAGGTAAAATTGTGAAGTGTAAATGCATCCAGTGCTTCCTGGCATGGCTTTGAGTCGTGATGTGTATACACAGCATCCAGGCTCCAGATATTCAATGCCTTTTAAAATATCAGTTGCTGGAAACAAGAAAAGAAAGGGACAATTATCTTTGTGTCCTCCTTGTGACATTCCCAGCTGCATCTGGTTAATCACTGCAATCCCAGCCATCAAATTGACTGAAAAGTGATCCAAACTGGAAGTGACATCATTTCACTTCTAGTTCAGGAATAATAATAATAATAACAACAACAATAACAACAACAACAACAATAACACTTTATTTATATTCTGCCCTTCTCCCTGATGGTGCCGCTGATGGCGCAGTGGGTTAAACTGCTGAGCTGCTGAACTTGCAGACCAAAAGATCACAGGTTCAAATCCGTGGAGCAGTGTGAGCTCCTGCTGTTAGCCCCAGCTTCTGCCAACCTAGCAGTTTGAAAACATGCAAATGTGAGTAGATCAATAGGGATTGCTGCAGTGGGAAGGTAACAGTCCTTTATGCAGTCATGCCGGCCACATGACCTTGGAGGTGTCTGTGGACAACGCCAGCTCTTCGGCTTAGAAATGGAGTTGAGCACCAACCCCCAGAGTCAGACACGACTGGACTTAATGTCAAGGGAGAAGCTTTACATTTATCTTTACCTTGTCCCCGAAGGGACTCAGAGCAAATTACAGTATATATAAACAGACACAGGCAAACATTAAATACCTTGTTATATGACATACAATGAGACACAAATACACAGACAAAGGCTTCTCCCTTCATTTCCTGCTCTGGAGGCGGTCATCTCTGGCTCTGGGGGAGTTGCTCTTTTTACATTTCTAAGTCAAGGAGCCTGCATCCATAGACACCTCCTGGTCGCATGGCCAGCATGATTGCTTGGAGTGTCTTCTTGCCTTTTCCCACCAAAGCAGTACCTATTTGCACGTTTTCAAACTGCTAGGTTGGCAGGAACAGCGGGAGCTCACCCTATCCTGTGGATTGAAACTGCCAACCTTCAGGTCAGCAGTTCAGCAGCACAAGGGCTTTACCCATTGTGCCACCGCAGCCCCTGCATGCAGGAAAAGTCTATCAATACTATTAGCTGATATGTGTGGGTAGAAATTTGTCCCCAGCACCTGGTACAGTTGTTCAAATTTGTGGACACTTTATAGGCTTCCTTTCTCACAGAACTGGGACCCACACCAGGTGAATTGAAGCTCACTTCCAGGTAAGGATGCTTTGTTGTGTGGGAGCTGCTTAAAAGCATCTCAAAGAGGACACCAGAAGCATCTTCAGACGGTGTAGGAGGACCCACATTCGGGTCCTCCCAACATTTCAATGAACGACATGAAGGGGGATGAAATGTGGATTGTATTTTTGCTAAAGATCTAAAATTTTAAAAAATGTAATTTTGAGCATTTATAAGAAAATGAAGAAGGTGAAGTATGGCCCTTTGTGTGTGTGTGTGGCTGTGGTCGTGGAGGATGTAACAGATTGTTTGGGCAGGAGGATTTATTATTTGAGGAGGCTATGATAGTGGCTTTAAAAAAGTCAAAAGTGTTCAGATGGATTAATGAACAGCTGCTGCATTCATGGCTTGTCCCATGCCAGATGAAGCAAGCTGGCTATGGACAGCACAGACATGTGGGGGTCTAGGGTTGGTTGGAAACAAGGACACAGCGTCAGTGAGAGTGTGAGAATGATACGTTAATCTCTCTCTTTCTTCTCTCCTTCCCTTTGTAACTACCCCATGTACCCACCTTCTAGGAATGCAGTTGCTGTATATGCATGATGATTCTGACAGCTTCGCCGATGGTTTTTCTATCCAGTTATCAGATGGGAAACATAAAGTGTCAAAAACCATTTCAGTAGAGGTCATTCCAGTTAATGATGAGAAACCAGTGCTGAACAAGTAAGCCACATGTCTCTGTTCCAAATTGGTGGATGTGTGATTCAGCAGTGATCGAAACAGCAAATTAGAGATTAATAGAGCTCATCTTCTGTAAATAACCACACTCTATTGCCAGCAGTGTTTCACAAAAACAGCTCTTAGTGAAGGACATTCAACTACGATAAGTGAAAGGAAAATATCCAGATTTGAACCAGAGAGAATGATGTTTACGTGGAGATCTTTTCAGAGATATACATATATGTCAGTTTTATATACAAGGAATGTCTAGACTTCTTTGGAAAAAATATTTGCAATTGTGATCTTTGCACACCCTCTGCTGGTCAGTTTATATTTTAGGCTTTGCATTTTGCTTTCTAGTCAACAAAAGACAGAAGGGCAATTTCCTCTCTATATTTAAACTAATCATAATTTATTTCAGTAAGACCTGTTTCATTTTTTGAAATTATATAACACAGAGACACATATCAAAGGGGAATTCTCCAAATTTTGTACTTCATGGATATATGCATGCACAGAAGTGGTCTCTTTAGAAAACAAACTTTCCAAGTTACAATAATCACGACGACATCAAGTTTGCACATGACACCAAATTGAGAGGGATAGCCAATACTCCAGAAGACAGGAGCAGAATTCAAAATGATCAACAGATTAGAGAGATGGGCCAAAACTAACAAAAGGAAGTTAAACAGGGACAAATGCAAGATACTCCACTTAGGCAAAACAAATGAATGCAAAGATACAGAATATGGGACACATGGCTCGAAAGCAGTACGTGTGAAAAAGATCCTTGAGTCCTCATGGACAACAAGTTAAACATGAGCCAACAATGTCAAGTGGCAGCTTGAAAAGCCAATGAGATTTTGGCCTGCATCAGTAGGAGTCTAGTGCCTAGATCCAGGGAAGTCATGCTATCCCTGTATTCTGCCTTGGTCAGACCACACCTGGAATACTGTGTGCAATACTGGGTACCACAATGTAACAGAGATGTCGACAAGCTGGAAGGTGTCCAGAGGAGGGTGATTAAAATGATCAAGGGTCTGGAGAACAAGCCCTATGAGAAGCAGCTTAAAGAGCTAGGCATGTTTAGCCTGAAGAAGAGAAGGCTGAGAAGAGACATGATGGCCATGTATAAATATGTGAAGGGAAGTCATAGGAAGGAAGGAGCAAGTCTGTGTTCTGCTGCCTTGGAGACTAGGACCCAGAACAATGGCTTCAAACTACAGGAATGGAGATTCCACCTAAACTGCCTAACTGTGAAAGCCGTTCAGCAGTATAACACTTTGCCCGGACTCCTTCTTTGGAGCCTTATAAACAGAGGCTGGATGGGCATCTGTCAGAGGTGCTTTGAATGTGATTTTCTTGCCTTTTGGAAGGTGGTTGGACTAGATGGCCCACAAGGTCTCCTCCAACTCTATGATTCTATTATTCTAATGGTAGTCAGAAAAGCAACAATGAGAAGATTCTGTGGTAGAAAGAAAAGAGTTAAGATTATGAAGGTACAAGCATTTTCCAATAAAACTCCTAATTTATTTGAATCTACACTTTGGAGTGTTCTGTGTAGGGTGTTGAGCTGCTAGAGTGGCTACTGGTTGAACTAGGCAAGGCATGTACCACGGATAGCTCCCTGCTGTCAGCTTCATTAGCTGGAATCACTTAGAACTGGACACAAGAAAAGAGAAAGCAGGACAACTAAATAAATATCCCTGCATTCTTCATCCTCATTCTTTTGGATGAACCGATCCTGTGCTTTTGATTAGACAATTTCCTAGCCAATTTTGGCCCCAGTTATGATGCAAATTTCATTCCTCCACTTTACTACTGTTTTCTACCCGGAGATATAATGCTCTACTTTATATTGTCCTCTATCCCTAATATTGGTAATTGACTTATGTGCTTTATCCATCAACCCTATCCTTACAATTGATTTGTGCCAGTCTGCCTACCCGTGTCGAAAACTGGATCTTATTTCAGATCCATTGGCTGTTGGTGCAATGGTTGTTTTATATTTTGTTATAATGATGATGTTTTATTTTGTTTTATGCTGTTGTTTATGTATTTTAATGTGTTTATTTTAACTGTGTTGATTGGGCTTGTCCCCATGGAAGCTGCCCCGAGTCCCTTTGGGAAGATGGAGGCGGGGTACAAAACTAAAGTTATTATTATATATTATTTCCAGAAAAAATACCCTAACTGCTTGTATTTTTGCCTCCCATGTGTATGTGTGTGTATATGTGTGTTAGAGACAGAGATAAATAGAATGGGGAATGGGAAGTGAGCTGGGGAGATGTTCTTTTAGTGTTTTGTTTTTATTGTCAGTAGTACCTCTGTGGTTTTTCTTTTAAACAAATGCACAAGGAGTCCTTTGTTTGTTTGTTTTCTGCAGGAAGGGTAAGATAGAGGTGAACATGGGGGAAGCCCAAATTATTTCTGGTGCTGTTCTGTCAGCAGAAGATAAAGACACCCCCAGGGAACAAATTTATTATTTATTTGAAAGAGTCCCAGAAAATGGACATCTTCAGCTCAAGGTCAGTCTTTGTATTTCAACAAAATAAAGCCAAATATCGGGGGAAGAGACACCAGGGTTCTTTGTTTAGAACGGCAGAGAGTTCAATCCTTCTGTTACTCCCCCAACCCCATTTATTCATTCGTTTTTTAAAACTAACAATCTAATTTACAATCAAAATAATATATGTTTAAAGAGTAAACAGAGAAGAGAGAAAAGAAGAAAGAAAAATGAAAAAAGCATGTAACTTAAGCCCTATATATCTCTGATCCTGCCCCTCATTATGATGCAATGAAAACAAAAATAAAAAGGAAAATATTATTCTACCTTTACAAATCTAACTAAATGATCCTACTAGAATTACAAATAACCATAACTAAAGATTATTACGGGTCGGCTTTAGCACAGCAGGTTAATCACCAGCTGCAGCTGCAATAAATTTTGCCAACCAAAAGGTTGACATTTCGAAGCCAGGTCAGGGTGATCTCCTGACTTTTCGCCAGCTCCCGGATCAAAAAAAGCAGTGTGAGTATATGAATAGGAACTGCATTAAGTGGGGAAATATTTTAGTCATAGAGTTTCAGAGGAAAGTTAACGAACAAAGAAAGCTCTTCGGCAAGGAGATGGAGCGACAGAACAGAGCATAACCTCCAAAAGATGCCAAATAATGAGAATAAGCCTAAATATACCCCTATCTGTTGTCTGTCTTGTCATTGTATAATCAGCATTGAATGTTTGCCATATATGTGTTCTGTGGTCCATCTGAGTCCCCTTCAGGATGGGAAGAGGGGAATATAAGTACTGTAAATAAATAAATAAATAAATAAATAAATAAATAAATAAACACATACAATTACATTGTTAGATTTATTTTTGCTCAGACAGTTCATAAATGGTTTCCAATCTTTCAATAAAATTTCAATTTTCTTATCTTTTAGAACGCATGTTAATTTTGCAATTGGGCCAATTTAGCAACCTTAACAATCCATTTTTCTATTGCTTCAGTAGAATTCCAACTTTGACGACAAATATTATTTCTCCTTTTATTATTCAATCAGGAACCCACATTTACTATCCACTTTTTAAACACGTAATGCCTAACAAAAACATTACAAAATCTACCTTTACATCTCCCCCCTCCCCAAAAATGTGATTGTTATGTTGTTAGACAATGTCGCCTTTGACTTATGGAGCTTTATGAATGAAAGACTTCCAAATCAACTTTCACCAACAGCTGTGCTCAAGTCTTTCAGACTTCCTTAATTTAAGTCTATCCAACGAGAATGTGATCTTTTTCCCCCCTAACATTTTCTACTTTACCAAGCATGACAGTGTTTTCTAGTAAGTAATGACTTCTCATGATTTGGCCAAGTTATGACAAGATACAGCAAAGTATGATAAGATTTTAATAAACCTGATAAATTTGATAAATCTTAAACCAGTACCTTTTCACCTTCTTACAAGTCCACCTCATATGAAAACAAATTCTTCACAATTCACAATCTTTCTATTTCCGAATGTTTTCATGGGTTTATAACAGACTGCAGAGGTGAACATGATTTTTCTGCTGATCCTTAGAATAGTGGTTCTCAACCTGTGGGTCCCCCAGATGTTTTGGCCTACTACTCCCAGAAATCTCAGCCAATTTACCAGCTGTTTGGATTTTTGGGAGTTGAAGGCCAAAACATCTGGAGACCCACAGGTTGGGAACCACTGCCTTAGAACAATCTTAGAACAAAGAGGAGCTGCCCCATTTGAACCAGAGGAACCTTATTTGTCCTTGTTACTTCAAAATAAGTTGGCCAGTGTGCGTTATCTCTATTCTGGAGTGTTCTCTGTTTTGTCTATGTATGTTAACTTCCACTGGTTAGTCTCTTCAATGCTTTTTGCTATCATTTACAGTAACTAAGAGCAATACCTTGCTACCAAAACCACGTGATAGGTTCAATTAGCTGCAGTAAAGAAACAGGGACAAGATAATATCTGGGTAATAGATGGTATATTGTGTTTTTAGTGACATTTTTTCTCTCTAGGTAGGTCGTGACTGGGTGACCCTTGAGAATGGGATGAATTGCACCCAGGAAAACATAGATATGAACATTGTGAGATACATACACACTGGCACAATTGGCTCAAAGGAACAAGACAGTTTCGTGTTTTGTCTCTGGGATGGAAACAACCGGTCCCCTGAGATCGTTTTTCCAATTATAATTAAAGATGTTGGAAAAGGTAATTCTGTTCTGGATCTTCTCATTCCTTCCATTTTGCTTAGGAATGTAAACCTTCCTTTTGCCTTGTTTTCAGATGTGAGTTAAGAGATCTTTTAATTCACTATACAAGTTGGAACAGTTAATAATGTTATGTGGGTAGCAACCAGGAAACATAGGACTGCCATGGTTTGTTCTTGGCTTATTACATTGAAGAAAGAACAGCAGTATTACAACGATCAAATGTCTTACCAATGGCAGTAATGCTGGCATGTTCAAGTTCATTCATTTTCATGTATTCACCAAGGTGTGGCATTGTTTTCCATGTTCATCTTGTTAATCCCATTGTGAAGAGGGATAACATTGAGATGTGTGTCCATTCTTGAAGCAAAAATTATAAATTCCTGACTTAAAGCCATGCTTTAAGGTCTTGGGGTGCAACGATGTACCTGTTCTGAATGTGATCTGAATCTGAAGGAGGACAGAAAAGATGTGATTAATAATGGTGCCTCATTTTTCTTGTGTTCTGTAGGAAACATTGCAGTTTTCATGAGGCCCCTCACTGTATTGAAGGGTGACAGAGGCCTCTTGATGACTGACGTCCTCCTTGCGGTTGATGGCACTGAGAAGCCAGAAGAGCTCCTCTATGTGATCACCGCCCCTCCTCAGTATGGACAGATTGAATATGTCAGCTATCCTGGAGTTGCCATTACAAGTTTCAGCCAGATGGATGTAGCAGGCCAGGCAGTGTGCTATGTCCACAAAAGCAAGGAAGCTTCTTCCAAAGATATGTTCAGGTAAACAGTGATGTCTCTGGTCCCCCCCCCCCCTTTCTTTTTCCTCTTTCTTATTAATTTAACTGTGAAATTGGTCCTAGTGATGGGAGAAATCAAAATATCCAATCTTTATATAGCAATGACACATTCATACAGGTACTGGAAACCTGTGAGTCCCCCAATTTCCATTGGTTTTAGCCTACACAGTCAACGTTGAGGGGTCAACAACATTTGGTTGACTGCAATTATGCAGACGTGTATAACTTTTTTTTAGCTAAGATAAGGATAGGACAAGAAGCCGATTGATTCATGATCATACAGTTGGTAGTGAACTCTTCTGGTGTCAGATAAGGTGTTGTCCGTAATGGAAATGTATTACATTGGGGATTCTTGCAAAGAGCTTGATAATAATGTTTTGCAAGAAAGGAAGTCTCCCGTATAGAATGAGATGCACAGTTCAAATGTGATGTCAATATTAATCCATTGAAATCCATAATCCATTTCTAGAGCAATTATGCCATCCCTTTTACATTACTATCCTACTTTCTAGATCTTTAATTATTGTTATACGCTTCCACCTAATTCTCCACCAATTCTGTCCAATAAGGATGTATGTGTCCAGAAAGGGTTTTTACCCTTACAGTAATACAATAACTTTCTGACAGTGTGTTGAGTTCTCTAAAAAAAACACACATGTTGCCATCTTGAAGCAGGCAGAAATTTAGGGAATTTCTTCCATTGAGTTCATCTACCTTATCTCTTTTCAAAGTACAGATAACATGAGGGGAGGGCAAAACTGAGATCATTCCCCTTTGCTCAGACAAGCATTTTGTCATGGCTATCTAGTGTTTTCTTTTGCAAGAGAAAGATGAGATCCATATCTAAGGGAAAAGAAATCAATATAATTTGGCTAAATAAAAAAGGTTTATAATTATATTTTTTTTGCCTAGTTCAGTTTTCTGTCTCATCCTCCAACGTTTTCAGCAATATGTTTTTTTGTGTGTGTCAGGAGCAACTTGAGAAACTGCACGTTGCTTCTGGTATGAGAGAATTGGCTGTCTTTGAGGACGTTGCCCAGGGGACACCCGGATGTTTTACCATCCTGTGGGAGGCTTCTCTCATGCCCCAACATGCGAAGCTGGAGCTGACAGATGGGAGCTCCCCCTGCTCTCCAGATTCAAGCCACTGACCTTTTGGTCAGCAGTCCTGCTGGCACAAGGGTTTAACTCATTGCATTACCAGGGGCTTCAGCAATGTAATTTTTTTTTCCGTGTCAGGAGTGACTTGAGAAACTGCAAGTCGTTTCTGGTGTGAGAGAATTGGCTGGTCGGCAAGGACATTGTCCAGGGGACGCCCAGATGTTCTAATGTTTTACCATCCTTGTGGGAGGCTTCTGTTATGTCCCTGCATGGGAAGTAGGAGCTGACAGAGGGTGTTCATCTGTGCTCTTCCCGGATTTGAACCTTTGATATGATGATTCTGCTAAATATTGGGATATTATTATAAAAGTTGGTACACATATTCAGGTCACAATTCTGCATTTCACATTCAACTGCTAGCTCAATCCCTGCACTAAATTTCAAAACTGCAAAGAAATGCAAAATACAAAATGGGCTAAATCCAATGTTGGTCATACCTTAGAGAAGACCCACTGAAATGAATGGAGCTTACAGCCACAACTAAGTGAAGTTCAATTTACTTTATTAAGTCTAAATTCTATGGAAGATTAAGGTTGGATTTATCCCTGTATTAGCACAAACCATAAAACATTGGAATTACACTTGAAGTTCAGAAAAAAACCTGTGCCTCAAGGCCAAACTACAATCCATTTTGAAAGGAAACCTATAAAGACAAAATATTACAGTAGCTTTTTGCAATGCCAACACCTAATGTCAGATTGAAATAGGGCAATAAAACTTGGTGTACATTTTCAGGACATTTTTATACATTTCAAATGCAAAGCTCATGCAGCTTGAGACAACAAAAGTGACCAATACGGTTCGTGAAATACTGTATGTTAGTATTTTTCAAAGATTGCTTAAATGCATGATAGCCATGTGGAAATTTAGTTTTTAAATCTTATGTTGAAGAGTCTATGTTTTCAAATTATACCTTTAGTAGCTCTTCCCTTGTTGTTTCAAAAGATATTTTTCTTCAATATAGTCTAATGAGGTATTGCAATACATTTGGATTCTTTTAAGTCATTGATTAGGTGGTTAAAAAGCAGGATGGCTAATTATTAAAACAAAGCTGTATCTATTGACAGTTTGGTATCAATTGGCCCTCCTCATCTGTGATTTTTCTCTTTTTAATTAATTAGTAGGCGGATACCAGCCAGATTGAGAAGAGACTCAATTTTTTCTTCCATTTTAGATACTATAGTTGTACTCACATGCATACTCCTAAGTTATGGGTACCATTTGATGTGCACACTTACCTGTGGTGAAACGGTTGCAACACCGCGTATAGACAATCCAGAGAATTAAGGTCGGGCCAGACCCATTTTGACTGGGTATTTTAATGAAGCAGAGATACGCGTGTCTGTTTTAATCACTGTAAATGATGTTCCTAGCTGCCAGAATTTGGCAAAGTATTTGGTTATATATTGAGATATAAATACTGTGGCAGATTATTAAAAAATAAAACACCAAGGGCTGATGACATTTAATTAAATGGGGGGTTTAAATGATCAGATTTTTACCGTGCGTTAAGGCACTTTATTCCATCGTAAACCTCCCGGCATTGTTTGATGCTGCTGGCCTGGAAGAGGATTTGGCAGAGCTCGTTTTGGACAGATGACTTCAAGTGATTAGCAATCTGACATCAGACGCTGGCAGCAGGATGCTAAAAGAACATGCTAATGTCCTCCATTTTGACACGGTGGATCAGTTTTGTAATGAGCTGGCACCATCTCCGATTCCATTTTTATATTTTAAATGCCACGACAGATGGTACGTCCTGCAGCCAGCTCTATCGCCATGAACTGCGGAAAACATGAAAACCTTGGTAGTGGTGAAACCAAATCATGTGACTTGCCCTCTTTGCTAAGCTTGAGAATTATCCCCCACAAATTTCATCAGAGAGATGGGAATGTTGGCTGCTTCCCATTCCTGAGGGAAAGATGGAGCAGAACTAAGCATGAAATAAATAGTGGGCTGGAGGATGGGAACGTGGTCTTTTCTTGAAACGAACTCATTGTCTGGGAGTTGAGTAATGCAAAATGAGTAATTTGCATGATAATTATTAGACTTCCTTTGACTGCTAATGATTATCCACATGTCCTGAACTGTGTCTTGATCTAGCTCTTTCATTCATTCAAGTTTTGGAGTGATATCTCTGTAGCCCTTTCTAAGGTAGGAGAATAATAATTCTTCAGTAATTATATTTTTGCCATATTGACCAAGGTAGGCCCAACCGAATATTCTCTGCAGTCAATTCCTTCAACTAGCAGAGTTGCAATTCATTCCATTAGCAAAACTACAATTTCTTAGTCTAGCAGAAAAACATTCTTTGAAGTGTTAATTCTGATATTCAAGGAAGGAATTGTAACATCTCTTTCTCTTTCACACACACAATCAATGAGAGTGACAGTTTGAAGAGGAAATCCTCCATTGCATGGGGAAGTTCTTCACATGATTAGGAACGATGAAAAATCAGAATTCTCAAGCTGGACAAGTTGCATGCATAAAGGATGCTATCCTTTTCCTATTGTCACTTTCCAAATGTGGAGAGTACAATAAAGACAGTGGGGCCAACATGTTCCCTTCTCCTCCACCCCCTTCCTTTTTCTCTTTCTCTCTCTCCTTGCCCCCGTGTGATTTCAAGGCATTTCTGATGCATGATGTCTCTAAGGCCATATCACAGTGTCTAGGACTGTGAGTGTATGAATTGTCTAAGGCAGTGGTTCCCAATCTGTGGTCTGTGGACCACCAGTGGTCCATATAAACAAAAATATGGCCCATGGCCTGACCATCACTACATCTTTGCCTCTAAACCATAGGGCAGTGAGAACAACTGGGCTCACAAAACCTTCTTATAGGGCTGAGACAACGAGGATGTCAGGAGGGGAGAGGCTGACTACCCACAAAAAATTACTACTACCACATTATTAAATATGGTTTTCTGTGGGCGAGCAGATGGCAGCTACTGGATGTCATATGTTCTGTATTGGAAACTAGAACTGATGTGGTCTATCTAATAAAATTTTCTGAATCGGCACCCCAAATAACCAAACTGAATCTGAAGAGTGGTCCCTGATCAAAGTGGTCCCTGGTCAAGTGGTCCTTGATCAAAAAAGGTTGGGAACCACTGGTCTAAGGTCACTCATTGAGTTTTCATGGCCAAGAGGGGATTCAAGCTCTAGCTTCCAGAATTACAGTCCAATGCTCAAACCACTACACCATGCTGGCTCTCTGTTTACCATTCTAGTGAGTCTGATTAAGACTAAAATTAGCAGGTGTGGGCATTTTCTTCTAGAAAGAGCATGTCCCACTGACCTTCGAATTTCATTGTCCAAAATGGGAGTGGGTGAAGATTTTGATTAGTTGATTTTTAAAATACAGTGTTCCTAAAATTTCAATTTCGGCATAAATCTAATAGAAACAATGACAGATTCATCAAAGAATTTGAAATACCAAATAGGATGGATTCATTCAACTCCCATTGCTTAGCAGTATAGTTATTGCCTAACCATTGAAGAGTAGGAATCAGAGGCATGGAGATGCCAGTGTCAAGAACAGAAATGGAAGTCCTCTATGCCCCTCCTTGTGAGAGAATAGCAGTATTGGAAGAGATCCATCTTGTCCAGAATTAAAATAACATCACCCTTTTATATCCAACCAGGCAACCCTAGCCACTGATTCTGGAACCCATCAGGCACCACTGACTGCAAAGTTAAGTGTCCAAGAGCTGACAGTGGACAACTCCAAGGGCTAAGCTATTCTTTCTTTTTCATTTTGAAACTAGTCATCGCCAGTGTGGTGTAGTGGTTTGAACATTGGATACAATACTGGATACAAGGGTTTGAATTTCCATTCTGTCAGCAACCCCAAAGGATTCTTGCAAAGGAAAACCGGCAAATGTTGTACTGAGAGATTGCTAAGCAATGTTTGAATTACTCGAGGCAGCCAATCCCAGCACAGAGAACCCTGTGGGGCAGAAAGGGATTGAGAACAAGATAATTTCAAAAGAAGGGAGATCATTGGAGAAGTCTGTTGTAAGGGTAGATGGGGAGTGGATGTGTGCTGGGTGTCTGAATTGAGTGAGGGAAATGGTCTGATATTGCTCAATTTGATGATGATGATGATGGTATGTTTGGAACTAGGTACTAGAGTCCAATCAAGCAACAATTGTTCTATTTGTTAAGAAAATAAAGTTGATCTACTTGCTATTTTGTTAAACCTGACTCTGATTGGACCATAGAGTGTCATGTTTGCCATTAGAGGAACTAACTGTAAAATGCATTGGTCCACCAAAAATCTCCTGGGTCCCATGACCCAAATCCAAGAAGTAATTTAAGCTGAGTCCACAGGGTAAAGTGAGAGTGACTGGCATTCAAGGCTAGAAATTGTGGAGCCTGCCCCCATAGATATGTCACATCCCTCTTTCCAAGAAAAAGAAAATTGGGTCCCCATAAGTTGGAAGTGACTTAAAGGCACATACTCTGTTTATTCGATGCTTAGACCATAGGTCTTTCACATACAAGGCAAATAGATAAATTCATGAACACCAGATTATTAGTTACAATATAAAATACACAATAAAATCCTATAAATCATCAAAATGCTACATATATCAATGGCAAGATTCACCCTTAAGATACTACATGCTGTAACAACAAGAACTTGGATCAGATATTGCTTATATAAAATGTGTTTATAATCAAGGAATGGTCCTCTGACAGCCCTTCAGATATGTGGTGTTTTGTTACCTTAGAATCAATGTCCTTCTACATTCCTCTGAATGTTGTTTGATGTCTTCTGGAGCTCTAATTCCACTGGAAGATCTGATATAACTAAACTGATGACAGGACATCAGTTTTACCATTGGCACAAATGTTAGGTCAGTACAGACAGCTGCTGCCATGTTCCCAGATGGGAAAAGTGTCCTTCACTAAATATTTTTCTTGCTCCTATTAACTATCTGGCTTGCCTGAGCTCATTTCCATCTGTTTGATGGCATGGTGCCTACATACAAGTTAGTCATAATCATCAGAGGAAGTGGGAAGTTGATTTTTTTTGGGGGGGGACAGTAACCCTGATATCAGCAGTTTTTCTGGCCAGGAGGTCACAAACCCTCCCACTGGAGGTCATTAGACACCAGGCACACAGCCTCAATGGTATCAAAATCTTTCTGAACTCAGGAACATTAGGCCTGACCTAGAGCTAAGGTGAAATGAATACTATTAATACTTATTATACAAATCCTAACAAAATGTCTGCAATTCAGAGTAGACCTGTCCATCTTCAAAATTCCATTTGCTTAGGAATTAATTCTGTTTCACAGGAATTCAAGTAGGGCTTTTGAAGACCTCTGCCCATGACTTTAAAGACTTGCTGCCACTCAAGGCAAACTGTAATGGGTTTGATGGTCCAATTATCTGGCTCAGTATACGAAACTAGTGTTCCAGTTGGCTGACATCTGTAGTTTTGAAAGTAATATTGCATTTCTAGTAGAACATTCAAAATTATGTACATGAGAAGCAAAACACAGACTTTAGTCAACTTATTATTGTTCAGAAAAAGGAACATGGTTAATATTTCTGGAAAGTCCTGAGGACTAAAGCTCTCCAGTGCAGAACTCTTAAATAGATCACAGGTTATCAGATCCCATCGTCATCATACTATGCACAATGGGGACAGGGGTCTAAAATAATATCTTCAGACGACTAAGAGGCAAGACTTTTAGTAAAGGTGTCTGTTATATTTCATTTCAGTAGATGGTGAAACAAGAACACATGCTGAAGACTGCCTTGCCTCTTTTTGCCAGATTCATCATCAGCAATGGGTTAAGAACTAAACAGGGAGAGTTTGAGATCATCCTGGAGACAGTGGACCAAGCCTTACCCACCGTGACCAAGAACAAGGGGTTGAGATTATTGGAAGGTGGCATGGCATTCCTTTCTCCAGATGTCCTACAGATTTCGGATCCAGACACAGCTCCACAAAACCTTTCCTTTCTCCTAGCTGAGCTCCCACAATATGGTCAGCTCTACAACAGGGATTATGAACTCTGGCAGCAAAGCTTTAGCCAGCAAGATGTGGACACCCTGAATGTTGCTTATAGACATGGAGGTGGTGATTCTCGGATTGACAGATTCACGTTTGTGGCGACAGATGGAGTGAATCAAGGCTTCATCGTAAATAGCAAGGTTCAATTTGAGCCTCTGATGTTCATCATTCAGGCAAGTCCCACACACACAAATATATGCACAGATGCATGTGGCTGTATGCTCAACTTCCATTTGTATACATAGATATACATTTTTGGCCAATACTGGAAACCTTCCTGAGGCTATTTCAAACACCTTGACTACAAAAGATTAAATCCAATTGTTAGTCTCAACTACAGTAGGCCTACTGAATCTGTAGAACTTTATAACATTTCACTTTTCACATTTTCATTGATCTGGTGGGTGAGATTAATTCTTGTATTCAACTACCAGAGTTCAGCAGACCATCTCTTTAGGCCTCTACAATGTCTTGAAAGTGGAAGTACTTGCTTTTCCCCTAGCCTTTGACCAGTAATATCAGTATTTAATTTTTATTTCAGGTGGATAGCCCAGCAAAACCAGCGCCAAAAATTGTTCATCTTCATTGTGCTTCAGATGTGGAACTTCTGAAAAATGGCATCTATGGTATTTACATTACTGTCCGTTCACTGAAAGCCATAGATTGTGATACAGATGATGGACAAATCATTTTTAAGATTTTGAGAAGGCCTCTGTATGGCTACCTGCAAAATATAACAACAGGTATTTGTCATATCACCATTCAAGGTAGCTTGTATTGGATAGGATAGGAATAACATTTAATTTGTACTTTGAACAAATAATTAGAATTTATAAGCAATGCATGAATCATTTCCTTGGAAGTTGTTGTCAGAAGTAGGTGGCTCTGGTCATGAAAACAGATTGAAATATAGCTAGAACTGTGAGAAAATTGTAGATTAGGCGTGGCAAAACTTTCTAATTTGGGGACCACAATGCTAGCACTCCCTGGTAAGAGGACTGGCTGCCTGGTGATGGAAGGAAGGAAGGATGAAAGGGAGGAAGGGAAGGATGGAAGGAGAAAGAGGGAGAGAGGGAAAGGAGGGTGGTAGGAAGGTAAAGAGGAAGGAAAGCGAGAAGGAAGGATGGAAGGGAGTAAGGATAGATGGAAGGAGAAAGAGGAAGGTCAGGAGGAAGGAAAGAGAGAAGAAAGGAAAAAACAAAAGTGAAGGAAAGAAGGCCGAAAGAGTGGAAGGGAAGGATGGAAGAAAGAGAAGGAGGAAGGAAAAAGAGAAGGAAGAGAGGAAGAAAAGGAGGAAAGGAAAGGAGGGAGGAAAAAGAGATGGGTGGATGGATGGATGGATGGAAGGAAGGAAGGAAGGAAGGAGAAAGAGGGAGAGAGAGAGAGGGAAGAAGAGATGAAAGAGGGAAGAAAGGAAAGATGAAAAGGTTTAAAGGAAGGAAGGAGAGAGGGAGAAAGAGGGAGGTAAATAAGGGAGGGAGGGAAGGAGGAAGGAAGGAAAGAGAGACAGAAGGAAGGATAGGATGGTGAGAGAGAGGAGTGCCTGAGAAAAGAGCCCAAGGGACCACATCTGGCCCCCGAGCCTAGGTTTACCCATACCCGGTGTAGACCCTCAGTCTGCCTAGTGAGTAGTAACTGGATTTAGTTTTACCTGTGTAATTCTGTTCTGTCATGGAATGTCAGAGTAGGCCTCTTACATTATTACAGTTTGTCACTAAGTAACTAGAACTACTACCTAACTCATGTAACTATAAGCATCTTTGATCTATATTTTTAAAAATTGATAGAACAAAGACTCTAAAGATTCCAGACTTAAACTCTGCTGGATCCTTTAGAGTCCATATTGGAAATCTTAGTTGCAAGTCAGTGAAACTTGAAATTTAATGCTACTAAACTAGTGTTTTCTAGAGCTGTTGGGCTACAAAGGCATACTCCCAGTCAAAATATTAATTACAATAATGAGTAGATAATCAATACAATCAAAGGGTGCTAAATTGAAGAAGAATGGTGCATACAACACTCAACAGACAATGGGTGTTCCCATCCAAATAAACTTGCTTTGCTCTAGCACGCATTCAGGTGGGCTCTGTATCAACCCTCTCCCACTCCTCTCTTATCGACAAGCAAAAAAGACCACCAGATCTGTCACTGCCAAACATAATCAATAGCAAGGTATTTTATTTGAAGGGAGGCTACAAAGGCAGCTTTCTGTTTCAAGAGCCTTTTCAGTAGCCAACTCTTTCCTGTTGGAAGATTGTTTGACTTTTGTGGACTCTGGACTCCCAGGTGTGTGTCCCATGTTCCAGCTGTACTGAAATTGTTTAAAAGTTGCTGGAGTAGTAATAAAGCATCTGAATATAAAGAGGTTGGAGATATGACCAATGCTGTAGTCACTTTTTTTGTTACCAATCTGTGGCCGAGTGTTCAATGGGATGAGAAGCATCTCAGGTACCCAGAGATTCCAGTATCAGCACAACATACTGAGTCTTGTTTCTTAGGAATTGTGCATCCATACCATATTGTTTTTTTTTTTGCCGTGTTAAAAAAACCCAACATATTGTAACAGTAATTTCTGTACTAACCATCCAAAAAATGTTGCCATCACTACAAATTGTTCACAGGCATACTGCTTTTTAAAGGATTTTTTGTCTTATTTCCCCAGGTGGGTTTATTCAAGAACAGTTCAGCCAAAAGGATTTAAATAGCAGAACCATATTGTATGTCATTGATCCTTATGAGGAGAGCAATTCAGATAACCTGGAGATTCAAGTTACTGATCCTGAAGGAAATTCTGCTGAACCTCAGAGGTAATACATGAATTTCATTTTTTAATAAACACTGCCCTTCCTTGTTTCCAAAGTGAGATCCATTACACACTGTTGTAAAGTAGTGATGACACAATAAATAGATCACAGTTGAAAGCAAAAAATAATTGTAGCCCCCTTGAAATTACAAAATTTCATGTCTAGACAGTAGTTGCTGAGTTGATTTTTTTTAAAAACCTAACAAATAAATAACATAGTAGTTTGATAGCTTTCAAAGGCATTCACACATGTTGTTCTTAACTCCTGTCAGGTTGACTTCAACTTAAGGTCTTTCGAGACAGGCTCAAAATGTGGGACCTATCTCACTTTTAATGGATGCCTCTGGTAAAAGTGAATTAATATGGAATAAACAAGGTTTTGGAGCCCCCAGTGGTGCAGTGGGTTAAAGCGCTGAGCTGCTGAGCTTGTTGACCAAAAGGTTGCAGGTTCAAATCCGGGGAGTGGCGTGAGCTTCCGCTGTTAGGCCCAGCTTCTGCCAACCTAGCAGTTTGAAAACATGCAAATGTGAGTAGATCAATAGGTACCGCTCAAGTGGGAAGATAATGATGCTCCATGCAGTCATGCCGGCCACATGACCTTGGAGGTGTCTACGGACAACACCAGCTCTTTGGCTTAGAAATGGAGATGAGCACCACACCCCAGAGTTGGACATGACTGGACTTCATGTCAGGGGAAAACCTTTACCTTTACCTAAACAGGATTTTACCAGTTTGCTCTGCATTAAGCAAATGTCTCAACAAATCTGGGCCTTACTGAAGGCCTGTGAGGACTGACCCTCCAGGGACTGCTTTTGCAGTTCCGGGGGTCAGTCCCCACAGCCATTTGGGCTTCATAAAGTCCGGATGAGTGGGGTGGTGCCCACCCCTTCCCTCCAGTCCTCCATTTGAGGTGCAAACCTTACCAGTGAGACTTGCCGACAGCACAGTCCTCTCCCTACAGACCTCCTGGTGCAGGAAAATGGTGCATCAGGAGGTGGGGGAAGGAGGGATTTCCCCACTCTCCCCTCCTGACACTTCATTTTTTTGTGCCAGGTGAACTTTAGGGAAAGGACTGCAGTGCCAGCAAGTTTTGTGCCCCAAATGGGCTTCGGGGTAGCTTCATGCCATCCCAATTTGACTTGCGATGGCATGCAGCCACCCACACCCCAGGGAAAGCCTGGGGTTTGTGTTGGGTGTGTGGACTATAAGATGCTTCTTTCAGGCAGATTTCAATTGTAGCACTTTGTGAATTTGTATAAGGAAAATTGTGCACTGGATTGTGGCTTCAAATAAATAAAAGTCATTTTACCATGTAATTATCCGTGCAAGTTTTGGCCACCATCCCATAGACATTGACATGGGAAGAAGTGAAGTTGTTGTGGTTTATGTCTAAGTAGAACTGTGTCTTTCTCTTTTATTCACTTTCCCTATTATGACTGGACTCTTCTTGTGGTGTTGTGGCCATGGTTCAGAGACTTCATGAGCATGAGAGAAGGCACACAAGACTCTAGGAAAAATGATCAAAATAATATTAATTATGACACTGATTAATTATGTCTCCAGTAAAGAAGAATACGTTTTACTATAAACTTGTTACAGAAGCAAATTCCACTACTTAGTTGTGAATCAGAAAAATGCATTTAGATGCACCTTGCAGCAGCTAGAGGTCACTCTAGATCTGAGTTGATTGATAACAAGTATGTGGAATAATTTTCAGAGTTTTTAGTACTCCAAGCAGAAAACTATAATTTAGAAAAAAAAAACCATCCCTTTAAACCTATGGCTTTTTCTCCCCCTAATAGTAATTAAATAAGAGCCATCTGTAAATGTCCTCTTTACTGTGACAGTCACTGAGGGCACTGCTGCAAACCCAACTATAGTACCAAGTTACTTCAGTGGATGTAAGAACAGCATTTGTTGAGTCTTGGTGCATTTTGAGTTGCCTTGCATCCTCATTGGGCTTGTTTGAGTATCATCATTCTTGTCCTACAAAGTGTAGTGTAGCAGTGTGTTGACATGTGTATCCTGGAACAGGAATGGTTGCTGTACATCTTTTCATGCAGGTTTTTCTATTATGCTTCGAGCCTGGAAAAGTTACTTTTTGTCTACAGCTTAGTATCTGGAAAGTCTGAAAGTCCAAAATGTTACTTTTCTAATTGCTGGCCATTGTTATAATCTCTTGGAATGTATGTTTATGGGGTGCTGTTCAGTAAATACTGTTTCAAAACTTATTTTCATTGCCATGAATTCTATGGAAACAAAAAAAATGGGATAATTGTGAAGGGTCTCATTTAAACCCCCCCCCCCTCTTTTAATGCCCTGTGTTTAAAAACAAAAAGGGCCATGTGTTTTGTGTGTGTGACTGGATTATTTTTTGGCTCCTTTGAGTCTGGAATAATATGAGAAGGCAGGAATATGTTGGGTACTGAAGTGAAGGAGCGCCTGATGGCAAAGCAGGTTAAATCACTGAGCTACTGAACTTGCTGACCAAAAGGTCAGCAGTTCAAATCTGGCAAATGGGGTGAGCTCCCACTGTTAGCCCAGTTTCTGCCAACCTGCAATCCGAAAACATGCAAATGTGAGTAGATCAATAGGTACCGCGATGGGAAGGTAATGGCGCTCTATGCAGTCATGCCAGCCACATAACCTAGGAGGCATCTAGGGACAATGCTGGCTCTTTGGCTTAGAAATGGAGATGAGCACCACTCCCAGAGTCAAACATGACTAGACTTAATGTCAGGGGAAATCTTTACCTTTTACTGAAGTGAAAATAATAGCAACAACAACAACAGCAGCAGTTACTACTAAAGTAAAGATAAAATAGAAAGGATAAGTTTTGCATTGTGTCGTGCTGTTGGAACAAGAGCTGACCACTTAGCCCAATCATACTATAAATCTGAAACCATAATAACATGAAACTTCTGTTGAGCTTTTGTGGTTAGCTGTTTGTGTGCTGAAAACTAAAGTGACTTGAAGAAGTCTCAGTGTGATCCTAGAAGTGTATTACCAATTGAATCTAGTTGTTTGGCTAAAGAGGTTTTGGAGAAATTCAACGACATTTATGTTTATGTCTATACATGCATGCTTGCCACTGCATGTATTTGTGCTTGCTTATCATAAAGTTCTATCTGTGCATGTACAATACTACTGGGTTTAAGCTGATCCTCTGTGTTGCTTCTTCAACTTGATGGACAAGACCTTCTAAAAGTGGGTCTGAGGCCCCTTCCACATAGCTGAATACCACATTATCTACTTTGAACTGAAATATATGGCAGTGTGGACTCAGGTAACCCAGTTCAAAGTTGATATTGTGGAATTTTCTGCCTTGGTATTCTGGGTTATATGGCTGTGTGGAAAAGCCCTGGGTAGGGTATTTTCTAAAAGGATGTCTGAGTAGTGCTAACTTCAGTCAGTTTGAACCAGATCTTTTAGACAGAGAAAGTGAGTGGGCAAGAGGTCTCAACCCCATTTCTAACTTGGAAATGGCCCTGGAGTATAGCTGCCAGAATCTCCTAGCCAATATGGCTACTTCTCATGCTGCCCCAAAAATTCAGGCAATGTAGTCCAAAAATGTAATTTTTACAAGCTCTGCATTATTTTAAGCACATAATGAAACCTATGGAAGGATGTTGCTTCAGTTCCATAGTTGGGCACTAGATGTTGCTATTTTCAGCCTTAAAAATCAGCAGCTAATTTCTCAATAAAGGATAATGATGTATGGTATTTGGAATGACTGAAAGTCTTACACTCATTTCAAATATGGGACGGAGATGTTATATATGCTTCGTTTTTATGCCACAGAAGATGCAACCCAAGAGCTATATAAAATCAATGCAGTGATACAGACCTTGGGCAGCCAGCCAGTTGCACATGTGTTAGCAGCAGCACAGGCAGGAGTAATACGCTCTCCCACATAAGACTGGGAAAGTATATGGTTATGGTGCAGACCTCTGTTCCATATGGCCTGCTACCCATTCCTTGTGTCGGTAGGGGGAAGGCAAATACCACTTTAAAACTTTTGTAGATTGGTGCTGTAGACTTGATTTGCACTGTAGTGGAGCTTTGTGGGATGTTTATCCAAAAGAACGCCTAAAACTATGAATATTCTGTCATATGTGAATGGCCCCATACTGTGAAGGCAGGTTTACCATTGAACATGAAGAAAACAAAAGGATTTACATATGTTTAAAGTGGACAATTAGTGCATCTACACTATAGAGTTAATGTAGTTTGACCCCACTTTAACTGAATGACTCAATACTGTGGAATCCTGGGAGTTGTACTTTTATAATGCCTTTAGCCTTCTCTGCCAAAAAGTATCTTATTATACTACCACTTAACTTAATTCAGAAGTGGGCATCATCGCTGGTGGGATCCTATGGTGTAGCTCTCTAAGGGGAAGTATTAAATGAGGACATTGATCCCTAAATAAGAATTTTGTGCCTAAAATGAAATTTTCATTCACTCCTTACACTGAATAATAATAATAATAATAATAAGAAGAAGAAGAAGAAGAAGAAGAAGAAGAAGAAGAAGAAGAGGAAAAATGAAAGATCGAACTGCAAAGACTCTGGCACAAACCAGTAAAGGTAGTCCCAGTGGTGATCGACACACTGGGTGCAGTGTCTAAAGACCTTGGCCTGCACTTAAACACAGTCGTGGCTGACAAGATTACCGTCTGCCAGCTGCAAAAGGCCACCCTACTGGGATCTGCGTGCATTATTCGCTGGTACATCACACAGTCCTAGACACTTGGGAAGTGTCCGACGTGTGATCCAGTATAACAGCCAGCAGAGTGATCTTGTTTGCTGTGGACTCATCTTGTTATGTTTCTAATAATAATAATAATAATAATAATAATAATAATAATAATAATAATAATATATTTATATTATGCCTTATCTCCCTGAAGGGACTTATGGCAGATTCCATTCACAAAAAGTCAAACATTCAATGCCTGAACGTGACAACTAATCCACGCATAGTAACAATATTAAACTACACAGCACATAGAAACCAATTATAACTTAGCAAATTAGGATTAGATTTAAACACAACCTATTTTATCAGAGATAAAACAAACATGAAACAGAAGCGTCAATTTCTCAGAGTCAATGAAGTTCCTTGCAGGCATGTAAGCCAATCATTGCTCAAGATGTCAACTGAGCTAGCGGGGCAAACAGGACCCAAGTACGGATTGCAGATGTTACTCAGAAGTAACATCTCTTATATTTGCGGTTTTCGTGTTCCTTTAGCAATTTTCCATTTTTTTAATGCAAAAGTCATATTTGTCAATGCTCAGCCATAGTTTTAAGTTACTGCAATACTAGAAATTTGGTAAGTCAAGGATAATCTCATTGGAGAATATAATTCTTAACTGGGAGAGCAATGTCCTCATTTTGCCCAGCTAGATTCAAGGTTATATTCTGTCTACTTGTTGTCCTTACATCAGTTTAGAAGGCAAAAGGGATTCTGAAATGGAAAAATCATACAATTTCTCTAGTAATTTGGCTGGCAAAAGTGTTATTTCTCTTCTTCTTATAATGTTTCATGACTACAAGTGTCATGACTACATTTTTAGTTTTCTCAGATAAAGTATTGTCAATGTCTTGTCGAAGGCTTTCATAGCCGGAATCACTGGGTTGCTCTGAGTTTTCCAGGCTGTATGGCCATGTTCGTCAGGAGAGAAAGCTTCTGGAACATAGCCATACAGCCCAGAAAACTCACAGCAACCCAAAGTATTATCAGTTCAGCAACCTGGAACTAGATTTATGTGACAAATATCTACTTCAAAACTTGTGGGAAGAGGGAGACAAGTTAATTTTCTGGTATCAAATAATATTAACTAAAATCAACTTTTAAATGCTTTATTAACTGACTTGCAACTTCAAAGCCTAGCTGGTTCCTGCCTGGGGGAATCCACATTCTGCTTGTGTATTTCAGTGGATTTTCTGTGTAGTCTCAGTAATTCCAGACAAGAATCAATCAGGGCCAGCTAACACCTCCCAGCAAAGGTTTCCCCTCCAGGCAGCAACCGGGCAGGCTTTGAAGCTGCAAGGCCATTAAATGTGAATCAAGGTGGCCATTTGCAACATTCATACTTGCCTCAAACAGACAAGAGTTCTTTCTTCTACCCTGGACATTCCACAGATATATAAACCTCACTGGCCTAGTTTCCAGCAAACCCCTCAACCTCTGAGGATGCCTGTCATAGATGTGGGTGAAACGTCAGGAGAGAATGCTTTGGGAACATGGCCATACATCTTGGAAAACTCACAGCAGTTCAGTGAATCCGGCCACGAAAGCCTTCAACAACACATTAAAGGACAGTTTTCTAAATTAGAAAAGAGAGAGATTTTTTTTCCTTTTTTCTTTCTTCAAGAACCATGTGTTGCTGTTTTCTTAAAGACATTATAACATTAGCTTATAGCTTGTGCTGCGGGAAAAAATTGCTTTTGTCTTCTTTACATTACATTAAAAATAGCTGCAATTAATGGCTAATGCAGCATTGCCATCTTTTCTATAAGGTGTATTTTGATTCAAGTATCGTTATTCTAGCTCTCTTATGAAGAAGCTTGCAAAGATATTAAATGGTGATTTTTTTGTTTTCACTTCATGTGACCTTAATAACGCTCTAAACATTCTTAAAACATGGGAGCAGCTGGGACTCTTCTGGGGTGAGGGAAATGTATTCTTTCCCTGCTCAGACACCTTTATCCCCATTAATACACACTGCAATTCTCAGATAATGCCTATGTGTGAAGACACATTCAGTGCTTAGCTGTGTTAAGTTTATGCTTAAATTAAGCTCTGCATACATCTCTTTGCAGATCAATGTCCTCCAATTAGTCAGTCTTTAAGATGCCACAAAACTCCATCTTTCTATAGACTAACATGACTGTCTCCCCGTCTCTCTGAAAATCCTTAAAGCGACACCTTCGTAAAAAACAAGAACAACTGTGATGATGAACAGGAAAGAGATTATACTTGTCTCAAATCCTCAGCACCGGGGATTTCTGGGATTCCTATGGAGATTTCCCCTCTAAAGTATTTTCTTTCTCCCTCCCACCCAAAACAGGCTGGAACTGAAATGGTCCAAGATTGAAATCCAGCAAGATGTTTATGAAGTCTGTGAAAATGTGGGGATATTGCCTTTGAAAATCAGCCGATCAGGGTACAACGGCGATTCAGCATTTGTGGCAATGAAGGTAATATTATTACACATTAACAATATTTGGTTGAAAAAGAAGGCATGGTTTAAGGGTCTGTTTCCTCTGTTTTTACAACATTTTGCTAATCAGTACCCACAGTAGTAAAAAACCCACTGAGGTCAAATTAACTTCTTTCCAGGTAAGTGCCCAGAAAATTGTAGGCTAATTCTGTGTCCTGCTGGGAAGATCCTGCCCACATTGGTTGCCAACTTTTGGAAAAGGATGACCTTTGAGATCATAACCTTTTGGAAAACCAGAATCCCCAAAGCCTTTTGGAAGCATGACCTTTTGGAAATTAATTAGCATTCACTACCACTTGGAAAATCATAACCTTTTTGTCAAGCATGATCTTCCTGAGAAGAGAAAACACCTGTTTCAGTGAATCTTCTCTTAAGTAGTAAATATCCACTAGCATTCATGCAGGGCAAGTTAGGTTTCTCAGTTGTTAAGACTGATATACCTGGTTATCTCTTTGAACTGTTAGGAACAAAGATAAAGCCAATGCACAAAATATATAGCAGATCTTGAAAAGTGTTATTTCAGTTGCCCCGAAACATCTACTCTTCCATAAAATATATTTGGTTTTAAATCATGCTCTCAGGAGGAAAAAAAAGTAGTCTTAGTTAAAAAATAACATAATTAATTTACTTAAAAACCTCATGTATTCAGCATATAGGTACATTGCTTATCAGTTGAAAGTTTAAACAGTAAGTTCTCTAAGGCATTCTGTTGCAGTCTCTTCTCTGTCTTATGTCTAATGCATACTCTCTTAATGCAAACTAAACACAACCTGCACAAAACTGACTATACAAAACAACTGACTTCTAAATGGAGTCTTAGCCTGAATTGTCCCAGGTCTGATCACATGGTCTGCAGTCCCTCCCACAACCTCAAACAACACAGGGTATGCAGTATATGTATATACTGCATACCAGTATATACATATACAATATAGTAAGCAATCTGAATTATATACATAACAAATAACTAGTATAGAAGGCTTGTAGAAGGTTGCTATTTCCAATACCAACTTGGTCTCCAAGGTCTACAGGAGCCCCCGGTGGCACAGTGGATTAAACCGTTGAGCTGCTGAACTTGCTGACCTAAAGGTCAGAGGTTTGAATCTGGGAAGCGGGGTGAGCTCCCACTGTAAGGCCCAGCTTCTGCCAACCTAGCAGTTTGAAAACATGCAAATGTGAGTAGATCAATAGGCACCACTTTGGTGGGAACGTAATGGTGCTCCATGCAGTCATGCCGGCCACATGACCTATGAGGAGTCTACGACATGGATATGAGCACCAGCACCACCCCCCAGAGTCAGACAAGACTAGACTTAATATCATGGGGAAATCTTTACCTTTTACAGAAGCCTGCAAAAAGTACATGGTGGGAAAGAGATCCATCAATCCCAGTACAGGTTTCAGACCAACCTACTCAAAGCACTGGCCAAGATAAAGTTTATTTCAAGCATCAGTATTTTATAGAACTTCAGAGTTACCCAGACAAATGACAAAGTATGCGTGAGCATCTAATACATGTATAGTAGTCCATATCTGAGGTTGATGTGACCAGTACAGAATGTTTTGAAGACTTCTTGTTGATAATGGTTGCTTCTCAGGGTCTGACACTATATGTAGCCACAACATTTGGTTGTTAGCCCTGGGTACCTAATGTTGCAGTTACTGCATTTACAGCATAATACAACTAATAGAGCTCAGCAAAGCAATGCAGCCATAGGTAGGATATCAGCTTTTGCCAAAATGAAGTTGATCAGGTCCACTACAACAGACTAACTGAATCTGTAATTCTTACTTTATGCCAACAATGGCATTGGCCAGGGATAAATTAAAAAAAATCTCCTGCTGCCTTTTTGTACCATTAAAATTATACCTTTTTATCTGGTCCTCAAATAAATTCTAGTTTAATTTTCTCTCCAATCCGCATCCCCCACCCTTTTCTCCAACTTTCTCTCCATTATTGCATCCTGGGAAATTGGCTCCTGGTGCTTGCCTATCTCTAATGTTGTACAAGGAAATGGAGACAAGGCAATGCAATGAAATATGAGGATAGCAGAAATTTTACAGTGGCAGTCATGAAGATGGCATGTCTCACAGTCTATAGCAGTCTGTTTGAAAGTCTTCTTTAAAGGAACCATAAGGCGATAGAGCCTCCTCTTTGCCCATCAACAATTAGCCCTCAAATTAAGTCACTTACTCCCAGTCTTCTCTATTGTGGCAAGTTTATAACCTTGCTATAAAAATTATCATAATGATTTCTTAATACACACCTTTACATATACATTCTCAAATACAAATTGGTACACTCTTTTTGTCCTCTTCTTTTGGGTAGTGCATAAGTAGTCGCCCTAATATTTTAATAGAAAATTGAACATCTGATCTCAGATTACTGGGAAATCCAATCTCTGTCACAAGCATAATGCAAAAAGCATTTGATCTGTGATCTGGCCGTTCCATCAGATGATTATGAATGCAAATTTTTATTAAGCAAATGGCTTCTCTTTCTAGCTGTGAGGGAACCTGGAGCATGCTTCTATGCAAACACATTTCCGCAGGCAGAATCTCTGGCATGTTGCATGAAGTTTTAACTAACAGCAATATAATGCCATATGCAAATTGCATTTTGTAATATATTTTTAAAGAGCAGAGTTTGTCTGATGTCTTTTTGTAGTATTTTTTTAAAGCAGGCTGCTGATGCAATCCTTTCTGCAACCCTATCCTCCATTAAATGAGCTAGATTTGGAAACTGGACATTTAGGTTCTTATGCTATCAGTGATGGTGCAATTGCACATATAGCAGCAAGATCATGCCAATTCATGTGGCTGCAGAGTCTTGAGTGCAATGCTATTTTAGTCCTTCGTTGTGTTCTCTTCCATTACTGTCAACAGATCTAAGTAGGTACCAATATTATTTCTGCCCAAGCTTGCCACAATTGACTTTTAGTGAGCTGCACCATAAATGGCATCTTGTTCATAAAGATGGTGTTGTGCTCAATTGCATTGAACCAGATCAGTATTATCTGGGCTTTAAAGCCCTCGGATGCAAATATTTAAAAGTTCTGTCTGATTTCACACAGAGTTCTCTAATTTTTCTGAATTAGATCAATGAAATGACTGCTTTGTCAGGAAAGGATTTCACTCTGCCTCCTTCCCATCTTATTCAGTTTGATCCAGGTAAGCTTTGGCTGAAAGCTCTTTCCTGTTGTTGTAACTAATGCTATTATTATTAGAAGGAAGTTAATAAATACATATAAATTTAACTTGAAAATGTCACTTTCCTTACTACATCTCCCATTATCTAGCATGGGACCCTGACACTATAATCCAAAATGTAGCCTTCACAAGTCTTGAAAGGCAGCTAGAACAGAGATTTTAAGAAGAACCATGGTTTCTGCCTGTTCCTAATAGGCTTGCAGGAATTCTTAAGGATTGGCTGGTATGGCAACTCAACATAGATAAACAGAGATAGCTTGCCTAGTTACTTGTACTCTGATAATATTGATTAGGATAAATGGTTGTTCATGGAAAATGTTGAGAAGCAACCAAAATGTCAACAGGGACTACATTCTCCCTCATGGACTTGTCTTATTAGTCTTTAGAGGATCTTCTTAAGAACTAATTAGTTGGATGGAGATTCTTTGTGCACCAAACCTTGCCATTGTCATGTAAGGCACCTTGAGTTGCCTTTGGGCTGAGAAAGGCGGGATTAAAATGTGGCAAATAAATAAATAAATAAATAAATTGTTGAGTGTCTTAAGTTGCTGTTGATATGTGTTAACATTTTGTTTTTGGTTTTACTTGTAGAAATTTTATGATTGGTTGTTGTAATTGGATTTTTCCCAGCTTTGAACCATTGCCTTGTAGTTGATAAATAGGATAAATAAATAAATAAATAAATACAGCTATAATAATAAATATTTTTAGACAAACAATTAATATAAATGCATAACATACGGTGGGCTCATTAAAAAACTTCCCCATCTGAGACAATAGGTTGAAAACTTGACTTTAAAAAACACACCCATACTGAATGTGAAAGGGCATGCTTGTATGCCTCTTTCCTTTCTTGTGACTGGCTATAAAGGTGCCTAGAAAATCTGCGGAAAACAACTTCTGTCTTCTGGGAGGTCCATATGGCTGTCGTAGCATAGAAAATCGATGCACTGCATGAGTCTTCTGCTCCATGACATAGAAAGTCTGTGCCAGCTTAGCACCTTTCTGAACTGCTGGCACTGGGATGAGGTCGTTCCGTGTGGTCTAGACCAATCCATGTTGAGTGCTTACATAAGCTGCCGTAGCCTTGCAAGCATCAAATATGCAGAAGAGATTGTCAGGAGCAACAAGGCTAACTAGGTAAGACACAAAGCAGGCTGAGTGGTATGAGATGGAAGGAAGTCTTCTCTTGTACTGTTCTAGAGATGACTGTAGCCTTTTGGCCTCTCATGTTGATATGTATCAACATACCTTAGAAAATGTAATCCCCAAATGTATGTTTGTTAATTTTGCTTCATATTTCTCTGATCTTTCACCCATGTGAAAAAGTTACAATTTGTGCATTGTTGAAGGGTTTCATGCCTGGAATCACTGGGTTACTGTAAGTTTTTGGGACTGTATGGCTATGTCCCAGAAGCATTCTCTCCTGATGTTTCACCTGCATCTATGGTGTGAGGTCTTGCAACCTCTCAGGATGCCTGCCATAGATGCAGGTGAAACGTCAGGAGGGAATGCTCCTGGAACATGGCCATACGGCCCCAAAAACTTACAGCAACCCAGTTACAATTTGTGTTGGGATTTTGAGTGAGTATCTAAAGTGGGCTTGGATGGGCAACTAGCACAGGTGGCAAGGGATGGCTTGCTCTCCTGAACACCATGAGGGGTCGTGAACCCCCTCTGCTAATGCCATTTGGTGCTGTAGCAGCATCACCCGCACAAAAAAGCAATGTCTCCTCTGTAATGCAAAGTGCACTCCTAATTGCAACACAGTGAAATTAAAATGATTGCCCTCCAAGATGTTTCCCTCAAGATTGCTCAGACACTTTGCCCCAACGCAACTCTTGACTTTAGTGGCAATTCTACCTTTTCTTTCTCTCATTATTCTGCTGGAGTTCTTTTCAGGTGCTGTGGTGTATAGTTATTACCATGACTCACAGTCAATGAGATGCTACTCAATTATCTGGAATTTGGAGACAATGGTTTTGTGTCAAGGTGCTTGTTCAGACCTTGACAACAGAATGAATGATCATGGATGACTGAAATGGCAGCATTTCAAAACAATAAAACAATAGAAAAGTTGTTGCAATTAAGATTTCAAGATAGAGTTAATTTAATTTTTCAAATGTACATGAAGTCCCAACCTTTCCCTCTCCCTGAACTGCATCCTATTGTTTTCCTGACTCCCCCACTTTTTGCTATAGAAAACCAGGCTTTGTTGCAGTGTGAATGGAACCATCATTGCCGGAGAACAAATTTGGTCTCTAGTTAGTGTTATTTGGAAAAACCACAGGAGTCCAATCAGTGGGCCGGAGCACAATAGCATATACAAGGCAGTCTGCTGTAGATGTAGACATGTTAATTAATATATTTCTTCGACACCTAGGTTGATTGAAAAAGCAATTAAAGTGTAATTAAAATGTTTACTTCTGGTAGGAATGTCAACCAAGATGTGGAATATAGCAATTACCTATGACGGATTAGAGGAGGATGAGGAGGTCTTTGAAGTGGCTCTGATCTCCCCTGTGAATGCTGTTCTTGGCACCAGGACAAAAGCTGTCGTGAAAATTTTGGACTCAAAAGGAGGTATTCTCTTTTGCTCTTGCTAATAAAATCTGGAGCACTCTTGGCTGAGAAATGATTTAGTCTCAAAACACAAATCTTGCAAACACTTGCCTTTGGATCATAGTCTTTCATTTCTTAAAAATAATATAGACCTTACAGTCTTAGGTCCTTTCTCCCTTCAAGCCTTTCACATTTCTTAAGGTATAGCGCTGTGTAACACAATCCATTAAAACAATCAGCAATATCCCATCAAAAAACCCTTCTCTTAAGCAATGAACCTCGGTTTTATTGCTTCATAGCACTGTTGTCAAAAGGAGTTCCCTCTTGTGAAATTAGTAATGCCCCTCCCTCCTCACTAATCCTGTCTGTTGTATGGCAACATTTTAACATCTTCAGGAGCCCCCAGTGGTGCAGTGGGTTAAACCACTGAGCTGCTGAGCTTGATGACCGAAAGGTCGCTGGTTCAAATCCAGGGAGTGAGGTGAGCTCCTGCTGTTAGCCTCAGCTTCTGCCAACCTAGCAGTTTGAAAATATGCAAATGTGAGTAGATCAATAGGTACCGATCCAGAGGGAAGGTAACAGCACTCCATACAGTCATGCCAGCCACATGACCTTGGAGGTGTCTATGGACAACGCCAGCTCTTCAGCTTAGAAATGGAGCTGAGCACCACCCCCCAGAGTCGGACACAACTAGACTTAATGTCAGGGGAAAACCTTTACCTTTACCTAACATCTTCAGAAGGGTTCTCAAGAAAGAAATACCTAACATAACTACTACAAAATTCCAAAATGACCTCATCATCATCATCATCATCATCATCTTCATTTTCCAAGCATGGGGTTAATTGACCTTATAGTAAATGGTTAATTATTTGCAAAAGTAGTGGGGTTCAAACCAATAATTTGGAAATGCCATCATGAATACTTATACTTTTGTCTAGCAAAGGAGATCATAAGGAGAGGCTAGACTCTGGAAACAGTTCCTTTCACTAAATTATAACTATTGAATTAGCAATGGTGCTTTGCTCTAAATACATACCTAATCAATGATCCAATCAATCAATCAATCAATCAATCATTTTATTTACATCTTCCTCCTTCCCCCTCAAAAGTGGGAGTCAAGGCAATTTACAGAAAAACAATTGAAAACACATACAGCTAATAACACACAAAATATGAAAATTGAAATAATATTAAACTGTGTATAGAATGGATTGTTGATATATGCCTTTAGGTCCTTTCTGACTTATGGCGATCTTCAGGTGTGCATATTATAGAGTTTTTGGGGCTGAGAGTAAGGCTACACTGGGACATCCAGTGGGATTTCATGGCCGAGTGGGAATTTGAACCCTGTGTGCTTCTAATTTAGTGTACATTAAACGCTTAGAAAGCAAATGTGTCACATGAATAATTTTGGATTTTCAGATAGAGGTGCACCACATCTTAATGAGGTTCAGAAGTTTAAAGCATCTTGCTGACTTTGTAATTGAGATTATTGTGATGGGACTTGCTTGTCGCTTTGAAGATTATTTTCAGCTCTTTTTACTTTTGGGAAATTTTATAGTGTTTCTGATCTTTGCTATACACCACACTGGGATCTCTATATACATTAATGAAAACAGAAATACTTTTTGGAAGTATTGTGAGGGAGAGGTCTAAGACTTCCTCTTTCTCACTCTTTAGATAAAGTTCTAGAATTGGTTTTCAGCTGGGAAATCAAGCACAGAAATGAAAATTGGCTGAGTTTTTTTAAAAAAAAGAGCAAATGAACATCAGATGAAAAATCATCTCGCTTCTAATGACAAACTGTTTCATCACCAACATCAATGTGACCGTCTCTCTGCTTTTATAGCAAAAGGACTGACCATCTGCCATCTTGTTTGCTTTTCAGGTCAGTGCAGTTCATTCCATTCCTTCAGCCAAAACAGTCACAACTTATGGATGAAAGGAACATCGCTTCCAGGCTCCTCTTCATCTTCCAGGTCTGGCGCTGCTCTCTTGGAAGGCATCCCACGGCCCCCATCAACAGAGGGAGTGGTGCAGAGAAGGGATGAGACACCACCATTCAACTCTGCAAGGAGTAGGCTCAGGACTATTGGAAATGGCAAAAGAGTAAGGATCACCATTTGAATAGTAGAAAGAGAAGACACGTTCCAACACTGCTTGCCTGTTTTTGGTGTGGTAAATGTCCCCTGTTTTGATAAAGGTGCATTCTCTTTGAGCAGACAGCTTTTGTAATGGAAGCAAACAACAGTGGTGATTTCTTTGAAACTAGTTGCTCAGGGTGTGGACCATGTTTTTATTTGCTAAAGGTCCTACATATTGCACTGATGTTCTTAAAGCATTACAAAAGATAGGAAACTGTGTGATCAGAAATTGCAATGGGAAGGGCATGCTGTCTATGAGCAATAACACTCTTGGGTTGCTGTAGGTTTTTCAGGCTATATGGCCATGTTCTAGAAGCATTCTCTCCAGACGTTTTGCCTGCATCTATGGCAGGCATCCTCAGAAGTTGTGAGGAGCTCACAACCTCTGAGGATGCCTGCCATAGATGCAGGTGAAACGCCAGGAGAGAATGCTTCTAGAACATGGCTATATAGCCTGAAAAACCTATGACAACCCAGTGATTCCAGCCATGGAAGCCTTCGACAATGCAATAACACTCTTGTCATGTCACTGTCATTTCTCTGTCTTTAACTTAACACAGTTAAAAAGTCTTATGAATAGATCTAGGGAGAGAAGCATACTGTTTATCCCCATAATAAAATGCTGTCTGACAGCGTGAGTTATGGTTAGTGCTTCTGCTCTCACCCCATTCCTCACATAGAAGGTATCTCAGCTAGTAGGTATAGCTTACTTCAGCACAGCTGATGAGAATTGTATTTTCCTCCATAACCAGTGTTGTTAACCACATTAGAGGATGTTGAACAGACTAGCAACCATAACTGTCATCCAACATCTCATTGCCATTCTCCATTCCACAGCACCTACCACCTCAATTTACTATACGGGTCAGTCCTGACCAAAGGCCCTTCCTTACTGAGACCATCAATAACTCAAGACTTCCCATGCCACTGGGAACCTATCTTTGTACCGTTTATTTCACATCCTTTCCCATCCTCATTATGGCCTTTTGTGATCAGGCACAATATGGCATTCAATATAAAGGCACTTAAGAATAAAACAAATTAGAGGTAGAAGACTAAGTACTGTGGACTTGTGCAAACTTGCACTCCAATCATAATAACCAAAACAAAGTAGTTTGTGGGTAGATCTGGTAAATATGTTCATTTCCATTCTTAGATCCTATTGGCCCCTTTCTTTCATGTTTAGCGAAACATTTTTATATGTCATTTTGAATACTCTAACTATGGAGTTTTTGTTTTGCTTTTGTTGCCAGAGTTCAGTTATTTGAGTCACAAGCTGGTACACTTGTCTACAGGGCACCGGCTTGTGCTTGAAGCACAGTTTAGATTGCATATATTCTTGTGAGAAGGTGGCAGGCTCATTTATGTAACTGCAGTGGATGGTAACAGCAATCTGAGCTTTCTTGCCATTTGCAGCAGGAAAAGGACCACCACTGTGGACCACATTTGCAGCTATCCATTGGCCTTCTCTTTTGTCTTGCCTCCCTTACTTCCTATTAAATACAGTACCAGCCTCATCTCAGTGGCTCTGTGTGAAGATATGCCAACAGCTTTGATCAAAACCTGCACTTCTTTTTGTAGACTAGAGGATACATACACAGCAATAGCAGCCACAAGGGATTAGTAAGAGCAGCTGGAAGGAGAAACAAGGAAGGAAGTGGGCAGTAATGGAGTTAGAGAGATAGTAGACACTTGAGGCAGTGTGCTACGCTTCCTGTTTCCTGAGGCATCCCTTCACTCTGCTAAATGATACACCAACCTTGTTGGGTTTCCTGATGAGATCTACTGGCCCTTCTCTGCTCTATGGTTCTGTTAATCTAAGATCGAAACCATTGTAACTACGTAGAATAACACTGATTTGTGGATATGTTGGGGGCATCAGTTTCCATTATATGTCTGAATAAAGTCTAAAAACATAAATAGTTAGGGACACCCAAATGCTACTTCAACCACATCAATGAAGACATTGTATTTTCCTTCTGTTATTTGTGCACACTGTGAATGTTTCCTCTTTTTCTTCCAGGTCCGTCCTTCTTCCATTGTTAGAAATGGCAATGATACATTTCTTACAGTAAGAATAGCCTCAAGCTGATTTCTGTTTTGTATTGTTTGCTTGTTACTATGTTATGTCTTTACTACGTGTGCAATTTGAGTAGCTATTTTGGCTATTTTTGTTTCCCCTCTGTTAAAACAAAATGGAGCCTTGTTTCTCAAAATTTATTATTATATTAGGCATAATTAAGGCACAGTGCTGAATTTAAAATAATTTTGCCAACTTTCCAGTTTTAAGAAACAAGAGAGATAGCGATAAAGTGTGCAGACATATTTTCTGCCCACTTTCTGTACACTCAGTATTTTTCTACCAATTTATTTATTTTGTGTCAAAAGCATTGCATAAATAAGTATAAAAACCAATAAAATAAAGGGAGCAGAAGTGGCTAAATAATTTTTGAGCAAAAATGGGCAACAGAGACTACATTCTGTAGCTTTAAATAATTTTTCCTCTGTGCATGAGGCAGGGCGTTGTGGGCAAGCATAGAGATGCTGGAATTGTTTGTTCTGCTCCACAGTCACACAAGATGGAGGATTCTTCTAGGTAGTGCCATTTTGCCAGGTTGTCTTTTGATCTGCCCACTCCACTTCTGAGTCTGTTCAGGGACTTCCAAGTTGCCCATTCTTGGTTTGTCCCTGGAGGAAGACTCTTGGGGGGGGGGGCATCCATTTAGGATTTCCTGGTTTAGCTGCCCAGAGGGATACTCTTGCTGTTTCTGGGGGAACATTAAGAGGAGTGGTGGTTCTCATGAAGCTTTTCCTTGATTTGAGTCTACTGGGAGGAGACTGGTAGCCATGCAGTGGATGGTTTTCACAGTGTTCAACCTTATTTCTCTCACAGTTAGGAGCAATTTCCTGTTGCACATCAGGGGAGGGACAATGCCAGCTACCCCCTCCCCCTCGATGTCCGAAAGAGCCTCCTTGAAGACTGAGTAAATGCAGTCGGGCGTCCCCTGGGCAAAGTTTCTTGTAAATGGCAAATCTTTTCAACCCCAAAGAATTGCTTTTAAACAATTTTCTACCAATCAGGCTACCAGACAAGAAGTGAGTCTAGATGGAGAAAGTGATGCTAGCTCTCATACTGAAATAGTTGCCTCTGAATAGCTGGATTCTTCAAAAGCTGGCCAGTGGTGAAAATTAAACTCTTCTTCCATCCACTTGGTTTTGCCTTAGTAACCACAACAAAATCTTAGTACCCACAACCGCCGTCTCAAGTGCGGTTGGTGGGGATGAAAGAGAGAGCCTTCTCTGTTGTGGCCCCTCAGTTCTGGAACTCTCTTCCTAGGGAGATTAGACAGGCCCCTACTCTCTCCATTTTCCACAGGAATTAAAAACTTGGTTGTTCCATTGTGCCTTTGACTAGGCGGTTCACTTGAGAATTATCCCGACCTTATCTAAGCTCCAGCACTTTAGATGTCCCCTTTCCTGTACTTATGACACCGCCAGAGGAAATAGCCTGGAGGGAACCATGGGATGAGGCTGCAATTGTGAAGTGCAATATGGATGAAGAGGGGCATTCCATTGGCCGAGGGGTCCCCATAGAAACCATAACGGGGAGGAGGAGATGCGGGAAAGGGAGACCATCAATTCGGCCACCAATTCGGCTCAAAAGTAGTAGAAAATCTACAACCCAAATTTGGCCTAGGGAGAGAAAAAGAAACTTAAAAAATTTAATAACGTGTAACCGGTCTCCTGACAAGGCAAGTGGGTGTACCCAGGTTGGCGGTCCCTCCGGGTTGAAGATGGTGCTGTTGAACGCCAGATCTGTCAACGGTAAAACATCTTTCATCCAAGACATAATTCTGGAAGAACGGGCAGATCTGGCGTGCATTACGGAGACCTGGTTGGACGAAGCTGGAGGAGTAAATTTAACCCAGCTTTGCCCCCCAGGTTTCTCCGTACAGCACCAGCCGAGACCTGGAGGGCGGGGAGGTGGGGTTGCGGTGGTCTACAAAAATTCCATCCTTCTGACCAGAGGCCCCATCCCACAGTCAACTAATTTTGAATGTGTCTACCTGAAGGTGGGTGACCGGGACAGAATAGGGATTCTGTTAGTGTACCGCCCACCTCGCTGCACTACAGTCTCCCTACCTGAGCTAGCAGGGGTAGTCTCGAGCCTGTCACTGGAGTCCCAACGGCTTCTTGTGCTGGGGGACTTCAATGTACACGCCGAGACTGCCCTAGTGGGAGCGGCTCAGGACTTCATGTCTTCCATGGCAACCATGGGGCTGTCCCAAGTAACTGGCCCCACCCACAGTGCTGGGCACACATTGGACTTGGTCTTCTGTCAAGGATGGGAGCAAGGTGGCGGGGTTGAGGAGTTATCCATCTCTCCGTTGCCATGGACCGACCATCACCTGGTCAGATTTAGGCTCACTGCGCCCCCCAACCTCTGCAAAGGTGGAGGACCCATTAAGTTGGTCCGCCCCAGGAGGCTTATGGATCCGAATGGATTCCTGACGGCTCTTGGGGAGTTTCCCGCCACCTCGGTTGGTGACCTGTTGATGCCCTGGTCACTCTCTGGAATGGGGAGATGACTAGGGCAATAGACACGATCGCTCCGGAACGTCCGCTCTCAAGTAGCCGAGCTAAACCAGCTCCTTGGTTTAACGAGGAGCTGGCAGCAATGAAGCGAAAAAAGAGGAGACTAGAGCGTGTGTGGCGTTCGGATCCGAGCAAGTCAAACCGAGCACGGTTTGTTGCCCTACTAAGGGCATATGCCGTGGCAATAAAGGCGGCAAAGAAATCCTTCTTTGCGGCCAATATTGCGTCCGCGAAGAATCGTCCGGCTGAGCTGTTTCGAGTTGTCAGAGGCCTATTAAAGCCCACCACTCCGGATGGGAGCCCTGACAACTCGACGGCCCGCTGTGAAGCATTTGCACAGTTCTTCACGGACAAAGTCGCTTTGATCCGTTCAGACCTGGACACCATGTTAACGGCGGTCTCTGAGGATGTGACAAGAACACCTGTCTGTCTGATTTTGTTGGATTCATTTCAATTGGTGAAACCCGAGGATGTGGACAAGATACTTGGAGGAATGAGAGCAACCACATGCATCCTAGACCCCTGCCCATCCTGGCTTCTAAAGGAGGCCAGAGGGGGATTGGCCGAGTGGGTGGAAGTGGTGGTTAATGCCTCCCTTCGGGAAGGCAAAATTCCAGCCAGCTTAAAACAAGCTGTAATAAAACCGCTGTTGAAAAAACCATCACTAGACCCCACTCAATTCGTCAACTATCGGCCTGTTTCCAATCTCCCCTTTTTGGGCAAAGTCCTGGAACGTGTGGTGGCCTCACAACTCCAGGCATTCTTGGTAGACACTGATTATCTGGATCCGGCGCAGTCTGGCTTTAGGCCGGGACATGGTACCGAGACAGCCTTGGTTGCCTTAGTGGATGATCTCCGGCGTGAGCTTGACAGGGGGGTGTGTCCCTGTTGGTTCTGCTGGACCTCTCAGCGGCCTTCGATACCGTCGACCACGGTATCCTTCTGGGGCGCCTCGTGGGAATGGGCCTGGGGGGCACTGTTTTACAGTGGCTCAGGTCCTTCCTAGACGATCGCACCCAGAAGGTGTTGCTGGGGGACAACTGCTCGGTCGCACAACCATTGACTTGTGGGGTCCCGCAGGGTTCAATATTGTCCCCCATGTTATTTAACATCTACATGAAGCCGCTGGGAGAGATCATCCGGAGTTTCGGGGTGCGGTGTTATCTGTACGCAGATGACGTCCAACTCTGTCACTCCTTTCCACCTACTACTAAGGAGGCTGTTCAGGTCCTGAACCGGTGCTTGGCCGCTGTATCGGACTGGATGAGGGCGAACAAATTGAAATTGAATCCAGACAAGACAGAGGTACTCCTGGTCAGTCGCAAGGCCGAACAGGGCATAGGGTTACAGCCTGTGTTGAATGGGGTCACACTCCCCCTGAAGACGCAGGTTCGCAGTTTGGGTGTGACCCTGGACTCATCGCTGAGCCTGGAACCCCAGGTTTCAGCGGTTTCCAGGGGAGCATTTGCACAATTAAAACTCGTGCGCCAGCTGCGCCCGTATCTTGGGAAGCCGGACTTGGCCACGGTAGTCCACGCTCTCGTCACATCCCGCATAGATTACTGCAACGCGCTCTACGTGGGGCTGCCCCTGAAGACTGCCCGGAAGCTTCAGATGGTACAGCGCTCGGCAGCCAGGTTGTTAACGGGAGCAGCACTCAGGGAGCATACCACCCCCCTGTTGAGCCAGCTCCACTGGTTGCCAATCTGCTACCGGGCACAATTCAAGGTGCTGGCTTTAGCCTTTAAAGCCCTAAACGGTTCCGGCCCCACTTACCTCTCCGAACGCATCTCCACCTATGAACCGGCGAGGACGTTAAGATCGTCCGGGGAGGCCCTGCTCTCGGTCCCGCCGGCATCACAAGCGCGGTTGGCGGGGACGAGAGACAGGGCCTTCTCGGTGGTGGCCCCTCGGCTATGGAATGCCCTACCAGCGGACATCAGGCAGGCCCCTTCGTTGCTGGTGTTTCGGAGGAGGGTTAAGACGTGGCTCTTTGAGCAGGCGTTCGGATAGCTGTGCAATTGCAATTAAATCCAGGAAGACGGCATAACTGAACAAGGAACGGCAATGGAATGTGAGAACGGAATCTGATTTTATGTGAGGCGTTGATGTCTATATGTGTGTCGTTTGTGTATGTTTGTCTTTACATTGTTAGTGTGCACAACTTTTACTGTAAACCGCATTGAGTCGCCGGTCATGGCTGATAAATGTGGTATACAAATAGCGTAAATAAATAAATAATAATAAATTAATGGCCAAGGGCGCTACCCTGGCAACTCAGCCCTCTGACTATTGGACTTTCCCTCGGCTCTCCCAAGGAATCATTTCACTTACTCTGAGCACAAACCAAGTTTAAATTTGGCCAGCCAGGGTATTGTTTTTATTATGTTAATTGATTTTAATGTTTTTATTATTTGTTGTTATTGATTGTTTTTACTGTGTCTGTTTTATTTGTAATCCTTGAGTTTGCCCCGAGTCCCTTCAAGGAGATGGAGGCACGGTATATTATTATTATTATTATTATTATTATTATTATTATTATTATTATTATTACCATGAGGCACAGCAGTAGCCAGCACTTAAAAAGTGAGATAAGCTTCCCTCTGCATTTAGTGACCCATAGCTTTAAAAGTAACTATATTTACAATTATACCATAAAAGGAGTGGAGTTATTGATTCTTAAGCTACAAATTGTAGTTAACAGCTGTGCCTTTATTGTTCATTGGGAGATTACTTTTTATACATCTTTTTATTGTTGTTATTTATCATCAGTACCATGGGATGGCTATTTTAAGAGTGGAGGAGGACAACCCTTTGCGGAACAAGAACGAGATGGCCACACTATCAGGAATTAGTCAAAAGGAAGTGAAGAAAAATGGGGTTTCTCTCAAGAAAATGGAAGTTCCACAAGCAGATTCCAGCATTCCGGTATAAAAACCTTTCATTTCTCATTTGATTATATAATGTGATGTGTTTTAACACTATTTAAAACCAATTAGAAACCTCTTAAGACAGCATTCAACATTCTACACCCACAGACACATAGTGCATTAGCTCTGCAAATTCAAAAAAGCTACCTTGCACAGTGGTTTATAAATACCAGAGATGGAATTTTCAAAAATAAAATGAGCAAAACTCCTAAAATTCCCATTTTTTTCCAGGTCCAGAGGCTTTCCTTTCCAAATATATGCACACCAGATTTGAAAGGTCTCTTGCATTTTGAAGAAAACACCCAGAAGATGTATCAATGTGATGGTAGTTCTTGGGCCTTATGGAATTATGCAAACAAGGTGACGATCTGCTCTTCTTTGTGCACGGGGCTACGTATTTAAAATTCCTTCAAAAAACCAATGTGGTAGATGTTTGTTTTCAAACTTGTCAGTTTCTAACAAAGGTCTACACCTTTGCTAAAAGCTGACAGGTTTGAAAGTGTTGGACTATACAGGCAGACAGAATGTTGAGACATAAACTGACTTAATGGCTCTGTTTGGTCTTAGTTCAGCCATCCATCTGTCTCATTCTGGTTCTCTGGCACTGCCTCCAGAATAGAATTACTTGTTTTAATTACTTGAATTAATTATACTTTTGTAGAGTTACTTGCTACCTAGAATTTACTGTTGAACAGTTTTATTTGTTCAGCACAGCAAAAAGAGAGATGGAAAATGAACTGATCACCATTATGGGCAGCAACCTTAAGTCTTAAGTAGACTAGACTTCCCCAACCCAAACTACTTTGAGCTAGAACCTCTCAGTTATCATGGTACCATTCCGGTCTAGTTTACCTATCTGAATGTAGTTCCCTTTATGAACCAGTTAGAGTATTAAGATCAGCTGAGGAGGTCCTGCTCTCAGTCGCACCGCTTTCGCAGGTGCTACTGGTGAGGACGAGAGACAAGGCCTTCTCAGTGGTGGCACCTCCACTGTGGAACTCCCTCCCCAGTGAGACCTGATCGGCCCTCTTCCTCCTGATGTTTAGAAAATTACTCAAAATGTGACTTTTAAAGTAAGCATTTGGAGAGTAAGATGAAGCAGCCAAAATAACTTTGGGATTGGTGCAATGTCCAATGTTCTATTTTTTATGTTATCTATGTTTGATGTTTTATAGTTTAGTGGTTTTAATCTATTGTTATATGCTATTTTAGTCATGTGTTGTTTTTTTTATCTTTTGTGAGGCATTGAATTTTGCCTTTTACTTTGTTGTGAACTGCTTTGAATCTCCCCAGAGGTTGAAAAAAGTAGTATGTAAAATAAATAAATAAATAAATAAATAAATAAATAAATAAGATCAGGAAGAGTGTAGTGAAGAAGTGCCTAGGAGAAAAGCAGTGAGTTCTGGGCATGGAATTGTTGTGTGGCTTCAAGTTGTTTCCAAGTTATGGTGACCCTAATGTTAATCAAAGATGGACAATGAAACCAAGGTCTCCAGAGTTGTTGTCCAACACTCAAAGTATTTCACCATGCTGCTCCTTATGCTGACATGTCCCTCTCACCGGAACATGACAGGTTCTTCGACTGCATTCTTCTGGGGTGTAATTGAGAAAACTGTCCAGAGGAGTTAGGGGAAGGAATGGAGATGGATCTACAGGGCGTTACCTGTAACTGAGATATGGTCTAACCTGAGATTAATCATACAATTTAAAGTAGTTTAATTTTGGTCCACCTTGTTTTTAAGAGAAAAAGAAACAAAAAGGTGAAAAAAAACCCAAACAAACCCAAAAATGACTTTATCTTTCAAAGGTGGATCCTGGGCCTCAACATCTTAACAAAAATTTGTGTTTACACAGTGAGAGAATCAGAAATTATATGCAGGTTTCTTTGTTCTATTTACTAATGGTTATTGAAAAGTTGATGCAGCTGAAAACAATATACACTATAATCTCAACAGGAGCATACCCTTCAGCATTTCACAGATGAAAACCACAATCTCAGAGTGTGATCAAGATGGAAAAAGTTATAAATGAGGAAGAACATACATGAGATGCTGTATCAGTTTTTTTGTTGCTTATCAGAAAGGGCAAAATTCCTCCCTTTTTATAATTTGAACTCAGTTTGCAGATGCTGGAGTAAGGCCAAATGGGGAAAGGAGAAAGAGGAGTAAGAAACTGGGACAATATAAAACAGCTGAAAAATGACACATCGAAACATTGGTTAATTTTATTTATTTATTTATTTCACATATTTGTACCCTGTCCTTCTCACCACCAACTCCCCCCCCCCCCCCCCCCCCCCCCCCCCCGGGTGGGGACGGGACGGGACTCAGGGTGGCTTCACAACAGACATGCATTCAAATGCCAACCACAGTCATAATTAGAATATATTTAAAACAATTCATTAAAAACACTACATTAATAACACATTTGTTTAAAATCATGCAGTTTTTAAATCAGAGTCCGGGTCAGTCCATTATCATTCATATCACTTGAGTCTTATTCTCGATTGCTGCTTCTACTGTCGGAACGCTTGGTCCCATATCCAGGTTTTGAGTTTCTTTCTAAAGGACAGGAGGGAGGGGGCCAATCTGATATCAATGGGAAGAGAGCTCCATGGTGAGGGGTCACCACTGAGAAGGCCCTGTCCCTCGTTACCACCAGTCGTGTTTGCAGTGATGGTGTGATTGAGAGCGGGGTCTCCACAGCTGATCTTAAATTTCGCGATGGTCCATAGCGGGAGATACATTTGGACAGGTAATCTGGGCCAGAACCATTAAAGGCTTTAAAGGTTAAAACCAGCACTTTGAATTGTGCTCGGTAGCAGATCGGCAGCTAGTGGAGCTGGCATAACAGAGGGGCTGTATGCTCTCTGTATGCCACTTGGGTGAGCAACCTGGCTGCCAACTAGTTGAAGCTTCTTCAAAGCGGTTCATGCTATTCCTGGCTGCTCAGGACATTAGGGGGGTATGCAGTAGATAAAATTATAGAAACCATTTGAGAAACATATATGTAAACTGTAGTACCATTTTGAGATAATGATATTGCCCAAGCTTATGAATGTAAACATCCAAATCATAGTGTTTGACCGAAGTATAATTTGTTGTTCAGTTTGGCTTCTTTCCAACAGTAGGATCTTAACTGCTTAATTACTAGGGAAATGCGGTTTTCCTTGATAACCTTTGAGTATACACACATTATAGCCATCATATCCAAGGGCTAAGTGCATTTTAAAATATAGCCAAGGTTGAATGTATAAAGAATATGTGTACACTGAGAAAACCACATTTTCAAAAATCCTTTGTGCCTAGTGCTACTTGCCATTCAGACTACTAGAATGGAACAAATGAGGCCCTTTGAGAAGCACACAATGAGTTATTGGAACTTACGAGGGGAAAGCAAGTGCTATGGAACAAGCAGGACAGGCTTCTGATGATTGCTGGAAGTAAACTCTTTATTCCTACTTTTGGTTTCTTGGTGGTACAAGAATAATCTAAATTTTAGAATTTGAATCAGAAGATGCATTGAATTGAGTATATTAGTTTAAAGTGGAATTGTTTACTTTTAGGGTTCTACCATAAAAACCTGTCTTCCTGGATGGAGTCACCATGATGGCAATTGCTATGTTCTGATCACCGATCCAAAAGCCATATGGACAGCAGCCGCCCGGAGCTGCAGGAGACAGTAAGAAGTTTTGCATTTGTATTCCTAACTGTTTCACTCCTGTTTCATATGCTCCAGTATTACACTTTCTGCCAAAACCGGACCTGCTTTTTAGAAGCCAGCATTACATAAACATCCTGCTCTAGAGCTCTTCGGTCAACAACACTTTTGAATTTCCGTCCCAAATGTCTATGTTAAACACTTGTTCTATATATACAAATGTGTGCATATGTTTAATTCTTATTCCATTTAAACAAACCATTCCACTTGTTTAGTTGATGACATGAGAATTCTAAACCCTTCGGACATCACTATTTCAGATGCAAATGTGACTACATGGAGACATGCAGCATGGCTGGTGGATTTGTTGAGATGGGGATTGGAACCCTACCCCCTGTTTTTTGGTTGTTTCTCCCCCAGCTGCAGTTGGTTTTAAGGGAGCCAGTTAAGTGTTAAATTGTATTTCTGTCCAAAATTGGTGGGCGCCAGGAGAGATGCTTGGCAACTTCAAGCCATTGTGGAGAAGTGAACCTTGTGGAGAAGTCACAGCTCTTGGCTCAATTGGCCACCCCTAAAGACACAGCAGATTTCACACAACTAGATACGGAGTAAAGGGCATGAGTCACCTGCTTGTAGGAGTACTGTAAATTTCTTTTTAGCAGTTGTTTGTGCCTTTACCATCTCAGAGCTTCTTGACTGAGCTTCTAAATACTGAGAATAGAGAGGAAGAATGAGAGGCTCAGGTTTCACTTAATGGAAGAAAACAACCCTAGTAATAGCAGTTGCTTCTATTTTTGTTTTTTTGGAAATGCCGAAGCAGAATCAGCAATTGGGAATAGCTAATAAGGGCAGAATGAGCGACTTCCATTCTTTATACTGAAAGGTGATACACACAGAGGCTGCATGGTTATCTGTCAAGGGTGCTGTGAATACAATTTTCCTGCTTCTTGGCAGAGGGTTGGACTGGATGGTCTTTTCCAGTTCTATGATTCTGTGATCTGCCTTTTCAAAGTCTCATTTGTTTCGCAGTTTGAATTTTCTAGAGTTTCCATAAGGCTACCCTAAACTTCCATTACTGTGCACCTCCCTTCTTCCATGTTATATATGTTTCAGGTTTCATTTCATCTACACTGCCATTATAATGCATATTGAACTCCATTATATGGTTAGTGTAGATCAGTGGTTCTCAATCTTTTTTTGACCAGGGACCACTTTGACCAGGGACCACTCTCCAACATTAGTACCAAAAGGGTTATGAAATGGTTTGTGGTTATTTGGGGTGCTGATTCAGAAAATTGCATTGGATAGACCACATCAGCTCTAGTTTCTGATACAGAACATATGCAATCCAGTAGTCGCCATCTGTGAGCAAAGTGGACATGTGTCTTTGGCATTTTTGACATTTTAACCTTTCTTATGTAGTCCTTTGAGAGGAGACATGATGGCCATGTATAAATATGTGAGGGGAAGTCATAGGGAGGAGGGAGCAGGCTTGTTTTCTGCTGCCTTGGAGACTAGGATGCGGGGCAATGGCTTCAGACTACAAGAAAGGAGATTTCATCTGAACATTAGGAAGAACTTCCTGACTGTGAGAGCTGTTCACCAGTGGAACTCTCTGTCCCGAACTGTGGTGGAAGCTCCTTCTTTGGAAGCTTTTAAGCAGAAGCTGGATGGGCATCTGTCAAAGATGCTTTGGATGTGATTTTCCTGCTTCTTGGCAGGGTGTTGGACTGGATGGCCCATGAGGTCTCTTCCAACTCTATGATTCTATGATTCTAACCTGACAGGGAACTAACACATATCAGAACTAGCATGGCCAGGATTGCCCCATTGCAGGGTTACAATCAGAGCATGGAAAAATTACTTTTTGTTCATTCCAACCCAAATCTTCCAATTCAATCCACAGGGCTGCTTTTAGAGCCCAAGAGATAGTCCATTACAATCTACTACAACCAAACAGGAATTACAAGAAATACTGACAATGAGAGTCAACTCAGTTTAAGGGATGAGGAGCCAGACATTGGCGTTGTGACATGTCTTACACTTTCACTGAATCTACACAATGTGGGCATGAGATGCTTGCAAACAGTGCCTTTGTTAGAGGCTGTTGATGGTGATTGGATGTCTTCTGTAGAACCAGCCAAAGGTCTCCTTATTTCCTTATCTTCAGTTTATCCTGTCAGGCTTTGTATGTCTGGGAGGTAATGCCCAAGACCTGGCAATCAAGGCTAATGTTAATTGCATTCTGAATTAACATGCTTTCTTAGCTATGTGATTAGAAGGTTTGACTTGTTCCAGATTGATTTTGTTGTTGCTGTTGATTTTGTATAATTCACATCCTAATTTCAAACTAAGGGTGCATCTTCACTGACAAATTAATGCAATTTGACACCACATTAACTGCCATGACGCTATGATACAGAATCCTGGGATTTGTATTTTGTTAAGATACCAGCACTCTTTGACAGGGAAGATTAAAACCTTGTAAAATGTATTAATTCGACAGTGTATGTTCCATTAAAATTCCTAAGACTTAATTCCATGCAAAACCAAAAATGATACTGGAATAAAATGAAAGACACTCAGTTGAAGGCCAAGGATCTCTAATGTAAGCAGAAGGCTCTTCTTTTCATAGGCGGGGAGGCACAGAGATTGGGAATACAGTGCTATTTGGTGGAATATGAAATGCAGATTCTATAGCCATCATGGTCAGCAGCCATCTTTACTGTAAGAGTCTGGGATTTGTTTCTAGTTTTCATTCATTTATATGCCACCCTTCTCTAGAAGTGGGACTGAAAGTGTCTCATAAACCCTTCAGAAACATCTATTGTTATTTATTGATAGCTTGTTCCCTTCATAAGCTAGTTACACAACAGTGAGCACACATATTGTGCCATGGTCAAAAATAACAGATGCTACTTCTGACTAAAGCAAAATTCTCTTGAGCCTAGGTACCATGGCAATTTAGTCAGCGTGACTTCCACAACACAGATGCAATGGCTGTGGGACTTCAGTGGAAGGAAGTCTTTTTGGATAGGTATGTATGAAGCCAAATGTCGTTCTGAAACCTGTGGCTTATCATTCCATCCAAATGTCAGGACAGCAAGAATATAATATTTTCCTCAATGTCCTTTAAGATATTTAATTTCATATTGTGGCTGTTCTAAGACATTTTGCAGTTAGCTTATCTGCCACACAAGATTAATTCCTTGGTGCTCTGGTTTCAGACACAGAGCTTTCAAGCTCCTCAGTTCTGTCTTTGGAGCTTTTTTGTTTATTTGTTTGGCCAGTCTCCCTTCTTCTGGAAAGTTTCCCTTATTCCCTGTGAGATTATGGCTCAGGTTCATATTGGATCCTGTGAAAAACAGCTCATAACCAGATGGTGTCAGGGGACGGGCCAAAGGTCAGTGGCTTCAGCCATTTGCTCCATTTTCTTACTAAAGGTGTTAAATCCATTCTAAGATACTTTCCCTACTCTAAACATAATCCATCATAGTTTTCACAATGAACCCTCCCCAAAGTAAAATGTTTCTGTATGTATAGTTTATCCATCCAATACAATTATTGCTAGAAGATATGTTTGTTAGAGAATAGCAATACAGAGAATCAGATAACAATGTCTGAGATGCAATGGCTTGATTGGGAGAGAACACTTGTCAGTTGTTCTATGATGGACAAGTTGTTCTCTGTCTGTCTGTCTGAACTTGTCATCTATTTTAATTCATTATAGGCTTGAGTGATCACAGAAATCCAGGTCAATTGGAATGGAATGATGGAGAACAGGTTGTTTACACAAACTGGAAAAAAGGCCCACCTCGTCTCTCAAAGAAAGGGAAGAACTGTTTTTTAGTACAACAGCGAGGAAAATGGCAAAGAAAAGACTGCAGGAAGGGCAAAGGATACAGCTACATATGCTCTAGGAAACTGTAAAGAAAGATGCACGTCTGGCTTCACTTGTGTACAATAAAGCATATTTATTTGCAGCTGGAAGGACTGGAAAGATTCAAAATTGGATAAGAGTGTGTCTTTAGAGAGAGAGAGGTCTAATGTGGTAGAGGAAACCTTTACACTGGCTGTTCATCATTCTTTTACTCTCCCCCCTCCAGTGTTTATGATATGCTGGGTATGAGTAAAGAATGAACAGTTGTTTGCTTCTAAGTTCCTCTCTTTCAGGCTTAAGAGGTCCAAATAGCTGGAGAGATAACTGGAGAAGAACTCTATGGTGGGTACAGACAATGTGTCACATATTCAATCTACTCCATCATCCTTGGATAGAATCTTCTGCTCCTCCATTTTCTTGGCCAGATATGTAATATTTGCCTAAGGCCACCCAATTAGTGTTTCCATGGCAAGCAGTCTTCAGAGTCCTAGTCCAGCACCCAAACCACTACACTATTCTCACTCTCACAACATAATTAGAACTACAGCAAACACCATTGCTTTATGGAAGATTGCCAAAATGGATCAAAAACTCACACTCTGTCCAAGTTGGAGGATACATCCATAGAGGTAGAATTTTTTAACATACATCAAGTACCAATCTGATGTAGAAGGAATGAAGGAATGAAGTTATCACTTTGGATACAGTATGAAAGCCTGATGACTTATTGAAAGAGGGAAAGAAGCCATTGTTTTATTTTAAAAAAGAAATATCTGATAACACCACACCTCTTCACATCTCATTAAGACCTAGAATAGATAATGTGGTGCCCATTAACTAAAATTCTCATTAGCCCCAGCTAGCATGGTGAACATTCTCTGGTTATTATGGGAGTTAAGAGTCTGACGCATGTGGGGGGAATCAGATGTTTTTGTAAGTCTCAAAGAACGGTAATGTGATTTCTCAGAACTCCCCTTTTAACACTGTAATAGTTTAATATGTAGTTAAGAGTTTGATAAATATTTATCAATTATATACACAATTCCTTGTCCTCTTAAAAAGTATTTTAAATGAGAGATTTGTTGTAAACTTTGAATATTATTTTCTAAAATGTACTGAAAATTATGTTTCCACCAATGCTGTGGCATGTTTCCCTTTAAATTTAAGTGCTGTTGATCTATTTTTGTACCTTAAATATCATATGTGCTGTTATACCTAAAGCAGTTTAATAAAGATAGTATTACAAATGATAAAAGCATTTTGGCTGCATTGATATACTCCTTCAACCTTTCAGAAGAAATCTTATTCCAAAACAGAGTTATAGAACTGTTATAGAACTACGCAGTACTGCAAAGCAAGGAGGACTCTTCAAAACTGGGGGAGTTTCTGGTTGCATCTTCCACTCCTCTCAGTTGCTTTGGCTCAGTAGGATTTTTGAGATGTATTTATTTTGGGTCAAAAACATTGCATAAATAAATATGAAACTGATAAAATGAAGGGAGCACAAGCAGCTGAATAATTTTAGACCAAAAATTGACAACAGCGACCGCATTGTCTAGCTTTAAACAGTTAGTCCTCTGTGCATGCGGCAGGGCATTGTGGGCAAACATACAGATGCTGAGCTAGACCATGGCCATATAGCTCAAAAAAAACCTACAACAACCCAGTGATTCCGGCCATGAAAGCCTTCGACAATACATAGATGCTGAGCTGTTTGCTCTGCTCCACAGTCACACAAAGTGGAGGATTTGTCTAGGTAGTGCCATTTTGCCAGGTTGTCTTTAGGTCTTCTAACTCCTCTTCTGAGTTTGTTCAGAGATTTCCAAGTTGCCTATTCTTGGTTTGCCCCTGAAGGAAGACCCTCGTGTGGGGCCATCCAGTTGGGATTTCCTGATTTTGCTGCCCACAGGGATATTCTTGCTGTTGCTGGAGGAACATTTAGAGAAGTGGTGGATCTCATGAAACTTTCCTTTATTTAAGTCTACTGGGAGGAGGCTGATAGCCTCCTCCCACAGTGTTCAACCTTATTTCTCTCGCAGTTGGCAGCAACTTCCTGTCACACATTGGGGGGGGGGGGGAATGCCATCTAGCTTATAGTCTATCAACAGGTGTAGGTTTAAGACATCCTGTGATTATCCTACATGTCTCATTCAGTACTATATTCACCTGCGTCATGTGGCCGATTTACGCCTGATTTATTCCAGATGCATGATTGCAATGGGAAGTGGGCAAAACAGCTGCATGGAGAGGACCGGAGAACAAAAAGCTAAGCATCTTATCAGGACCACTTTCCCCTGCAAAAGTGTCCTCTTTCCTTATCAGCATGCGCTGATAACACAGTGAAATCTGGCCCTCTACTTGTTACACTTTAAAACCAAAATACTGGAAATGCCTTCTCTCTGGCATAGTGTAAGTGTTTCCTGTCTGACTCTTCCATTAAACACGATGTTTGGGGACTGCAAATGCATGTTGATTTTAGATTTTAAATCTTTCCACAAAAATAGAAAACGGTGTTAGTGTGAGACAGGGAGTGAGATAGAGGCTGGACTTTTACATCCATTTCCTATTTAAAATGTGGGGAATATTCACATTAGAAATAGGAGGCTCGTATGTGTTGCAGTTTCTCTCATATCGGCTCAGACTGTGCCTTGTCTGGAATTCTGAAATCTGAAATACTCTCAAATCTGAAAGTGTCCACATAAGCAGCTGAGATAGCAATTCCTTTGCTTTCTGTTGGTTCAATGTAATTTTCATGGGCAAAATCATTACATATATTGTGCATAACATTTGCATGTAAGTTGGAATAGATACATTTTTAAAGTGTAACTCCAGCCAAAAATAAGTATTTCTTAGCTTTGGATAACACAGGGAAGGGTGAACAGCCCTGTGGATGTTTGTTTTGCTCTCTGTGCCCCATTCAGAAAATTTCACCTAATTTTTTGTCCCTGTAATAATTAGATTTTGAAAAACTGGCTTGTTGTGGAAGCAAGGATTGGTGAGAAAGCTTCCCCATAAGAACTCTGTTGGAGAATATAAAAGTCAGTTGCTGAGTGCGTTAACTCAAAAATGCAAAGCACGAAGTTGATTGGTTGGGATGTGCCCAGGATGCTAGCTGAGCCTGGGAGTTTTGACCACAGTTACATGTTTAGGTTTTCTGTGCAGGTGCTTGTCAAGACAAATTAGTGTGTATTTTCTGCTTCTGAACTGCTGGAAGAAGGTCCCTCACATGGACAGCTAAAGACCATTACAATCTCTCTGAAAGAACATTGTGTGAGTCAATACAACTGTTCACATGACTGCATATATGTTGCTCTGCATAACAAAGAGTAAACACCTTATTCTTTACTGATAATCTATGTGGCATATCTTTTCTCTTGCAAGACAGTGTGTGGATTGGTAAAGATGTGAACTATGCATGATTTTCATTCCACCACAAACTCTTCTGGGAGTGGATTTCCCTTCCTATGAGTAGATTTATCTCGCTTCATGTTGTCTCACCCCTGTTCTTAATTATGAGTCACTTGTAAGTTGGATGCTTGAAACTCGGAGACTGCCCTTACAGGTATCACAAAATCCAGGAAAAGTGAAATCCAAAATACTTCTGGCGTCAACATTTTGGATAAAAGATACTCAACCTGTATTTGTTAAAGTAAAATAAACCCCTATAAATGGAAATGACATAGGTATGTATCATAAACAGAAACGACATAGGCCTAAAGTTTCCTTCAAAAATGTCATTAACTCCCACTTCTTCTGAAAGTATAGGCTACAGTTCTTCCTTGATTTTATACAACCAGAGTTTGGAAATGTTACTTTTTTGTACTACATTTCTCAGACCTCTCTTGCTCGTACAGTCTCTACTGGAGTTGTAGCACAGAAGAGTAATTTTCCAAGCCCAAATCCTGTGTTATCTCAACAACTGCCTTTTGTTATGGCATTCAGTTTTCAGGGGTTAGAGATGCATGATGTGGACTGTCTTCTCTAAGAACCTCCATGTGCATACAAACATACGAGAAAAAGGTTTACAAAAGTGGGACTAAAAGGCCATTGTTAGGGGAGGCACAGAATATAGAAGCAACTCCCAGAACTCCAGACTCTGAAACCACCTCTTTTGTTGACTGATAATCAGATTTACTTTACTGTCTGAAAACATTTATTTTCAAAGAGTTCAGAGTGTGTATTGGCTTTACAGAACATAACTAAATATGGATCAGGTTGGGGTTAATTAAAAAAAGAAGGACAATGAAAATAAACAGAATGCTTGAGAAGGACAAATGGTATTGCAAATACACAAACAGCAGTTTACACAGAAACTGCAAAGTGGATGAATCAAGGTAATGAGTTGTAGATTTTTCTGGGTGGGGAGTGGGAATGGTCTCCTTTCACAATCAAGATCATTGTTCACTTCCCAGAGTTGTATTGGTGATTCTAGACATCTACTTTGTATCCAAAGCACATTTTAGCAATGTAGAATCAATGAAACCGTTTTCATTCCTTCATTAAATTAAGCACACTTGCGCTCTCTTTTAGATCCTTCGTCCCAAAAGCTGTTACAGCTAAAATGAATAATTTTATACATAGTGCTTGGAAAAGTCCCTTAATGTTGTGTGCAATGGTAATATGGATCCTTATCAAATATATCCTTCATTCATATTGGCTTTTGGTACTATCCTGATGCGTAACAACTGATTTTGGTTAAAGAGTTTGAAGCTGCTGTATGCATGATAGAGTGAGGCTTTCCACAGCAAGATTAATGGATTGTGTATTATGGTCATCTGGGAGCCCCTGGTGGTGCAGTGGGTTAAACTGCTGAGCTGCTGAACTTGCTGACCGAAAGGCCAGCAGTTTAAATCAGGAGCGGGGTGAGCTCCTGCTGTCAGCCTCAGCTACTGCCAAGCTAGCAGTTTGAAAATGTGAGTAGCTCAATAGGTACCACTCCGATGGGAAGCTAACGGTGCTCCATGCAGTCATGGTGGTCACATGACCTAGGAGGCGTCTACGGACAACGTCGGCTCTTCAGCTTAGAAACAGAGATAAGCACCACCCCCCAGAGTCTGACATGACTTAATGTCAAATGGAATCCTTTAACTTTACTTATAATGGTCATCTACCTATATTTATCACATTACCCAGTGGTTAATTTTGATCATTGCTGTTGAATCTAATTTTCAGAAAAAACTGAACTATGGGTATCTAATTTAATTTGTATATTTCTTGGTGTATATCTCTTTATTAGTGTTTTACATGTGCTGTGTCCTTTCCCCATATTGAAAATAGTTGTTGAAGCATGAAATTGGTCACCATATCTCAGTCTAAACCTAGTCCTTTCACCACCTTGTGCTCCTATGTTAGCTTCAATATTAAGAGGGCACTAGGTGGGAAGGGGGACTTATCTGTACGTACTGAACACAGAACGGGATGGGATGGAAAATTTGGCAACATTTGTTTTTAATGTTTACAATAGTAGCATGATGTATAATATTAACAATACGGCCATGAATGAATATATATGTATGTGTGTGTGTGTGTGTGTGTGTGTGTGTATGTTTAGTTGCATCTCTCTCACCCATACGTAAGTGTCGGAGAAGCCACTGCCTCCTTTCTCCAGCTCTGAGAAGGCCTACCTCACAATGTCTCCATGGCCCAGTGTCTTTGGGCTGCCCTATTTATGGCTCTTTCCTTCCTTCATCTATTTCCCTCATACATCTTCCTACTCTCTCTTTTCTTTCTTCCCTTCTTTCCTCACTGTCCCTTATACACCTTCACCCCTCTTCTTTTGTTCCTTTCTCATTTCTTCTTTTCCTTTCTTCCCACCCTGACTTTGCTCTTTTCTTCAGTTCCTTTTTCTCTTCTTCTTTCTCTTTCTTTCCTTTCCCCCTCCACTTGTACCTTTCCCCCCTTTTCCCTCCCTTCCTTTTCTTCCCCTTCACTTCCTTCCTTCCTTCCTTTCTCCATTCCCCTTATGCAAATGTTAACTAGCAGTTGCCCCCCCCCCCCAGGGTTGAGAAGGGCAGGGTGCAAATATCTGAAACAAACAAACAAACAAACAAACAAACAAACAAACAAATAAATAAGCTCACCTCCTTTCTTTTCTAGTGACATCACAGAGGACCACTTCATTTAGCAACAGCCTTCATCTAGCCACTGCCAATCCACTTCTGCCTTTCCTTTTCCCTGATTCTGGTTTGGTTCTTTTAGTTCAAACTGCACAATTATTTCAAGTTGGATAAAGCAGTATGAAAAAAAATAGCGGAAATTGTACTTAGTACTTGGTGCGCAATCAGTCATACAAGCTGTTTTATTTTTGTAGCAATCCAAACTGAAGATTAGGAAGAATTGAGTACTTTGTTTTTTTAAAAAGAATGTGTGCCAAGTTTGGTCCAGATCCATTGAGCCATGTAACCAACCTACACACTTTGACCTTTATTTACATAAATTGATGCTGTTTTTAGCTGATCATCATAAACTCATAATTATTCTCTATCAAGCCACATTTGCTCAGAGTATTAGACTTGTGACATCATTACTAACTGAACAACTATACCCCCCTCCCGAGGTTTCAGACCATGCTGAGAAAGGGATTCCCCCTTCCCTTAAACTCTACTGTACTTACAAACGTGCCATTCACTCTTGTGTTGCACTAATGGATTCCTTTGTAATCCTCTCTTGAGAGGCAAAGCTAATACACATCAAGAACTCTCCACAAGTCCTAGACAACAGCACAACAATTTATCCAAACATTTAAAATTACCTCTCTGCAGGGGAAAACAGCTTTTATAATGGATACAAACTTTGAATACACATCCAAGAGTGAAAACAGGGAGCAGATACTGTTATCATAATTAATCTACAGCTAATGGGTGTTAATGGCATTAGCTGTAGACTACTTCTTGGCCTTCCTCTTTGTCTCTCCCTTCTCTCTCTAAACCCCTGGGACTTGTTTATAAATGTAGCAGCCTTTCTACCTTTTTCATTGGAGAACAAGACTGCACAACACTGAGAGGAAGGAGAAGAAAGCACCTTGCAGTACCATAAGAAGTAACCAGTTGAGGACAAGGACAGCTGCATCATGTATGTGCTGCTTCTTCAGATCCTGTTGATTTCTTGGCTTGGAACCACGGAGCAAACTGATGAAATGCAAAAGAAAAGGAGGAGGAGAAGTCCACATCTACTGCCTCCTGATACACTAGCAAAATATCTTCTGGACTATGAAGGGACTTTGGAAGAGCCCAGTTTGTTTGTGACGCACTTCTTGGCAGAAATGGAGAGAAAGAAAGAAGATGGACTTCAGATCCCTAAATCTATTTTACCTTATATAGGCAGTCATGCGACGCCAGATTTGGGAAGCTGGGCTCCCCCAAGTCCGTTCCCCCATCCACAGAATCCCCCTTCCCACCCTCCAAAGAGGAAATCAGAGTCTCTCTTCAGGAAAGATGCCAAGAAGTTTTGGGATATTTTCATGTTGAAAGCCAAGTCAAGGTCTGAAGAGGCTGTCCTTCCCATCAAGACCAATGAAAAGTACCAGGACATCTGCAGCACTCTGCCTTTTTCTCAGGTAAAATTAAATCTCTAAGTTAGTCAGTGTTTCATGGAGGGGTGTCATACAATATGAGAGTGAAGGATTGCAAACATTTACATTGCACTTTCAATCTGCAAAGCAGGTTGTCCTCACAGCAACTCTTACAAGCTATCTAAGGCCCCTTCCACACAGCTGTATAAAATCCACATTGTACTGGATTATATGGTCATGTGGACTCAGATAATCCAGTTCAAAGCAGATATTGTGGTTCATCTGCCCTGATATTCTGGGTTATATGGCTGTGTGGAAGGGCCCTGAGTCACTAACATTACAAGTTTTATAAAGGAAAAGATTGGCAAAATGATTTTCTCGTAATCTTAGTAAAGATTCAGGTTGAAAGTTTTAAAAAAGGATACAAGTGCCAGAATTAGAAAACCTGTTGTTTGTAGCATTTGCTGCAAGATTTGCATTTGGCCTGTTAAAGCCTGCATAGCATAGTGATGTGAGCATTGGGGCATGACTTCGTAGTCATGGGACCCTCCCACACAGCCCTATATCCCAGAATATCAAGGCAGAAAATCCCACATTATCTGAGTGTGGACTTAGATAACCCAGTTCAAAGCAGATATTGGGGGATTTTCTGCCATGATATTCTGGGATATATGGCTGTGTAGAAGGGCCCCTGGTTTTGAATTTCTAACCAGGGCCCTTCCATGCAGCCACATAACCCAGAATATCAAGGCAGAAAACCCCACAATATCTACTTTGAACTAGATTATTGTGAGTCCACACTGCCATATATTACAGTTCAAAGCAGAAAATGTGGGATTTTATTCAGTTGTTTAGAAGAGGCCTCAGTCATAGGGCCCTTCCACACAGCCCTATCCAGAATATTAAGGCAGAAAATCCCATGTTATCTGAGTGTGGACTCAGATAACCCAGTTCAAAGCAGATATTGTGGGATTTTCTCCCTTGATATTCTGGGATATAGGGCTGTGTGGAAGTGCTCAAAGCAAACACTCCCCCCTCCCCTAACAGAACCAATTTGGCCAGGGAAGCCCTGTGATGGGGCCTTAAGGTAAACAACAAAGGTAGGTCACAAAACATGACCACATGTAAACCAAAAAGTGATACTTTTAACACTTTAAATGCATGATATTCATTTTACATTGATAAAGATTACATAGATCTAAAGTTTTAGAAACTTGAGCATAGAAATATTTGTATATTAACCTGAAAAAATGGTTGACCTTAGTAGTTGAACTTAAGAATTCTTAAGGCTCACCTCGAACCTTTGGGAAGGTAAGCTTATGGTATCAAGATAAAACCTTGAACTTCAGTATGATTATATATGGTGCTTTCTGTCTGAAGGCTAATATAATCATATATTTTGTATTCATATATTGTGCATCTGTCACATTGTGTAAAGTATTGAAACAGATAAGATATGAGCTCCAAATTCCTAATTCAAATCTCTGCTTTGCCACAAATTTAATGTTAGCCAGAGCATACCATTGGTTTCCATCCTACAATTTTTAGTATTCAAATATAGTCACTTTCATCACTGGAATTGTGTTTTGAGGATTACTTGAGGCCCCTTCCCACAGCTGAATAAAATCCCACATTTTCTGCTTTGAACTGGAATATATGGCAGTATGGACACAGATAACCGAGTTCAAAGCAGATATTGTGGGATTTTCTGCCTTGATATTCTGGGTTATATGGCTGTGTGGAAGGGTCCTGAGATTTATCTGAAGCTTTCAGCATCTTTTAAAAGTGTCTTTATACAGATAATGAGTAGTAGTTTAATGTGAAGATCTAATAATAAAACAACAACAACAATACATTTTATTTCTTACCCATCTCTTCTCATGGCTTAAGGCAAGGAACAATATAGTCAAATACATAATCAAAAATCATTCAGTAAAATACATATATTAAAACATATTTCTGTAAATACACATATTAAAAGTGCACAGAACAAAGATTAAAATACAGTAGACATAGAATGTGAATTTAAAATTCATAGTTAATAACCAATTGGGTAGGCCTAACATACAACAAAAGTAATTGTATTTTAATTGTTTTGTCATGAAGTGCCGTGGCATGTGCTTTAATATCATTGTGTTTTCTTTTAGACCATTGCACATGAGAACTGTGAGAACCTGGTGATACAAAACAACCTGTGCTTTGGAAAATGTAGTTCTTTCCATGTTCCTGGTCTGGAAGATCGCCTTTACACCTTCTGTTCCCACTGCTTGCCGACCAAGTTTTCCATGAAACGCCTGGAGATGAACTGCACAAGGGCGGTGCCCATAGTCAAGGTGGCTATGATTGTAGAAGAATGCAGGTGTGAAGTTCAGAGAACAACAAACCCTGAAATGGGTTTTCGACATTCAGATTTATTGGCGAGCATCCATGGACACAACTGAAGCTTTTGAAACTTTCTGGATCTTTAGCAAAATGTCATCACAGCATTTTGATTCTCTCTTACAACATTTACATACACTGTGTGTGTGTAAAAGAGAGTAAGACTGTCCTACCACAGACATTCCAGAACTGACTTTTAATAGTCTCTGCTGTTTGAAAGGGACTTTCACACTTTATAATTTTCTGGTGTAAACTTCAGTTTTTAGGATTGATCTGCTATTGCATGCAATGGCAGATCAAGGTCTTGTTTTGTTTTTCTAATGAAAATGAAACAAGGCATTTCTATGGCTCTTAGGACATCATGGTGTCAAATACATAAACTGAGCAACAAAGAAATGACCACAGAGAACAGTAATTTCCTACATGGTACCAATAAACATTGTTTTTCATTACCTTCTGAAGTGAAATCTTGGTATGTATTAGTGAGTAAAGTTGTTACCTACCTAAAGTATTTGAAAAATATTGGCTTCAAGTCTTTAATATCTCTTTTTTATGTGCTCTCAAGTTGACTGTTATATGACAATCCTATCTTTTGTGCAAGATTAATTTAGAGGTGGCTTGCCATTGCCTTCTTCCAAAGCTGAGAGGGTGTGATTTCCTAGGGTAACCAGTGGGTTTCCATGGTTGATCAGTTTTGATATAAAGCAGGGTGGACAACATAAGACCTCACAACTATACCCAGTGCCTATTTTGCAACCCAGACCCAATCCTGATCTCCCTGTTGTTGTTGTTGTTGTTGTTGTTGTTGTTGTTATATGACTTCAAGTCAACTCTGACTTATGACAACATTATCATTACAGGCTTTTCCTGTCAAGATTTATTCAGAAGTTTACTACTGCCCTCCTCTTAGGTTGAGAGTGTGATTTACCCAAGCTCATCTAGTAGTGTTCTCAACCTGTGGGTCCCCAGGTGTTTTGGTTTACAACGCCCAGAAATCCCAGGCAGTTTACCAACTGTTAGGATTTATGGGAGTTGAAGGCCAAAACAACTGGGGACCCACAGGTTGAGAATCACTGAAGAGGGCCTCCATAGATAAGTGGGGATTCAAACACAGCTTTCCTGTAGTATGGTAGTATAGTATTATATAGTTTCTTATCTTCTATGATTGACTATGAAACTTTGGTCCCAGCAGGTTAAATCTTACCTTTCCTTTAAAAAATCCTTAAACATAACATAGCTATCTAGTCCAATGTTCCCATCACATAGTGGCCCAAAGAAAGTCTGCTTTCTCTATCTTGAAATATGCAGCTATTGGTAAACTGTGTCTATTACCTCTTATACTTGAAGTAGCCATCCTATCAAACAGCCATCAATGAACTTATCCTGCACATATTGATACAGTTTGGAGGGAACCCTATTCACCCAGTGCTATTCTTTGGCATACTTCCAGCCTAAGTATAATCAAAATACTGGGCCCATAATTATGTGGTTCCAGATATCCACAGAAGGACTTGGAATGTATCCTCTATAGATATAGAGGTTATACTGTATTTTTTCATCTTCACACCCTATATTTCTTAACACTGTATTGTCGAAGGTTTCCATGGCTGGAATCACTGGGTTGTTGTAGGTTTTTTGTGCTATATGGCCACATTCTAGAAGCCTTCTCTCCTGACGTTTTGCCTGCATCTATGGCAGGCATCCTCAGAGGTTGTGAGGTCTGTTAGAACTAGGCTGGTGAGCCTGTGGTGTTTTGAAAGTCCTTTTGGCTGCAAGAAATTGTGGGATAGTATCTGTGTCTCTGCAGTGTAGAAGGAAAGTCAGGGAGCACAGTAGATGCAGGCAAAACGTCAGGAGAGAATGCTTCTAGAACATGGCCATATAGCCCAAAAAAAACCTACAACAACCCAGTGATTCCAGCCATGGAAGCCTTCAATAATACATTGAACATCTCTATGGGGAGAAACTGTTCCAACACACACGGAAATTGGAAAAACTAAGGACCAGGGAAGTCCATCTACTGTGCTCCCTGACTTTCCTTCTATGCTGCAGAGACACAGATACTGTCCCACAATTTCTTGCAGCCAAAAGGACTTTCAAAACACCACAGGCTCACCGGCCTAGTTCCAACAGACCTCACAACTTCTGAGGATGCCTGCCATAGATGCAGGTGAGACATCAGGAGAGAATGCTTCTGGAACATGGTCATATAGCCGGAAAAACCTACAACAACCCAGTTTCTTAACACTGTTTTAATAAAGTGCCATACTAGCAAAGTTTAAAAAGAAGGAAAATAAGTTAAATGTTATTTTTTTCACTCCAAATACACACATTCTCTCATCATCCAAAATACAGGGTAAAGTGGCTTGTTCTCCTTCCAATCTCTGAATAAAGCAAGCCAGAGACTTATTCCCTTAACTTCCTATTACCAAGTGATGCCATCCGGATCAAAGGGAATTCTCCATCCAGAGAAACTGTGGGATTGGGCCCTAAGTGTGAATCTGAACCATTTAGAAAGGACGTGTAAAGAGAAAACAGCAGCTGTAGTAATTGTTAATTAGATTAGTGCCTTAGCTTTTGAGGGTGAGTGTTTAATTAACCCAGCAATGATCAGCTGCATGTAATTAACACTGTATTCTGTTATATCAAGGATGTGTTAATTGGATCTGATTTTCAGAGTCAACCTCTATATTCGGAGCAAGTTGAGCCCAGGTGCTAGCAGAATATTGCTCCAAAAAGGAAGGGAGAGGAAAAATTGAGCCAGAGGATAGGGCTCTTTGACAGACAGCAGGGTCTGTAAGGAAATGATGGGTGGAGGGGAGACACTGTTACTAACAAAATGCCCATTTATCTTGATTTGTGATGGGGGTTTATTTTAATGTTCAGGATTTTAAAGGTTTCCCTAATGACAGTTGTGGTGGAGGGAAAATTAACAATTTCCAGTCTCTGTGCTGCATCAGGCACAGAGACAGTTAACTTTCAAAGTACTTTAAACACAATTAATTGCCATCTCCCAGACTACATGTATCCCCTTGTTTCTGAAAATCAGATTAATCACAACTATCTGCACAGCTTTATAATACCAGCACAGTCTTTAACAATGAACAAAGCACTGCATGTTCATAACACTGTTTCTAAGGACAGTGGGTGGCAACCAGCTGTAATAATATCTTTTAAATCTGCTGTTCTTCTTAGGAGTCAAAAACCCTTTGAGTGACATTAACATCTGGATTTCATCAACAGATGCTGAAAGATCCATGGCTCACAACGGGAGCAGGCTACTAATACACTGCATGCCCTTCTATATTCCCAAGATGTCCACACCTTCTGGACAATTTTAAGATTGATGTCTCCCAGCTATTACATTTATGTTGGCTCTTACTACATTTAAGCAACAGATAAAAATGAGCCCATTTGCTGGCTATCTAAAATCCAAAATGATTTTGGGGACTTTACGTATGAATCGGCAAAATCATAAACCTGTATACTTAGTAGTAACACCCAATGTGCTCACTAGGTTTAATCCTATCCCCATTTCCTTGGGAAGTAATTCTCATTGATCTTAATGAGATTCAAATCAGTAACACATAGGACTGTACTGTTAATTTCAAGTGCATTTCATGTAAATATGTGCCTGTTTCCGGTATCCGGACCTAGTAAAAGGAAGAATTACATGGTTCAGAGGCCAGCATGATGACTGAATTTGAAAAATCTTGGGCACAGGTAACAATCAAGTCAATATATAAGATATGTTTGCATATGCACAATATTTCATGATTTATGATGAGTTCATGATTAGCTTGTGTCACTTCAGACTTCAAGTGGAAAACATGGAGCTCATATGAAGATTTTTTTTAATGTCAGAAACTGCAAGTCACTTCTGGAGTGAGAGAATTGGCCATCTGTAGAGACATTGCTCTGGGGATGCCCGGATGTTTCACCAACCTGTGGTAGGCTTCTCTCATGTCCCCACATGGGAAGCTGGAACTGACAGACGGGAGCTTACCCTGTCTCATGGATTCAAACCGTCGACCTTCAAGGCAGCAGTTCAGCTGGCACAAGGGTTTACCCCATTGCGCAACTGTGGCTCCTATGTGAAGAATGTTCCTCCATAAATACATCTCTCTCGGCACAGAAAACTAGCAGGGAAAAGACTAAGCTAGAATGTTTCTCTCTCTGAATTTCTGTTTATTTCAGTGAGCATTCAGTCATGTACCTTCACACCTGTAATTAAATGTGGCATGACTCAGCCACAGGTTTTCCATTTTGGTAGCTGGTACTGGTCAAAAGTTGATATGGATATCTGAAGGACTCCTGTTCAATCCCACAACCTTTGTCTTGTGGGGTTCCTCAGGGTTCAATACTGTCTCCCATGTTGTTTAACATCTACATGAAGCCGCTGGGCGAGATCATCCGGAGTTTCGGAGTGCGATGTCATCTGTACGCGGATGATGTCCAACTCTGTCACTCCTTTCCACCTGCTACTAAGGAGGCTGTCGAGGTCCTGAACCGGTGCTTGGCCGCTGTGACGGTCTGGATGGGGGCGAACAAATTGAAATTGAATCCAGACAAGACAGAGGTACTCCTGGTTAGTCGTAAGGCCGAACAGGGTATAGGTTTACAGCCTGTGTTAGACGGGGTCGCACTCCCCCTGAAGACACAGGTTCGCAGTTTGGGGGTGATCCTGGATTCATCGCTGAGCCTGGAACCCCAGGTTTCGGCGGTGACCAGGGGAGCCTTCGCACAGTTAAAACTTGTGCGCCAACTGCGACCGTACCTTGGGAAGTCTGACTTAGCTACGGTAGTCCACGCTCTGGTTACATCCCGCCTTGATTACTGCAACGCTCTCTACGTGGGGTTGCCTTTGAAGACAGTCCGGAAGCTCCAGTTAGTCCAACGGGCGGCAGCCATGATTCTAACAGGAGCGGGGTGCAGGGAGCATACAACTCCCTTGCTGAACCAGCTCCACTGGCTGCCGATATGCTACCGGGCTCAATTCAAAGTGCTGGCATTGGCCTTTAAAGCCCTAAACGGTTCTGGCCCAACTTATCTATCCGAACGTATCTCAGCCTATCAGCCCACCAGGACCCTAAGATCTTCCGGAGAGTCCCTTC